CCCCCCCCATTATCTTTATGGCCCCCACCCGCCGCTCAGGGTGGGGGAGGGGGGGAGGACAATAGGTCCGCCCCCCCTTATTGTAATTTATGTCTTTTTTTTCAACAGTGAGCAGCCACAGGCTACTGTTTAGTAGACATGCCCCTACTCGCGGTATAGTGAGTAGGGGCATTTGGGAGATTTAAATCTCTCTTGTGCTATTATGGGGGTCATATTGACCCCCATAGAGTGAGAGGGGGTACTGGGGGGCTTATGAAGTGGTGGGGAGCACTGCTCCCTGCCGCTTCTATAGTTACATATTACAAGGAGGGAGCTGCACGCCGGTAGCTCCCTCCTTGTAATAACCTGCACGAACAAACTAACACTGATACATTGTGTTTGTTTGTTCGGCTGATCTTTCTATTCACTCATTCGTCTGTCTGATGAATGAATGAATAGCTGAAATTCCCGTTCGCATGTCCAGGTGTTTCACTGGGCATGTGCGGGAATCTCAGTGTCTGCCTAGTGTGGGCAGATGACGTGTCCCACAGGGACTTCACCTACCCACACAAAGATGGCGGCGCCCTGAATCAAGATCGGGGCAGAAAATAAGGATTAAAAAATAGGTAATGTGGGGGGCTTAGGGGCATTTGGGGGTGACTAGTGGGTCAATTGGATGTAGTGGAGACGGGAGGGGGGTTAAAAAAAAAACGGGTTTCGGCATGACAGTGCCGCTTTAAGAAGTGCATTATTTGGCAAAAAACCCTCTTTTATTTGGAGGTATACATTTGGATAAAAATAATTTAAGTTCACTTATAATGTTTTGCACTTTACACTTGTTTTCTGGATTGTTGTACTAAGGTGGAATTTTATTTGAGATTGATTTCATGTGCTCTTTTTATTTTTTGTATAGCTGTATTTAAGCAGTTTAATATCATGCAGTTTAATGTGCTCTTTTTTTTTTCTCTCTCTCTCGCTCTCGCGCGCTCTCTCTCTCTCTTCCACCCCCCCCAACCAACGAGGTGTATAGCATATGGAAGTGCATGGAACTGTAAAATGTTTTGGTAGTGTCTTTGGTTCAACGTTCCACTCACACTGTTCAAGTTGCTAATTTTGGTTCAAACAAAAGAACCCTAAACTGTTTTGCTTCCTGCAGGGTGCTTAACAGTTGATGTTGCACAACAAAGAACCATACTTTCAGCCTTTCAAAACCGTACACAAACTTCTGCATGATGGACTGAAAAAAAATGTTTTCAGTAGTCAGCTGGCAGTGTCATGGCACATCCAATCCAGTTTTTTGTTATTTTGCCTTTTGTCTTACTGCCACTCAATTTATCAAGCCTTAAGACAAACCAAGTGAGACTTGCTTAGTTCGATCAGTCTTTTTAAGCCATGCTTGAAGCTGCTGTCCTCTGACCCTCAAATCATGCAAGTTGCAAACATTTGTCCTCTGATTCTGTTGTTGATGTGGGTCTGCTAGACCTCTTCCTGTCAGTTTCTCAAGTGCCTTTTGATGCTGTACATGCATAGATACCTTAACATTCTTTGCAAATCGTATACAGGAAATAGCTACAGTTTTAAAGCTTTATCACACCAAGGAGTTATTATATGGAGAGGTTTATCTGTAGACTGGAAAGTGCATTGTGTGATAGGCAGTACTCTGTGGTTAGTAGTAGACTCAGAATTTCATGAGGTATGTGATATTACAGCCTTTTCCACTCTGACCTTCTGTACTTTTTTTTTATTCCTCTCTTTGTTTTCAGTGTGTGTGTGTGTGTATATATATATATATAATATATATCTCTATCTCTCTCCTAAACGGACACTATAGTCTTCAGAGCAACTACAGCTTAATGGTGTCTATAGCCTGTCCCTCTAGACTTTTTAAGATTTAGTGTCTCTTTAAACCGGACTGGTTTCTAAAAATGCTCTCTTACCTCTGCTATTTTCCAGTTTTCAGTACCTTCAACATACAGCTTTTCAAAAAATGTGGGTAACACTGCTATCTATACACTGACACTGTTGTATTTCCTCATCTTAACTTTTTCTTTTTCTAATTGGATATTTTTTTCCTCCCAGATATATTTTCTCTCCTGTAATAAATTGAGAATAGCTATACTAGAATTTAGAAAACAAACTAGTTTTCCTGGCACTATAGGGTCTCTAGGTCCCCCCCACCCTCGGGGTCCAACCCTCGCCAGGGTGAAGGGGGAGGAAGTCATTAATCACTTACTTTTTTCCAGCGCCGGGCTCCCTCGGCGCTGGGGACTCTCCTCCTCCTTCCGACGTCATCGGCTGAATGCACATGCGCGGCAAGAGCCCCGCGCGCAATCAATCAGTCCATAGGAAAGCATTTCTCAATGTTTTCATATGGATGTCAGCGTCTTCTCACTGTGATTTTCACAGTGAGAAGCGCGGAAGCGCCTCTAGCGGCTGTCAGTGAGACAGCCACTAGAGGCTGGATTAACCCTTAGTGAAACATAAGGGACCTGGCACCCAGACCACTTCATTGAGCTGAAGTGGTCTGGGTGCCTATAGTGGCCGTATAGTGGTCCTTTAAAGTAGAGAATTATAAAAGTATTGATTTCTCAGAACCTCAATGAACGTGTTGTGGAGTTTAGTTTGGGGCATGTTCAAAACAATTTCTTGCAATTATTATATTCTGGTATACTTTATTTTATTTTTTAATTATTATTTATTACATACATAGACAAAACATACTTTACAATACAAACAAAACAAAAAAAAGCTAAAATAATAAAGATAAATGCACTTCTCTGTTAAATACCGCTAATCTTTTTCATAACAATTGATATTCCATCTTTCAATATCTCTTTTTGCCTTTTCTTTTCAATAATTCTCAGGGAATTTTTCTATATTTTAGTGGTTATTTAGGCATTTGTCAGCAGTCTGATATTGTGACTATTTTGGCTTGGAGACTCATTTCATTGTCTCTTATTTTTTTTTTCTTGTGATGATTTTAAGATAGTTTAATTTATCCAGAGTGTGTGTAAATGTTTATGAATATATACTTATCCATCTTCCCCATATTTATGAATGTATATTAGTTTTCTGTCTTACAGCATAATATCCATTTGACAATGATTTATCTGTTTTTGACCATTCTAATTCTTCTTCAGTTTTCCATTGTCTTGCGATTTTTAACTTAAAGGACCACTATAGTGCAAGGAAAACAAACTCGTTTTCCTGGCACTATAGTGTTAACAGGTCCCCTCTACCCTCTGAATCCCCCTCCCGACGTCATTGGCTGAATGCGCATGCGCGGCAAGAGCCGCACGCGTATTCAGTCAGTCTATAGGAAAGCATTCTCAATGCTTTCCCATGGACGCTGGCGTCTTCTCACTGTGAAAATCACAGTGAGAAGCGCCGAAGCGGCTGTCAATGAGACAGCTACTAGAGGCTGGATTAAACTATATGTAAACATAGTAGTTTCTCTGAAACTGCTATGTTTACAGCAGGCAGGGTTAAAACTAGATGGACCTGGCACCCAGACCACTTCATTAAGCTGAAGTGGTCTGGGTGCCTATAGTGGTCCATTAACAGCTAAGAATAGGTTTTATTATATAGAAACATATTGTCCAAATTAAAAAATAAAAATGTAATTTTAATTTGGAAAACATGTCTCTATTCTTGTATACTTTGTTTCTGTCTAACTCTAAGTAACAATAACCCTATCTAACATTAAGTAATGTAACTTACACAAATGATTTACTGTTTACTAGATCGGCCATTGCCAACTCTGACTATTCACTATTTAGCAGATCATCCCTCGCTAAACCTAATATTAATCCTTGCTAAACCTAACACTAACCATAACATGGCTCTATTTACCATATTGGCCACCAGGTGGATTGATCACGCAGAGACACAATCACAGTACTGTAAGTGCCTTAAAATTGATTGGCTTGGTAATGTCCCCAGGGCTAATTATTGCTAATTGTAAATAGAAATGCTAGTCCTAATATTAATGGAAGACTCTTAATGTTGATCTCTCTCATTTGTTATTAGGAACAATATTTCAGTTTATTTGTACAATAATTGATGCAAGCCAGTTATAAGTCTTTCAAGTATTTCTGCTCATATGTACACAGCCAGTACTTTTTAAATTATGTTCGTGACTTACTAACAAATACGTGAGGTTTTTTTTATTTACGGATTTTGTGTTTTAACAGTTTTGCCATGATAAATATAATTAAAAAAAGAAATGGGGGCCTGGGGTGGCAGTATTGCAGAAAAAGCATGTTTTAGGAAAACCTTATCTTGCAGTAGGCTAGTTGTGTTTATTTACCTGTGACATAGTAACTGTCAGTTTTATTAAAGGGTTACTCCAACGTATGATCCCTTTTGCTTTCAGAAGTGGCCGTGGATGAATGAATCTGTAAGTTGCAGCATTTCTGCTTGAAATTCTGCATATGCAGATAAATTTGCAGTTTTGTGCCGACATATGCCTCCCACATTGACCTTGATGTAGCTTGAGACTAGGGGTTTATTGCTTTATTTAGCTGCCAGTTGCTCTGGATGTGTCCTAGATGTTGGTGCATATGACAGAGGAAGGTGTTGAGTTTTGTTGTGTGTAGCCCAATATCTGGTAGCTGCAGCTGTTATTGTAGTCAGAGGCTTGTGTCAGTGGGTTTGCAATGTGGTAGTACTGTGTGACGAAGTGCTCTTCGCCACTTGTGCTTGGAGAGGACTAATGGCTAGCCTTGTGACTATGGCCCCTGGGAGGTATTGAGAGTTAAAAACTCTATGTGAGCTTATTGTCTTTTAAAAGACTGTTTCTGGCCCTTTAATTTGTACTGTTACAGTTCGGCACTTTTGAACTGGCACTTGGATACAGCCGAAGTAGTCGAAGTGGCCGCCATTCAGCATACGAACACGTGGCTGGACTTTTTTAATTCAGTCGAACGCGTTCAGCGGTGTTTGGTCGTCGAGTTCATGGAACTAAAATCGGATACGCGACGGCACGAACATCTCTGAACTTCTACCTAATCTGGAACTTCAACACTTTAAATGGAGTCGAACGGTGTTCGACAATACGAACGCCACATTAACATTGCTATTTGCACGGCATCCCTTAGTGCATTTCAACAGTATGAATGGACCGGCCGCACAGCCCAAATCTCTGGAACTGTTTTGGGTGTGCAATCTGTCAAAATGGGACTTCCTGCTATCTCCCGAACCACTGGACCAATTCGCATAATTTTTGGATATGCTGGTTCAGAAAATGTAACTTTTATTGGAATTGCATGTATAGTTTTGAAGTTATAGAAAATGTGTAAAAAGTATATTTTTCACTTGGAGAGAATTGAGTTGATACAGTAATTAACTCAATTATCTCCCAAGCAGAGGGGAGGAAGTTACTATAATGAATGGGAGTGTTTAACTTTGTGACTGTAAACTATTGGCTGTTGAATTTGTGTTTGCAGTGCCCAACAAGGTCCACGTGAGTAGTAACCTTATGGGGAAATGTGTAAATTAGAAGCAATAAAGTCTCAGTGCATTCTGTTCCTGCTTAACCCTCAATCTAGAGTCTTGTCTCTTATTGGGGGAATTGCTATATCACTACAAGAGATTGCTATGAGCTATAAGGTTCACCCACTGGAACCTGGAGCCTTGTCGTAGGTCCAGGGTGGATAGGAGACAGCGAGACCCCAACCAAGCTGCAACTGTTCGTGGGATCTGCGGTGGTTATGGTGTCTGGAGTGCTTGGAGCCCTCGGGAAGAACTAGGAGCATCCATCAACGGAGGTGCCCAGTTGGGGTGCCAGGTGATCCGTTACTTACTGGATGCGTGGCCTCCTGTTGTCAATTATCCTTACCTATGAGATGGTGTCTGTCCTACACTCAGTCTCTGACTTAAAGGGACTCTCCAGTGCCAGGAAAACAAATCCGTTTTCCTCCCTCCCATCCCCCATCTCATGTTGCTGAAGGGGTTAAAACCACTCCAGTGCCTTACCTGAATCCATGCTGATGTCCCTCGGCGCTGGGTCGGGCTCCGCCCACGCTCCTCCCCCGCCGACGTCAGCAGGCAGGGGAGACCTAATGCGCATGTGAGGCAATGGCCGCTCGCCCGCATTGGACCTTCCCATAGGAAAGCATTATTCAGTGCTTTCCTATAGGGATTCCGGCAACGCTGGAGGTCCTCATGCATAGCGTGAGGACGTCAGTCATTTAAAACACTTTTTGTGTTTTAAGAACCTAGATCTCCCTCTTGTGGCTGTCTGTTTTCTAAAAACTGCAATAATTACACTTGCAGGGTTAAGGGTTTTGGAGTTGGCACCTAGACCACTCCAATGGGCAGTAGTAGTCTGGGTGCCTGGAGTGTCCCTTTAAAGTACCACATGAAGGTAAAATTGTGCCAGTGCCCTCCAACCAGTTGGATATAGCCAGGTGTAACTGATATACCAACTAGGCTGTTTGGCCTTTACATTGCAACTGTAAGGCTTTTGCTATTTTGGGATATTAAACGCTCTTTTACAAAATTGCAATCCATACAAAAAAACATCATGGTAAAAGCGTTATTTTTATTTTAAGGCAGTACAATTTGCTAGCTGGTTAACCCAGTCTACTTTTTTTGATGTCCTATGCTGTCATCCATCCATCTCTTGTGCCACCAGAGAGCATCTGGATTGGCAGGTATCTTGACAGGCTCCTTTGTAGAAGGGGCAATGAGTATACAAAGACCTCTCCAGACGCTATCATTTCAAAGTTGCTTTTGGCTGACATGCTGATATTTGGCTGATATGGAGACGGGCAGGCAGTTCAGAGGGAAAGCTGATCCACTTCAGCTCTCCTAAAGGTAAGGAGGCTAGGTGGACACATTACAATAAAAATTTAATTTTGAGTGTATGTAAAAATGTGTGTGTGTGTGTCAAATCAGTGCATGCATGTGTTTAGGTGAGTTGCCCCTAAACATTGGAAAGGTGTTGGTCTCACCGCGGCTGGCTCTACAGCTGATATAGGTCAGTGCTTTCTATTATAGAGAATAGCCAATCAACATCTCATAGAGATGCATTGAATCAATGCATCCCTATGAGAAGCCTTAAAGCAGCACTGTCATGGCCGCATTTGTTTTGTTTTTTCTAAACCCCCCCTCCCGACTCCAGTATATCTATTGTCCACCTATTCACCCCCAAATGAAGGCCTCCCATGCACTTTTTAAAAATCTATATATATTTCATGCCCAGTCTGGGTGTCGCCATCTTTCTGTGGGTAGGTGCTGGCCCTGCAGAACACGTCAGCTAGTGCTGAGAACTTCCCGCGCATTTCCCAATTAAACACTTGGGCATTCGCTTTTGTCCGAAATTCAGACAGGAATTTCACCTTTTTGTTCATTCGCCAGAAAAAAAGGATTATTTTTTTCCCCGGTGTTTTGATTTTTTATTTTTTTTTGCGATCCGATCTTTAACCCCTTAAGGACACATGACATGTGTGACATGTCATGATTCCCTTTTATTCCAGAAGTTTGGTCCTTAAGGGGTTAAAGATGTTTTTACATTTTATTAGTTCAATAGGATTTATGACTTTATTTGACCTTTTTTGTGGCTGAAAAAAGATTTTAGAAAAAATGACCTCTATTTCTTTTTCTTATTTTATTTTTGTTAATTTACAGGTTTTTAGTTTATTATTCCCCCTCACTATTATTAGGGTGTGTTAGGTAGGTAGGTTTTATTTTATAAGGGGGTAACCTCACCTTCCCCTTTGTCCATTAGGGCCCCCACAGGCCACTCATGGGTGGGACGCAGTAGGTTTTTCAGCCTTTTAGTAGATCGCTCCATAAATGCCAGGACTTTCAAACGGCGAATTAAGTAATGTGAGAACACAGAGGAAGGGTGAGGAAAATTTCTTTAACCACTGGAAATGGAGCGTCCTTAAGCTCCTCCTTCGGTCGAAGAAGGTCAAGGGTAAGAAAAATACATAAGACAAAGTAGTCCCTATTTTTTGTCTTATGTTTTAAATAAATTTAAATCAGATAGGAGAAAAAGAACAGATTCTGAGAGAGGAAGAGAAGGGGAAACAATTAGAGAAAGGTAAATTCGGCATGACAGTGCCGCTTTATGCGCCTCCATGCAGAACACTGACCCAGGAAGCACATCTAGAGGTAATCTGAGTGACTGTCACTAGAGGTATTACTTGGCAGCAATGTAAACACTGCATTTTCTCTGAAGGGAGTTTATGGTTCGGCTACTTGGACTTAAATTTGAAATTCATTTAGTGAAAAACACTGGGTAGAAAAACATCTGCAAAATGGTGGGGTAAGGCAGGAAACACAAGCACAAAAGTGAAAACGATAAAAAAAAAACAAAAAAAAAACCTCCCAGCAACACAAGAAGTGAAAAAACGTGAATGTAATCTTCCTAATGTATCTCACAAACGCACCAAATAAACATAAAGTAAAAATAGTGGAAGAAAAAACAAACATTTGTAAAGGAAAAAAAGTATATGTAAAAAAACAACCTGTACAAATGAAGAAGTAAATCACTATATTCCATTAGATATCCAAAATAATGGAGAAATCTAGAAACAAATCAAAGAAAACACATAGCGTAATTCAGCAAGTGATGGAATATCCCCCAATATAATATAGATGTTATACTCCACAAACTGATGTAAATATGTGCGCTCATCACCCCTCCGGGGTATATCGAAAAGGAATGAAGGTTCTTCTTGAATAGTAGATTTCTAGTGCTCATATCCTATAGGCTGTAAACTCGTTTGAGCAGGGTCTTCTTCAACCTGTCGTTCTTGTAAGTTTTCTTGTAATTGTCCTATTCATAATAAAACCCCCCTCTTAAAATATTTTAAAGCGCTACGGAATCTGTTGGCGCTATATAAATGGCAATAATAATAATATACAAGGATAAAGCCACAATAGTGAAGTATATCAAGAAAAAACAAGGATTTTATTGTATTGTGTGGCAAAAGTGACCTCGCCAATGGTTTTTGGAGAGGCCTGTTTGCCAACCTCATACCCTGTGACTATGGCCCCTTTTATTTATTGTGGCTGAGAAGACCCTATTTGTGCCTATTGGGACTTGGAACAATGGTCTTCGAACTTTCGAAGTGGCACTGCAAACAGTGGAAGTAGTCGAAGTGGCCGCTATTCGACATTCGAACACATGGCGGTGGCCATCTTAAGCCACGAGTACCATACGCAGTGTTTGGTCGTGTAGAGTTCATGGAACTTAAATCGGAAACGCGACGGCACGAACACCGCTGAACAGTTACCTTCCATGATACTTCGGCTATTTGAACGGGAGTCGAACGGCGTTCAGTGAATCGAAACACACGAACAAGGGACATACATTGACTATGGTCATTCACCATTACGTTCGGTAATTCGAAAGGTACTTTGACGGTTTGAAATAGACCGGCTGCACAGCCTAATTCTCTGGAACTGTTTTTGGCATGAAACCATGCGTGCGGTCGGTCAAAAAGAGACTTCCAGGTATTTCCTTGTAACACTTTGTAAAAATGTGTGGTTTTCTGCCTGGAGATAATTGAGTTACATACAGTACTTCATTCAGTTATCTCACAGGCAGAGTCTGTTACGGGAGTGTCGTGCAGTTAATTACTGTTGGTTTATTCCCTTTGTGTCCCTGTGCCCAACAAGGTTCATCTGGGTGTCACCCTTGTTGGGCAACCTCCATAAAAGGCCAGCTATGGCTTCCATTAAACAGACTTACTTCACCCTCAATCACAAATGTGTTGGAGCACTGAATAAATGTATCTTGTATTATTGTTGTGTATAGGTACCTTGGAACTGTTTGGTTTTCTTTTTTTGTACTTGTAAGTGGTATATTAACCACAACTGAAAAAAAAAAAAACACTTTTGGTTGGGTGTTAAGAAAGGTAGGATTGTGAATTTTAGTTGGAAGGAGGCTAGGAGCCAATTTATTTTTTAAATTAGTGGCACTTTTAAAAATTATGGTAGGAAAATCAGGAATTCTATTTCCCAAAATGACATCTATTTTAAGTACTTGCCAATGTTGTTTTATGGCTCTCTCTATTTTTTTTTTTGGCATCTACTCTATATTGAGTAATAAATGCAAAATCATTTTTGGGGGATTTTTTCTTCCACGTTTCTTTTTAGTTTTAAGAAGAAAAGATCTATCTGTGTTCCTAATTTTCATTTTTTTTTCTTTTCGGTTTTCTCTCTATTATAGCCTTTCTCAATGTATCTGTCCTTTATAATATTGGGTTGAATGGAGGAAAATGTTTGTTCGTCAGTACAGTTCCTCCTGAGGCGAATCATTTGGCTTTTAGGAATATTTATCAACCAGGAGGGATGATGTGAGCTGGTGTGTTCTATTTCAGTATTACAGTCTGTAGTTTTAAAAAATGTTTTGGTTTTTAATTTTCCATTGTTTCAGTTTCTATAGTTAGAATCTTCATAGATGGATTTGATGGGCCTATGTCTCATTTTGAGGTATTATAGCAGTTTGACTGTTCAAATAACCCCACAAAGGGCTTTAATTTGATAAGACAGACACCCCAAGGTATCTTATATGGCGTATACTGTGCCTTAATATGTCTCTATTTGTTCACTAATTTATGTTAACATTTGTGGTGAGGGGGAAAAAAAATTGCATTTTTACATACATGTTGAGTATTTTTTACACTTTATATGTGCCACTGTCATAAAATCCCCCAAATCATGATCAGGTACATCATGGCTCGACAAATCCCAGGTGCCAGATCGCCACGGCGACTATAAATTTCGCCCTGGCGTCTGGGATTTGCCAGCTCTCTAGTAAGTGTGAGAGGGGGCTTTTTTTTTGCGGGTACATGGAGACAGCCACCCGCGGGAGAATTATAGGCGCCGTGCGAGGGAGCAGTACTCTGCCTGTAGCTTCTCTCTGCTCCCTCGTGCTGTCTAATGATGTCGGGAGACGGAAAATGACGTCATTCCGGCCCCGGCATCATTACAGAGCGCGAGGGAGCAGAGAGCAGCTACAGGCAGAGTACTGCAACCTCGCACACAGGAATAGTGCAGCCCCACTGGACCCCAGGGAAGACCCACTCAGCTCTCCCAATGGTAGGGAGGCTGAGCGAGTTTCAATTAAAACAAAAATGTGTGTGTGTGTGTGTGTGTGTGTGTAAGTGTGTGTGTAAGCCTGTGTGAGCCTGTCAGACTGTGTGTGTGTTTGTGAGAGAGCCTGTCCGACTGGGTGGGTGTTTGTGAGAGAGCCTGTCAGTGTGTGCATGCGCGTTTAGGTACCTGCCCCCTCCGATCACATGAGGAAGGTGTTTTTTTTACTCACCTTTCTTCCCATTTTCCCATGCCGTGCCAGTTTTGACATGGCTGAGATGATCAATCTTTATGATCTCAGCTAAGGCAGTGCTTTCCCTTAGGAAAGCATTGGGAGGATTTTGTGCATGTGCAGCAATTGTACCTATCCGCATCTCCTCATAGAGATGCATTACATTAAACAATCTCTATGAGGAATATTCAGCGCCTCCATGCAGAGCTTGGAGACACTGAAACTGGGTGCTGCACGTGGTGCAGCAGTGACCCAGGACACTCTAGTGACCATCTGAGTGACTGTCATTAGAGGTGTTAGAAAGCAGCGATGTAAACTCTGCCTTTTCGCAGAAAAGGCAGTGTTTACACTGAAACACCTGCAGGGACAGACTATAGACATCAGAACTACATCAAGCTGTAGTGGTTCTGGTGACTATAGTGTACCTTTAAGAATTGCACTTTCTCGTTGAAAATGACTGGCTCTTAACTTTTTTAGCGGGCTCCTGTATTCCAAACAAATTTGTCAAGCCCTGAGGTACATCTTCTGTGTAAAACAATATGCCCAATGTATGGCCTAGACCAGTGATGGCGAACCTATGGCACGCCGGGCCCTTTCTGTGGGCACGCGGCCACAGGTTCGCTATCAATGCAGAGTAGGCACCTGCCTGCCCAAAACGGCAGGCGCCTATTCTGCTTCCGGGTCGGGAGGCAGGGGGAGAGATCTGTGAAGCAGCTCCCCTGTCCTCCCGCGCGATGCTGTGTGGAGTGTTGCCGCGCGTTACCATGGCAACGCTCCACACAGCATTGCGCAGGAGGACAGGGGAGCTGCATCACAGATCCCTCCCCCTGCAGTGCTTACCACCACCGGACCACCAGGGATGGCTGTGTCCGTCCCCCCCCCCACTTCATTAAAGGTAAGAAGGAGGGGGGGGGGTATACTGACACACAGCACCCTTACCCCCCCAGAAGTAGCCCTACCCCCCAGCACCCCTACCCCTATCCCCAGCAGTACCCCCCCTTGCCCCCCCCCCCCTGCAGTACCCCCAGTACCCCCCCCCCCTGCAGTACCCCTACCCCTGCAGTACTCCCCACCCCTTACCCCACACGCAGTACCCTACCCCCACACGCAGTACCCCTACCCCCACACCAGTACTACCCCACACCAGTACCGCTACCCCACACGCAGTACCCCTACCCCCCCGCAGCACCCTTACACATACAGCACACACAGCACCCCTCACATACAACACTCACCCCCACACAAGCACCCCCCCCACACACACAGCACCCCCCACCTCAATGCAGTATGTGTGTATTCAGCAGTCTGTGTCTGTGTGTACTCAGCAGTGTGTGTCTGTGTGTACTCAGCAGTGTGTGTCTGTGTGTGTGTGTGTACTCAGCAGTCTGTCTGTATGTGTATTCAGCAGACTGTGTGTGTATTCATCAGTCTCTGTATTCAGCAGTCTTGTGTGTGTGTGTGTCAGTGTGTGTGTATTCAGCAGATTGTGTGTGTGTATTCAGCAGTCTGTGTGTGTATGTATTGCATTTGTTGGAGATACTAATAAATATAAGCTTAATTTTATCTATTTGTATCATTGAACTCTCTGTGTTCTATTAAAACAAAAGTTATTAGTTCGGACAACAGTACGAGTTGTTTTTTCTAAACTTAAACCTCAGTATTTGGGTTTAATTGCCGTGTTGGCACTTTAAGGATAAAAAAAGTTGGCATGTATTGCGGTTTGGGCACTCGGGCTCAAAAAGGTCATCACTGGCCTAGACATTATTTAGTGAAGTTACAGTGCTGTAAAAGAGACGTGACAAGTTCAGTTTTTTAAAATTTTCATGGTGGGTTTTGATGCGTCAATGTCCCACTTTAGAGCACTTTAGCAGGCTACATATTCCAACTACACCATGAAGACATCCCATGGTATTTCAAAAGACATATTTTAAACCTTGGCGTGGGATAATTTTTCCACTAGCGTGTACCAAGTGTAGTGGTAATAAGCATTTTATCTGCTTTTTTGACACACGGTTAGTTTGCACAGTATATTTTGCAAACATATGTGTGCTACGGCTGTATAATACTTCATAGGTTGCTCAGGTATGTCTTCTGAGTACAGCCATAGCCCTGTATATACCTTTGCCAGGTATATGTGGATGTTGAAGGGGCATATTTGAGACACAGCAAGTCAGTTTTTTTCAAATTTTTACTCTGCCATTTTGGAGTAGTTTAGCTGGTTTCGTATTCAAACTACCCCACAAACGCATACCTTTATTTTAAAGAATACTCCCTGGGGTAGTTTGTTCCAGGTGTAGTGGTAATGCATATTTTTTTTTTATAATTTTACACTTAAATTTTTTTTTAAATTCTTTATTTTTGTTGTGCATATGTGTAGTGCAGGCAGGCAAGAGGTGCCCCAAGAGCAGTCCTCCAGCATTTCCCACGCTCAACATGCGGGGCACAAGATGAACAAGCACATTTTCTATTAATGACAAGTATAAACAATCGATTGTAGCACTTAAATTTTTTTTATAATTTTATTTTACCGTTAACCTCTAACTAGCAGTAAGCAGCACTAACAGTTCCTCAATTTCCCATAACTCCCACCCACCCCAACTAGCAAAATATATAATTTTAAAATATTTAAATTAATGAAATAAATTGACTTCACACTGAACCTTTAAGATCAGGGAGGCTGACCGGGAGTCCCTGCAGCACAGCCTATCAGAGCAATCACAGCTGCGCAATCGGGTGCTCCCGGTAAGCCTCAAATACAGAGTTAGACCGGAGGAGCGTTAACCCCACGATTGCTGAGATCTAGGATTAACTTTAGTAAATTACGTAAATTTTCCGTCATTCGTTCTTAATGGTAGGACCAGCATGACAGAAAATATCCATATAGTGTCGGGAAGGGGTTAAGCACATTTATACTGTTGTTAGGTAGGTTCTATCACAGTATCCATATAACCCCTACGTTATATATATATATATATATATATATATATATATATATATATATATATATATATATATATATATATATATATATATATATATATATATATATATAATATTGTGGCAGTGTGAGGGAACACTGCTATATAAGCCCCAGAATGGCATTTTCAGTGTTCCCTAACTAGAAGAGGTTAAAAAATCAGGTTGTTCTGGTACATCAATTAGGGAGCTACATAAACCCTATGCAGAGGGAAATCAGTCTCTCCTGTGAAGAGCTGGGGCGGAGACAGAGAGACTGTGAGTCAAAAAGACTGCTGAAACTGTATGGGAACAAAAAGGTATTTTTTACATAGTTACATAGCTGAAAAGAGACTTGCGTCCATCAAGTTCAGCCTTCCTCACATATGTTTTTGCTGTTGATCCAAAAGAAGGCAAAAAAAACCTAGTCTGAAGCGCTTCCAATTTTGACACAAACTAGGAAAAACATTTTCATACCTTCATTTTTATTTGTTAAATTACTGGGGACAGCTTAGCTGCCCAGTAGCATAGAAAGGGTATTCTATGTTAGTCTCCAGTGTGGAGTAAGAGTTTATTTTGGTTTTCAGGTTTTGCTGTGGCTCAGTTGGGGCATGCTGGCTAAATAAAGCTTTCAACATATTGGAAGAAATAACTGTTTCTGCCATTTATGACCCAAGACCCAGCCAGCCTGCTAATAAATAAATATATATATACACTCTTATAGTATATTTTAGGGATCGACCGATTATCGGTTTTGCCAAAATTATCGGCCGATATTCAGTATTTTCGGCAATATCTGTATCGGCCAATATAGATATCAATATTGCCGATAATACATACCAGGATGAGCCCGGCTGTCCTGGGGGCCCGCAGGAAGCTGTTACTTACCTTCCCAGCAGTTCAGCTCCCTGTGTAAATCTTGCGAGTCCCGCGGCCGTCAGAGCGTTGCCACGGGTTACCATGGCAACGCTCCACGTGGCACGCCGGCCGCAAAAGTTACACCGGGAGCGGAGCTGCTGGAAAGTTAAGTAACAGCTTGCTGGCCCCCCATTTCTCAGTACTTGCCACTGGACCACCAGGGAATGCCAGAGCCCCCCTCCCTGGCCAGGTAACATGCAGGGAGGGGGGACAAAACAAACAAAACATATAAATATTTTTTTTTTTAAATTCCACCCCTCCCCCCCATTTTATACAAATTACATCCCTTCAAAAACACACACGCACTCTGCATTATACACAAACACACACTATACAAACACACACACTCTGCATTCATTATTTACACACACTATACAAACACACACACACACACACACTCTGCATTATATACGCATACTATGCAAACACACACACTACACAAACACACACACTGCATTCACTATAAGCACACTAGACACACACTGCATTCACTTTACGCACACTAGACACACACTGCATTCACTATACGCACACTACACAAACACACACTCTACATTCACTATATATACACACACAGCTCCCCTGTCTAAACACACTGCATCCACAATGTGGCATGTATATTTTGTGCATTTACCTATAGAAATTGTTTATTTTTTTAAAATGGTAAATGTACAGAATATCGTCAAGTTATCGGCTACCAGCCTAAAAGTTCACAGATTATCGATATCAGTCGATCCCTAGTATATTAATTCACATCAATTTTTATTTATTTATATATTTATTTATTAAATAATCTTAACCGATCGATAAATGTATCCATACTTTCCAACAAGTACATTAATTGATCCTAAGCATAATAGATTTAAAAGTATATATTTATTTGCTACTCGGCATCTATATAAAATAATAAAAATTTGCTTTGTAAATTCCAGAGCGTTTTTTTGAGTGGTGCATAAAGACTCTGCATTCAGTGCAGAGTAATTACACCAACACAGTTTTTATAAAACTGCAATCTGATGACTATCATAGGGAAGGGAAAAAGATCATTAAATTCCCAGCATTTACCATACAGTATTTGATTCTCAGTTAAAGCTTTAAACCAGGAGGGCCCAAAAGGTAAATGCCCAGATGTCGTCTAACTACAATTCCCATCATGATTTACTTGCCTTTAGTATGACAAAGCATCATGGAAACTGTAGTTTTAAAACATCTGGGGATCTAACCTTTTGGGCACCCCTGCTTTAAGTTACCTAGCATATGAGACCACATTCTGTATGCCCTCTTATCTCTTTTGTTTTGAGATTTATGCTCTTCATAAGACATGTAATTTTCTTTTTTTTTCTTCTTCTTTTTTTTTTTTTTGCAGCTGTGTTCTTCTGACCACTGATGTTGCCGCCAGGGGTCTGGACATCCCAAATGTGCAACATGTTCTACATTATCAGGTAATGAAGATCTGAGGTTCATCATGTTCTCGAACATCTGGTTTAACAACCCACATTTGAGTAATTCGGATGAGGATGTAAGGTTTGAGTAAGAGACTAGATTTAAGTGTGAGAATGCCCTTTTGCCTTTTTTCCCCATTTGTTTGTTCTTCTCTTCCCCTTTACAAACCTGTTCCTCATCCTCAATGTATTTCTCTTTAAAACCTAAGAAAAATATGGACTACTTTGCCTTATCTAATTTTCTTTTGTTTGGCAATCTTAACAAATTGTGGGGCTTAAAGGGACATGCATCACTTGACACTGTTTTTTTAACACGCAAGCAAACAATTTTTTAACAAATATAACAAACTAAAGCAAGATTTTTTTTGAAAAGTATGTAATAAACTTTTAGGGAGGCTGAAGAAACTCGCATAGCTGAGAGGCTTGCCCAACAATACATGTGACCTCCATTTTACCCACCCATCTCAATTTTAGACCAGTCTACTAATGACTGAAACAGGGCATTGTGTGCAGCTACAAATGCATTCTCTCTGCACTGACTAACAAAACACAGCAAGAGAGAGAAACCCGACACTGGTGCCTGCTCTGCATGATGACCCTAATCAGGCTCTGTCACTGGTCAGGATATTGCAAGGTGGAAAGATCGTGTCATAATGTGTAAATCTGTCAGGCATGCCCAATTCACTTCTCCACAATTCTTTGGATTGGGTACTGATTAGTTCAGTGTCCCTTCCGGAGTGTGTTTGGAAAGCATAAGAAAGAATAGGCAGGTAAATATGGGACAAGGTAGGTAAATATATAATGAGACAGTTTTTCCAAAGGGATGCATATGCGTTTAAAGCAAGTTTCACTTCCTTTGTCAAGCTAACAGAGTAAGTGGAGCTTGCCTTAAAATTCACTATTTGTCAAGATTGTCTAGTAAAGGAAAAATGCATACTACAATGTAGTTCCTACTTTGTCATCTTTCAATGAGGAATCAACCAGCAATGAAGAAAATGGTTCTGAAAGATTAAGAGAAGAGAAAACAATAGGAGGAAGGTAAGTTGGATGTGACAGAACCACTTTAAATAATTTGCCAACCCAATACCACAGTGGAAAGACTGCCCCAAAGCAATCAAATAATATAGTTTGGGCAATGGTTCTTCTGTTCCTGGTCCTCAATGTATGCATTAAATATTGCTAACAGACCACTGTCAATGTGTCAACCAGTTTGCTCTCCCCTAAAACATACATCCCAACATTGGGAAGTATGAAATCAGGACAGGAGTAGGCAGACATGTGTCATGAGCTGCCAAGTGTGGATTATACTCCGATCTCAATTACTTCCTCTTCTCCCTTGCACCCCCATCCTTTCTTTTCTAGTTCCCAAACCTTAATTTTCTAGTAAATACACAGAACTATTCCTGTACAGGTGTTGTGATCTAACTACAGAATACAGATCAAGGGCTTTATTTACAAGGGTTATGACCTCTGAATCCTGTGACATTTACTGATTGTTATGTATTCTTATATGCTCTATGATTTTTCTTTGTGAGAGCCCACTATTTTTTTTTATTTTTTTTTAAAACACTTTTCTTTTTATTTAACCCCTTAAGGACTGAGCCAAATGTACAAGTTGTGAGCAAAACAAACCACAAAATTTTACTATGTGTCTGTTCAACAATTTACCTCTTTCATACGAAGTGCACTCACACTTATTATATATCATTTTGTTCAGGGGAAACAGAGCATTCATTTCATATCAAACATTCATATATGAAAAAATTTGATATTTTTCAATTTCTGCATGGCAATTTAACTGTTAATGTCAGAATACTGTTTGGTTTTCCTGCAATAAAACATACATATTTGTATTCAGAAATGTCTCACGAGTAAAACAGTACCCCCCATGTATAGGTTTTATGGGGTTTTGGAACGTTACAGGGTCAAATATACGGCCTTTCCATTATTTTATTTTTTTCTACATAGAAATTTGGCCGATTTTGGTTTGCTGAACCTAGGTTGCCTTTGAGACAGTATGGCAGCCAAGAAATGAAAATTATCCCCATCATGGCATACCATTTGAAAAAGTAGACATCCCAGGGTATTCAAAATGGGGTATGCCAAGTCTTTCGTAGTAGCCACTTGGGCACAAACTCTAGCCAAAGTTAGTGTTCGTTTTTTTTTTTTTTGCATTTTTCGCATAAAAACTGTACTTTCACTGATATTATTGTTAGTATATAGTTTACTGCCCTTAAACATTCCTAGTTCTGTTCATTGATGTCTCACGAACGCCACAGTACCACCCATGTATAGGTTTTATAGGGTTTTGGAAAGTTACAGGGTCATATATATGGCTTATCCATTTATGCTTTTTTACATTGAAATTTGGCAAAGTGATTTTCTGGGTCTATCTTGCCTTTGAGAGAGCATGGCAGCCTGAGTAATAACATTTCCAATATTATGGCATACCATTTTCAAAAGTAGGCAACCCAGAGTATAACAAATAGTGCATTTTAAGATGTTTGGTCTAACCACTTTTTCAGAAATGAAGGGCCCACATAGCAGTTATAGTTTTATTTGTGCTTTTTCACACACATACTTTTCACAGGACATTTCATATTCCTGATATGAGTTTTTGCAACAAAGCCTCACTATTTTTATTTAACATTGTCTTCTGAATATAACAGTACCCCCATGTACCAGATTTTCAGTTTTTTGGGGGAAGTTACGGGGACAAAAATATTAGATGCCCTTTCAGCTTGTAAGTTTGTCAGAGTGATTTTCTGGGCCTATGTGGCTTTACAGAGAGCATGGCAGCCTGGGTAATAACATTTCCACCGTTCTGGCATACCATTTTCAAAAGTAGGCAACCCAGAGTATAACAAATGGCATAATTTGAGATGTTTGGTCTAGCCATTTTAACAGAAATGCTGTGCCCATGTAGCGATTTCTACTTTTATTGTTGTCTTTTTAATCAGATAAATTGCATTTTGACTGGAAATGTCATAATCCTGATATTGGTTAGTGCAATAGAGACTTTGTATTTTGATTTAATACTGTCTTATGAAAATAACCGTACCCACATGTACCATGTTTCCAGGTTTTTATTATATCACAGGAATTGGACAGTACCCCCACATACACTTTGATCTGGAGGCAGAGAGATCAGAGTTACTGTGTTAAAAGTTTGAGAAGTTAAAAAAAACAAAACGATTTTCTTTTAACCCTTTCAGTGCTGATCGCAGCATTAACCCTGTGATAAGTTTTTTTTTTTTTTATTGGGAAGTCACATTTCAAGTACTACAAATGTAGTATTTTGAGTTGTTTGGTGTAGCCACTTTAGAATGGCTAGTGTAAACAGGGACAGGCCAAGGTCAGGGGAATTCAGAAGTCAAAGTAGTCAGTAAAACAAGCCAAATGGGTTGGTACAGGCAGCTAACAAAGCGTAGTAAGGTCAAGCCGAGGTCAGAAATCCAGGGAAATCAAGCAAACAAACTGCCAGAGTCCCATACAGAGTGATTCAGAAGTTCAGTTCTGTATGGTAAACTTTTAAACAGTCTGTTATGCAGAGGGCGGGTATAGATGAGCAGGTTGGGCAATAACAACTTGAGTCCTTTTGGACTCCTTTCTTGTAGCAAACACGGCACTTTTTTGGGGGAGCTTTTTTACTGGTGGTTGGTGGGATTTGGGAAGGGAAGTGTTTGCCACAAAGTCTTTGGAGATCTCCTGATTCCAAAGTGGGATTGGGGGATGGGTAAATCACATATGGGACAAAAGGCTTAGCGTGAATTCGATGAAAGAGCAGGGGTTACCTATGACCACATTTTTTTTTTTTTTTTTTTTTTTTTTATATATAGAGGACATAGGCATTAAAAATTGCAATCTGGCTCACATAGATTGCAATTTTCTTGTACCAGGTCCTAGTTTTTCGGTTCACCAGATAGGGCTGTATGCATTGGTCAGCCAAGTCTACTCCCCCCATAAACTTGGTGTAGTCTACAATGCACTTCGGCTTTTCCAGATGCTCAGTGCTACCTCTCACAGACTCTGGCACTGCACTTTCGTCGTGTATCGTAGATGGCATGTATACATCCTTCCTATCTTTGAAGCGAAGGACAAGCAACTCATCCTGGCAGTGAGCTGGAGAGGAACCTCTACTGCTTCTGCCTCTTGCTAGGGCTTGGGGGGAAACCCCTGCGATTCTTCCTCACTGTGCCACAGGCTAGGGTTTCTAAGCAATATAAATTTTTTAATAATTGTATACTGGTATAATAATTGTCAACCCATAGCCTTATTTAACAAGGGAAAAATTAGATCCCAAACAATCTTGCCACTTGTACCCACAGAATCAGGGCATCCTGGTGGGTCAAGATGGCTATCCTTCCCCTGGTAAATGCGAAACGCCCATGTGTAACCAGTACAGGATTCACATAATTTATAAAATTTAACGCCATATCGGGACTGCTTAGATGGAATAGATTGCTTAAATAGCAGTCAACCTTTAAATTTCATAAGGGACTCGTCAATTGAAATATCTTTATCGGGGTCATAATTTTCAGAAAATTTGTCTGACAGGAGTTGGATAAAGGGCCTAATTTTATAGAGCCTGTCAAATAGTGGGTCGTTTCTAGGGGGGACACAGTGAGGAGTTATCATTAAAATGAAGGAATCGCAGCAGTTGCAGGTAGCGATCCCTCTACATAACCTCGGGGAAAAGAGGGGTAGCCAGGATGCGTTGCTTTCTCCTGATACTGGGCTTTTTAACTATACCCATCATTAGGGTTAAAGCCCAAAACCGCTTCATCTCTGCAACATCCGTGGGTCTCCACATATTCCTGCGACTATGATGGGATCCTGGATGTGCAGAGAGATACTGCATGGCAAACAAATTTGTTTGCTGAGCCATGAGCTCAAATACATCTTCCGACATAAAGAGCTCAAAAAAACGAATTGGCTCGCAGTCGTCCACTGTTGTTGGGGATATTTTCAGCTATTCACGGGGACCCGCTTTGGTTGATGGATGTTTGCCAACCCTTACAGAGCTTTGGAAATGAAAAGCAGAGACGTGTTCCATATCCAACTCAACCAATTTAATGACAGTTATTTTTATACATATTTTTCGTAGATTGTTATTCATAAGTTATAAGCAGCTGTTTCATGTTATATCACGCACGTATCTTTGATAAAAAACAGATGTTTACAAATACCAAAATCTTGGACATTTAACAAGAACATTTTGCAATCAGTATTCTTCCCCTAAATGATATTTAGAAAAATTCTTCCGGGAATGTATTAACAAATTAATTAACAAATTAACCCTTATATGAACAGCTAGGATAGATAGTAAAAGGGATATTCGTATCCTACAATTCCCCTCTTAGATCATATCATGATCTACCTTACGGAAAATATCCATGGGAGGCCTGCGTCAGAGAAACAAAAGGAGGTATATTCAGACGTGCTAATCACGTCTGCGGGACTTACGTTATTTCTTCACCTTGATTTCCCCCATTTGCTCTGTGCCGTAGGTTTCCCTTTAAGAGGAGTTCAAGCTGTCTGTTTTCAGCTTTTTCATTTATCTGTTAAATACATCTTTTAAGCGTGTAAGTTAAATATTTCAAACAGCTGACATGTTGACCAATTTTAAACAGACTGAACATCATGTCATCTATAACTTGAGTCTTGGGTCAGTACAGGCAAAGTGTATTATTCCCAACAACGGAAATATTATTATTATTATTATTATTATTATTTATTCACAACGTACACGCATATAGTCAAAATGGGAATAATACCTATTCCCCCTCCTTGAACCAGGGTCTAGGATTACCAGTACACCTCTGGGGCCAGGTCAAAAAACCCAGTGGCAAAAATTTACATCTGGGGAAACCCTGAGTGAGGGCCATGACTGTGTAGACATGTCATCCCCTCACGTTAACACCATTTGTGACTTATAAAACCCGCACCTGTGAGTACAGAGCTTGGGTATCGGGAGGGATTGTGAAACACTTCTTGATTAGTTTGAAAAGGCCCACTTACATATTTAATTATGAGAACTTATAACCAGCTTGTAATTCTAACAATAATCCCAATCATGACCTTGCGTCCTATGTCTCCTAATCACATACCTATTTCGATGGTCCTGTCATATGCACACTTTTAATACATGGGAATCCATCCTTGGTACACTCAACATACATCAATGACACACATAGTACATCCATGCCTGAGTAAGCTAACACTTCCTCTCTCTCCGACTAACTCTACAAAAATAAAAATAACAAAATAGTCCAGAAAAATAGAATGTCTTTCAAGGAGTATAAAGAATCTTAGACACCATAAACTTTGTTCCATAATCTTAGACACCATAACATAGCTAAGGGTAGCAATATGGCTGACAACAAGACAATGTCAGCTTCCACATAGTTCTTAATTCTTCTTTTGTTTGCTGGATGTTCACCACAATGCTCTGTGCAACACCCCCATTGTTGAAAGGGATAATACAGAACTAGCGGCATTAGACAGCACTGTACCTTTAGGACTTTCCAAGTTAGTTTATGTCCTCATAAGTAAGCATCTCAGTTTCTTTGGCCTGCATGGATTTCGACCAAACAAATTTATTTGCAAAATAGGTAGGTAGATAGGTAGGTCAGCCAGAGAGATTGGTGTGTAGTCCCAAATATCAGGCAGCAAAAATACTCCAGTGCAGTCTCTATAATCATACAAACACAAGGATCAGCACGACATCAATAAATTATCTAGGCTAAACTCAAATTAGAGACTAAAGTTAAACCCTTAACTAGTGTAACATGTACTTCTCTCAGTTTTGCTTATATTTAATTGAATTTGTCCTTAATAAAATTTTACATTATTTCCCTTTGGAATGCCTTTGTACATATGGGAATAATTCCCAATAAAATACTGTTCTTAAACTTAAACCTTGATTTGATTACTTTAATAGAATTGGAATGCTGAAGTCTGTCACAATTACGTTACAAATTGACTAAGCATACATAATTTTACTTTAGTTATTTCACATTGTGCAGCCTATGCTAAATTGTGTATGCGAGATTGACAGACTTCCTCGAATCCAACTCTCTGCTAGACCCGCTTCAGTCTGGTTTCCGCGCTAAGCACTCTGGAAACGGCACTGACCAAAGTGACAATGATCTACTCGCTGCAAAATCTCGTGGTCACTACTCGATCCTAATTCTCCTTGTCCTGTCTGCGGCTTTTGACACTGTTGATCATCAACAGCTTCTTCTCATCCTCCGCAATATCGGTCTACAAGGTATTGCTCTCTCCTGGTGCTCCTTCTATCTCTCCCAGCGCTCTTTCAGTGTTTCTTTCTCTGGCTCTTCTTCTTCTCCCCAACTCCTCTCTGTTGGTGTCCCCCAAGATTCAGTCCTTGGTCCCCTACTGTTCTCCATCTATACTGCCTCCCTTGGTAAACTCATTAGCTCCTTTGGCTTCCAGTATCATTTCTATGCAGGTGACACACAAATCTACCTGTCCTCTCCTGCTCTCTCCCCGTCCCTCTTGACTAGTGTCTCTGACTGCCTCTCTGCTGTTTCTAACTGGATGGCTGCCCACTTCCTTAAACTAAACTTGACCAAAACTGATATTCTGGTCTTTCCTCCCTCAAGTGTTGTTACTCCTGTGTCTGTCTCCCTCCAAGTCAACGGTGCTACCATCAGCTCCACCACGCAGGCTCGCTGCCTACGTGTTCTCTTTGACTCCGACCTCTCCTTCAAGCCTCATGTTCAATCTTTCACCAAATCCTGTCATTTCCATCTCAAAAACATTGCGCGCATCCGCCCCTATTTAACTCCAGATGCGACTAAGGTGTTGGTCCGTTCCATTGTCCTTTCTCGCCTTGACTACTGTAATCCGCTTCTCAGTGGTCTTGCGTGCTCCCAACTTACAGTCTATAATGAATGCGGCGGCGAGGCTCATCTTCCTGTCCGCCCGCACCTCCCATGCCCCACCCTTCTGTCAGTCGCTAAATTGGCTTTCTATAAAATATAGAGCTCAATTTAAAATTCTGGTTCTTGCTTTCAAATCTCTACATAATGCTGCTCCCACCTATCTATCCTTCCTTATACACAAGTATGTCCCGTCTAGGCCCTTACAATCTGCTGAAGACTTGCGTCTATCTTCTGTCCGTACTCCCACCTCTGATGCTCGCTTTCAAGATTTCTCAAGGGCTGCACCGTTCCTGTGGAACTCGCTTCCCTCCTCCATTAGATGCTCACCCATAAAAGCATATGAATTAAACTGTTAATAGCTCCTGACTGATTCCTCATTTGCAACTGTCACTAGTCTAATACTATCCTTACCTTTTTGTGTCATTTTATCCCACTCCCTCTAGCTCATTGAGCAGGGCCCTCAACCTCTCTGTTCCTGTGTGTCCAACTTGTCTGGTTACAACTACATGTCTGTTCGTCCACCCATTGTAAAGCGCTGCTGAATTTGACGGCGCTCTATAAATATCATAATAATAATAATGTCTAGGTCCCAATAAATTAAAACCGTTAGTTTTATCACTCAAAACTATATATAAAATATTAAGAACATGAACCATCTGTATATTAGGCTGGGGTTGTTGGGTTTGGGTATGGGTTGGAATCTGTGGTTGGTAATGAGGAATCTGTTGGGGTGGGTTTGGGCTCTCATTTCTCCAGTGACCCTGCTATCCACAATTAAAACAATGTTTATGTAAGGCACAGTTGCCTAGGGGTGTATACATAAAGTGAAAGCAGAGTCTTCATATAGGGTTTGCAATACTGACAGTCTGGGTCATGGGTGTAATGCAGACATGCAGTTAGGTACTTTTCCATTGTCTGAATACATTGAAAACACTAATATATTGCAAATATTAAAATCCTATTGCGGCTGTTTCCTATACCTGCAAGGATATGGTTGGAATACTTCAATTGAGCTCAAATTCAGTATCACAAGTCCAACCACAAAAACTAAATTTTATATGCTTATCAAAAATGAGTTTAACCCCTTAGCAAGTTAATTGAGTAACCTCTTCCCATAATTTGACTTCTTTTATAATTATATTATTTATTCTCTTCTGGGTCTGCAAAATGCTTTCAATTTACCAATACAAATATAATACAGTAGTTTAGGATTGCCTCACTTATAATCATCAGAAATTGCCTGATCTCTATTAAAAATACCCTATACCCTATACCCTCATTACCCTATGATCAATGAGGCTTACCAGATGAATCTTAATTTTGAAAAAAAAAACATCCATACATTTTTTTTCTTTTCAGTTTTATATAACCATATAACATAACAATTTTTTTCTTTGACATAAATAATGTAATGCACTTTAAAAGTAGAGTTAAATATTCTAAATACTCCCCATATAATACATAGAGAGAGACGTTTAAAAATGGAAACGTGGATCCATGATTTTGAAAAGCATATGTTTGTTTTTTTTTTTCCAGGGGCCCCTTTTTTTTGTCAGCTGATCAGCTTTAATCTGTTGTAAAAAGATACAAAAGGCTTGCGTTAATGACATGCAAATATTCTTTAACTTAAATATTTAAACTCCTACACAATGGACATCAACACATAAAACACCAATTACAAACCATATAACTCATACTCTGCAATCATTGTAATATCACACATGTCATCTTACAGCACAGAACACAACAAACGTAGCAGATATCCAACAGACATGCCAATACAAAAAGCATATTCATGGACAGGCAACTAAACCATGATCAATCTAAAATAAATGTCACACTCTGTGTCCCCAGAAGAAACACTGTTAGACATAATGTAGGTTCTTATGTTTGTGCATTATGCATTTCTGCAAACTATGCAACCAGCTTTAAGGATAGATCAGAAAACCTGGCAACTGGACAGGAAAGTTGAATTTTGGCAAGAAGTCCATTATTGCAACAGAATTTTGGAGATCAACCAGAACTTACAAAAACTCATTTTTTTATGCTAGAACTACGACTCCTATCAGTACTGAGACAAACTGATCCAAATATAATACAACACAGTAAAACGCCCATTAATCTATTTGTCAATTAAACTGCATACTTCAAAATGAGTATCCAAAACACACATTTATTACAATCATCATTTACACAAAATAAACTTTTAGCAGCTGTATTCAGAACATATTATTGTAAGGTATACTAATTTTAGTTTGTATCATATTTATTTGAGTTCTGGTACCAAGGGTTTTTCTTTTTAAAGAATGGATCCCGTATGGGACATGTGGCGAAACCGACCTCGCCACGTGTCCTTGGAGGGGGCTGCTTGCCCGCCTCTTCCCCTTGGACTATGGACCAGACTTTATGTGAATGTGTTAACCCAGATAGCTATGCCATTCGTGTAGTTAAAGACTTTGGCTCCATGGCAATTGACCTGTGTGAATAGGATCTGAGCGCTCTTCGGTAGTTTTGTGCACTCAGATCCCAGCTATCTGGGGATATGTGAAATGTCTGTGTGTTATGTGTAAAAGGTGACTTTATGTATTTTAAAGTGTTTTATGTGCTCAATGGAGTCTGCCTCTATCCCTGGATAATTACTTTCCCCATTGTCTCCAGGATAGAGGGCTCTGTAAAACCTGTTTGAGCCAGATATCCATGTGCCAGCCAGGGCCCAAAAGATACTTTTACTAACTTTTGAACCCCTGGTCTGATTCATGCCATTTTTTAATATGTTGTTCCCCTGAATGGATTGATTGTGAATATGTAATTTTATGTGAATGTGATGTATGGTTTTAGAAGTTATGAAAGTTGGGTAGAAAGTATGTTTTAACTGTATGTGTAATTGAGTTTCCTCTCAGGATAAGGGGAGGGAATATGTTTGATGTAACTGATATGTGATTGGTTGTATTATACCTCCCTGTGGGCGGTCCTGTATTTGAAAAGACTGTATAAAAACCAGGCTGGGTGTGCCAGCACCTGAGTTCCTGCTTAACCCTCAAAGTGAAGTGTCGTCTCATTATTGGGGGAGGATTCATTGTATGCTGTTCCAGTTTGACTGCTAGGAGTGTAAACCTACTCGCATGGTTTTTCCTATTCAGCTGAATACAACAATCATATGCTTGAGCATTCATATGCTCCTACGGTTCGGTGGTTTTGGTGTCTGCTGCAGTGCTTGGAGTCCTCGGGAAGTGCTAGGAGCATCCTTTAACGGAGGTACCCAGTCGGGGTGCCAGGTGATCCGTTACAGGACATATAGCGCGCTAGACTTAAATATTTGTATAACACTTGCATTAACCAGTTGCAACATATGTACCCTGTCAATAGAATTTCTCCTTTATAATCTTGTAGAACATTTGGGCCAGATTACACAGACATGGTATCATCTGCATTTGTCAGAAATCTCAAAGACTCAGATTTTTTTTTTTATACTATTCCATGTTAAAAGACATGGTAAAATCTTGACCGGTCAATTTGAGTTCCCAAAAGTCATAATGACACAGGTGAAAACCTTTGTCCATGGTTTTCTGATCCTACATACCTGACCAAACATCAAACCCACTTCAGGGAGTCTTCAGTTGTGGTCACAAGGAATACAATCTCAGCACCCCTACATAACAATTTACAGATTTTCACAATTTTACAGAACACATACAATGTGAGCCCTATTAGTCATAGCAGGGAATCTTTCCTTAAATCATAGAGAATTCTAAAGCATATACAACAGGTGATGCACTGGATATTTTCAAGTACCTGTAGCAAGCACAAGTTAGCTTACAGCACAAAATGAAGCATGTGTTGGAACACTGAAAATATAAATTTTGCTCTCTTACTTATAAACATCTACATTTACAACATGAATTCTCTGCAACAAACACACAGTGCAGAAAGAATGTGGTGTTTGAAGTTTTCAACTAATGAAGTGAATTTTGTCCCAATATGAAAATAAAGGGCTCATCATGCAAACAATCATACATGCAGAGACACCATGTTAGTTCTAACACCCCCCTTAATTAACCTTTATTTCTTTAATTCTTATCCCCTCTTAGTGTAAGCCATTCTCTCCTTGAATCGGGGGGGATGTTGATATTTTTTAGACTGGGAAGTACCCATTTCAGACTCACAGGCAATTAAGACATGCTTAAATTCAGAGTTGCCGCTTACATAAAATAGCACATAAAGTAGCTATACAGCAAAGAATATTGCAAGCAAGCAAGCTGGAGTACAGACAAACATCCATCAAATACAGGGATAAAACCATTCTTTTAACTTTTTTTTTTTTTTTTTTTAAACCTGTTAGCCTGCCAAAGGCAATATCTACATATACATTATAGCCTCCCAAAGGCTCGAGTACTCTTGTTCTATAAACTGCCAAAGGTTAATCTCCTACCACAGGATGTAGGGATGTCTTCCAAAGACAAAATCCCTTAAAAGTCTACCTTAGACTATACAGCAAAAAACCTCTTTAAATAAAATGCAATGTGTGGAGGATGGGAAAAGGAAGGAAAAGAATGAATGTCTAATAGACATAAAATCCTCACCTGACCTCTCTGTTCCGTCCAATTGCACCCCAAACACTTCTGACACCAATTTGTTGGGGATATTTTCAACTATACACGGGGACCCGCTTTGGTTGATGGATGTTTGCCAACTCTTACAGAGCTCTGTAAATTGGAAATGAAAAGCAGAGACGTGTTCCATATCCAACTCAACCAATTTAATGACAGTTATTTTTATACATACTTTTTCAGAGCAGGATGGGAGGGAGAAAAAGATGAGCATATGGGCGGGACAATTACGTAGATTGTTATTCACAAGTTATAAGCAGCTGTTTCTTGTTATATCCTATGTTATATAACATATATTTGATTAAAAAAAAATAGATGTTTACAAATACCAAAATCTTGGACAATTAACAAGAACATTTCGCAATACGTATTATTCCCGTATATGATATTTAGAAAAATTCTTCCGGGAATGTATAAGAACAAATTAACCATTATGTGAACAGCTAGGATAGATAGTAAAATGCATATTCATATCCTACAACAGTGATGCCAGGTGTAACAGTGAACGGCGGTATTTCTGGGGCCATCATGTTTAGAGGCACCCAGTCTCCATCTGGCATTGGGCATTCTGAGCATCCCCTTGTGAGTGGTGGAGGGGCACCATCACTTGAGGACTCACTCAGAGGCTCAATGTCAGAAGCAGTGATAGTGTCACTGTCTTGCAGAGTGTTACCATCACTGCCTGCCAGAATGGCATATGCCTCCTTGGCTGGGGACATACGCCATTCTAGGGGGACAAATTAATTTATATACTAAGGGGGTAATTAATTATCTACCTGCATAACATCCACTACCCGCCCTCAAAAATAATATAATTGTACTGATCACAGTATAGGCAGCTGCAATCAGTATGAAAGGGTTATTTTTATTTTTTGATATATAAAAAAGATACTAAACAGTATAGTGATTACGGCAACGGTGAAAGGGTTAAGGGAGATTAGAGTTGCTGCGACTGACACGAAGGGTCAAAAAAATTAAATATAGTACAAAAGTACTAAATGCCCTAATCAGGCTGATGACAGTAATATACTGTGATCAGCATTGAAAGGGTTAAATAAAATATTTTTAAAAAAACTTTCTTCTTCACAGGAGCTGCAATCAACGATCTCTCTGCCTCTCTCTCTCTCAGATCAAAGTGAGGGGCAGAGGCAATGTGTCAGCCAGTGATTTCAGATCATTGGCTGACACTAACAGTGATCACAGTGACTGGCTGTCACTGTGATCACCTCCTGCAGATCGTGGTAATTGGCCACAGGGGGGGTGCCTGGGTGGCCAGCCATGCCCCCCACCGCGATCAGCAGGGGGATCATGGCTGCAGTTACATGTTTCAGCCAATAGGCTGCGATCAGAGTGCAATGACAGCCTGTCACTGCGATCAGACTGCAGTCTGGCTGTGCAGATCGCTGTCACTGACCGCAGGGGGACTGCCTGGGTGGCCAGGCATGCCCCCCGACCGCAATCTGCAGCAGGGTAATGGCGGCAAGAACGGCTAGGATGTTCTATGCCGCCCTGCGGTGTTTAGAGCCAGCCCCTAAAGGACGGTATAGAGCTTAAGGGGTTAAAGGATACCTCCTGTGGTTGGTAGGTGAAGTATAGGAGCAATCAGTCTATGGCTGTGTTTGTGAAGCTTCACAATCGGTGTCTGAAGATTCATAATCTGACGTGAGAGAATTATCAGAGTTCATCATAACTCTGCGTGTGAAGTGTTTATAAACCTTCCCTGTATAATAGTCATTGGAATCACAGGCAAATTTCTGATGTTTTATGATCTTTGTTGACATTTATCCAAATTCTGTTTCAGTTCAATTTGACTGAAGAAGGGATCAGATTGATGTTGATTCACCCAATCCAATTCCTCATCCAATCTTACATTCACATTCAGTAGTTTTTGAGTATATGTACATCTTACATAGTACAGCTTCCTAGTAACTAGGTTACATAGTTACATAGCTATTCATTTACAACTTGCTACTACAGTCTTCCTTACTGTTCTATAATGTGCAGGTTCCAAGGACATCTGAAACCTATGTGCACAGGAGTGGCAGAACAGCACGTGCATCCAGTGATGGCCTCAGTTTGCTGCTGATTGGACCAGATGACGTCCTCAACTTTAAAAAAATATGCAGGACTTTGGATAAGAATGAGGATCTCCCTGTTTTTCCAGTGCAAGCAAAAATCATGAACGGGATAAAGGTATATTTTGTACTTTAAATGCAGGACAGTATTTCTTTCATATGTTCCCATGGATTAGTTTCCTCTATTCGATATGGTGCTTTGTTTAGGTAGCGTTAAAACAGTTTTTTTTTATTTTACATATACATGACAGAGAGGACACTGTAAAGCTATTTAATGGAAAATAATGCTTATGTATAAGGGCATACAAATTTACACCTTAAAGTGTATAATAGGTTTGTATTTTCCTAATTATCTGGCTTGGCCTATGTTACACATTACTTCCCTTAATACTGTTTAAAAACTAATTTTACTTCTGACAGCACCAGTTATATTTTCAGTGGGCGTTACACTTGTAAGACATACTTCTCATGCATAACCTTGTTTGGGAGACAGACTTGCTTCCCATAGCAGGTTGAAACTTCCCAACAATTTATGTTTGCCTTATGGTATGTGTGGATAACACGTATTTGTTCTTCCTCAAATTGCCTGCCTAACGCTTCTTCAATAAATCATTCTCTCCTCTCTTTGTGCTACTTTCACATAGGGCCTGCACCTCTTCACTACTTCACCTTGTAGGCATTCCTTTCAGATAGGCTTAAAGCAAGCAGGAGATGCGCCCAGAGGAGGGTTTCTCTTTTAACAGACATGCACAGCGCAACCTTGTTATATTTGTGCTGATTAAGCTGACTGACAGAAGGGTAAAGGGCTGTTTTTTAACCTCTGATTTTAGAGAAATCTAAACATTTGTTAAAAATTCTGTTGGCATAAAGTATAGATGATATTTGATTCTCTATCATTTAAGATTATGTTGTATTTGTGATGCCAGGTAGTGAAAGTTATGCATGTTAAAACAAAATGTAACATAGTGTGGATGCATTCCAAGCCTTTGATTGTACCACAGGCCTCTTGATAAAGAGAAAAAGGATTAGGTAGCGCCTAAAATGAAGTGTAAATATATTTAATAACAGAGCAATTATATCACAAAAATAGAGCGGTAATAAGCAAATAAAATAGAAATTATAAAAATATAAGTCCGATACATGGAGGTGCAGGTTTTTGTTTTTTTGTCTTTATTTTTTTTACAATCTTTATTTAACTTTTTTTTTTTTTTTTTAACAGAAAGTAGTTAGACAAAGGATCAATGTTTAAAAAAATAACAATGCGAGACAAATCATCTTTTGATGCTGCAACCACTGTACCCATGGATACATTTGCGGTTGTATAATGTAGGTAGCGGAGTGGTTAGTGTGTTTTTTTTGTTTTTGTTTTCTCTATTTGACAATCTCAGTAGTTTTTCATTGAAAGTTTCTCAAAAGTATTAATACATACAGTCATAGCATACAGGTGGGAATCCCTTACAAAGTAGGTCTATTTCTCTCTCGTGAGGAACCACTTTGAAAGGGAGAGTGGAAAATATAGTAGACTTCATAAATCTGAGAGGATAGGCTTACGGGTTTCGCTGCCAGCGATGTCCTTTTCCCCCTAGTAGCGAGTTATGCTGCAGCAGTACCAGGAGACTTGACCAATAGCGATAATCCAATGCAAGTATAGTAGTGATATAGCAGGTATAGCTTTCCCCCATAGACATTAGTCGAGACTGAATGTTGGGGGTGAACTGGTTTATTGGAGGCCACACACGGGCTTTTATGCAACAGCACCTGCAAGGGGTGTCTGACTCAACATTACAGGGTAACCCCATGGTTTATCTGTACCTGTGAGAGAACTATTTGAAAGTAAACATCTAAATTAAATTATCTCTCAGGCACAGAACATGTACAATTTTATACACCCCAAAATACACGCAACACAATCTGGTACCCCCTCAACTCTTATATCCCCTGATAGCCTGGATCTGAGCGCCCAACATTTCCAAAACGCGATCCGATCCCACGAACGCAGCAGAAACGCCAGCGGGGTAAAGTTCTGACCTTCCGCACACAAGGCTCCTTCCCAAAATAGTTCCATGGAATTGAGATGAGTGGTTGGTCTCTTTTGGGGGTCTGAAAACACACAAAATACAGAACGTAGGTCTTAGCCCCTATGCTGATTACGTGTCCCTCATTCGGGAGTATGCTCCCTCTGAACAGTGTTCTTTTCAGATGAATGAAACCAAATGCAGGCGGAAATGGAACTTCAGCGGTGTTCAGGCGGTCCAGTGTCCGATTTTAGTTCCATGCATTCGACAACCAAACACTGCTGCCTGCGTTCATGGCCCAAAATGGCCGCCACCACGCCCATTTAGAACGCTGTGTTGACAGTGTTGATAGAGGTTAACAAGCACCATATGACCGGTCTGATAGTTTGTGGTTTTGTTAAGTATTCGAACAAAACTAGAATAAAATTTTACGCGAGCACAGTATACCGAACAAACCGGAGTATAAAGAATAAAAGGAGCTTTAATAGTCCAGTGACAGGGTGGTTTGTCACAAGCGGGTTGGGAGAAAAGGAAGAAAGTGTGAGGGGAAAGGGAGAGAGAAGGTGGAAAAAATGGGGGGGGGAGTGGTAGGGCAGGGGATGCTTGTTCTGAATTATTACTCCAGTCCCGCCTACTCCTACCCCCAAGGGGGCCCCGCAGTCTCCTGTCGCATTTACGGGCACAACACATGGTCTGTGGTGGGCTTAATGCAATGTCCTTGTCCAAGTGGTAAATCCAGCTTCTCCTTATCTCCTCATGCTTCTCCAGTCTTCCTTTAGTTGTGGCAACCCCCTCCTCCAGTTGGCAGATCTCATCTACTCTGCTGAGACAGTTTTGGAATGGCGGAGTGTCCATCAGTTTGCAGAAAGTGGGTATTAACCCCTTAAGGACTGAGCCAAATGTACACGTTGAGATCAAAACAAAACGTTAACAAAACCTGGCATTTGCGCTATGTCTGTCTAACCGTAATTCACCTCTTTCATATTAATCATATTAAATGCACCCACACTTAATATATATCATTTTATTCAGGGAAAACAGGACTTTCATTTAACATCAAATATTTATGTATGAAACATAATTTACTATGAATAAAATATAAAAATAATGGGAGAAAATAAGAATTTTATTTTTTTTTTCTTAGTTCTACGTGACATTTTAACTGTGAATGTCAAAATACCGTTTGCTTTTACTGCAATAAAATACACATATTTGTATTCAACAATGTTTTACGTGTAAAACAGTACCTCCTATGTACAGGTTTTATGGTGTTTTGGGAAGTTAGAGGGTCAAATATAGCACGTTACATTTTTCAGTTTTTCCCTTCAGATTAGAGGCAGTGCTTTATAAATGGGATTTCTAATCTGGAGGGGAAAAAAACAGGCAGGCAATCCCTCAAAATTTTAAGAACCTCCCCCAATTAACCTTTGGCACTATAAAGTGCCTCTTACCTAGGACAGCCCCAGTTCTTTGCCTGCCTTCGGCAGAGGAGGGTGTCTGGTTTTCCCCAGGAGCAAGGTGAGAGGGCTGAGGCTCGAGAGGCTCTGCTTCTTTTCGCATGTTCTGCTAGGGGTAAGCACGCCAGACGTCTGCATTCCCATGTGTTTTATTTGCTGCCGTCTATACCGTGCCGCGTAGACAATGGGTGCATGTGTGCGCCAGCTGGGAGGTCCTGGCGGTGGAACGCACATACAGGTTGCGATGCGTTCCACCGTGAATTTGCGGTGCGCATGCGCAATGCGATTTCACAATTCAGGCGCCAAAATTGTAAAAAATAAGTACAATTTCTCTCCCTTTCAAAATGTTGGTTTCTTAAAGGAACTATTTACCCAGCAGCAACTAACTGTTCTCACCTGCCCTCCAACACACTTTGAGGCCATTTAAGGGTAAGACTTTTGCTTTTATCTTATGAGTCTAGCCTGAAATGTAATTCATTTCATCTGTGCTGCAACTCAGTCCACAAGGATTTAAGCAATATATAAGTTCCAATTCTCTAAAAGGCTTCAGTAATGGTTTGACTTTTTACCTGCTGTCCTATAGGTACCGCTTCTGAGGATGTAAAGTCAGAAGCTTTGCCTGAGCTCAGGTTCTGGTGCAGGTATAAACTTATTGTCTGAAAGCATTCAGCTGATGAATACATAAGGTTAATTTCAAGGAACAGGCTCCCTTCCCCCTTGAAACTTCACAAGTTGTCATTACTCATATCAACAAAGCTAACCTTAATTGTCAGGAATTTTAGGGGTACTGAACATTTCCCAGGCATGCAAATATAATCTAGGTCAGATTATGTGCTAAACTGAATGATGGAATTGCAAAAATTTAAATCTACTTTGCTAAATTGGTTACAGCAAAGTTTGCATCAAACATGTTTGAAATGCATTCTGCAGCCATTCAGTCAGCTCAAGCCTCTGCTTCCCAAGACCGGCTAAGAAAAAGCTTAGATCATGGGTATTGTCTTACGCATTCAGTTTCAGAATCCAGAGAGGAGTATCCCAGCTACAGGCGTCATACCAGGCACTCCTTTATCACCTGAACACAAGATGATTACCAAAATCTTATGAATATTTAGTTCAGGGGAATAGCCAAGCTCTGGATGATAATGAATTGCCACATTTTATCCATCTCCTACTGGCGGCCATTCTGACACAATGGCAATCTAAGTTGACTCAGTTGACAGTTTTTACCTCTGTCTGAAATCAGAATGAGGGCCTGTAGATGTTCCCAGGGATGTACTGATGCCCTTAAAATATTTATATTTTATATCAGAAGATTGTGACAGAGGCATTGAAATAAAATAACTCACATTTTTGCTGAGTCCTCAATCCTCACATTCTTACAGATCTCCAGGCTTGTTACAATCCTTCCAAGCTGTCACAAAGAGTCTATGTGATGCCACTGTGTGTTATCTATGTGAAAAGACTCACATTCGGCCACTAAAGTTGGTAGCCTGTATGAACTCGCCATGGAAACCTATTTATTTCTCATGGTCTGGTACAGCTCTGCAGGCCTCTTGATCGTGGGACATATCCACCTTAGTCATTCTTGCAACCTGCACTGCACAGAAACGGGATATAATTGTTTATTGTTACTACTCATGTTTATTTTTCCGTTTCTTTTTAAGAAAGGTTTGAATGGCAATTCCTACTTGTGGTTCTCTCACTATGCAGTATGTTCCCATCCTATAAATTGGTTGATTTTCTACTATGCTGTTGCCAATCGGGCATCTTAATTTTCTTGTACGCCCGCCCCTCAAGGTTATGGAGCATTGTCAACAGCCTAAACAAGGATTCTAGTGATTCTTCTGATAATTAATTTGCTTTCCAGAGGAAGTGCATAATAAAGAACAGTTCAGGAGCAAAGAAAAGAAATCCAAAGTTTTACATTGGCATCCACTTTTCAAGGATTTGACTCTCAGGGAATGGTAATTCCCCGGAGGGATTCCTTTAATTTCTATTATCCTTTAATAGACAAGAGGCTATAAAAATTAGTATTGATTCTTCTAAAATAAACTTTTTTGTCTCTTCAGCATCTCTATGCATAGCACTGTTTACAGATTCTTCAGTGGCAAAGGCACAAAAACATTCGCTGGAAGCATTAGAAAAGATTTATACGTGTAAATCCAAAGAATACTCTGCCTTTCCATTTGAACCAGGCTGAAATGAAGGATGCCAGACAGTCTGTCAGATCCCTTCTAGTTCTCAAGACAATCAACATGTTTTCATTTGAAAGTCTGCATATCAGACTACTATGGCTAGTTTCAAAAGCTAGGCAGTCTTGTCCCTGGTTTGTTTCTGGATGGGAGACCAGTCGTTTCTTACCATAAGGTGAATTTAGCTTAAAACAGAACCCAGCAAAAGATTCCTAAGCTTCACATTCATCTTCCGGGGACATGGTCTGCTTTATCAATCAGAGCTCTTCCCTTTGGTCTTATCTAAGCCCTTAGAGTGTTTCCTAAGTTTCTGGAAGTTATTTCAGCAGCCTCTTTCCCATCGTTCAGTTGGTTAAAGGCCAGAGTGAGACCTCTTCAAAGAAGCCCTCTAACCCCTTAAGGACACATGGCATGTGTGACATGTCATGATTCCCTTTTATTCCAGAAGTTTGGTCCTTAAGGGGTTAAGCTTCTGGAACAAGCAAACATACAGCTTGGAAACCTCTGAACCTCAATATTCACTCTCTGCAGAGTTTTTTTTCTGGTGGACCTCGTTCCGTTTCTGCAATCAGGTTTTTTCTTTCCATATGATGTAGTTTAGAATTTTACGTCTTAAGGCCTCGAGTCTCGGCTAGGGTTCTCATATGGGTGAAATGAAGAAACTCTTTGTTCGAGTATAGAAAATCTTTGTTCCAGTATATGCAGTGATCAGCGTTTCCCTTCGGTCTTTTCAGCTATATATTTATAATAGGAGTATTCAACATTATAGCAGCAGCAGTAAGTCGTCAACATTTAATACAAGCAGATTGGTCCTTTTCTCCCAGATCTTCGGTCAAATAGAAAGGCAGAAATAGACCTAATGGCTTCTAGATCAAACCAGAAATTATGACATTTTACATCTTTGGACCTCTTAGACAGACCAGAGGTCATAGATTCCCTTTCTATTCTATGGAATTAAAGCCTAGCCTATAAATTTCCTACTATTTCCCAAGGATTCTACAGGATGGAAGGGATAAGAATTATTGTAATTATCCCTTGCTGGCAGAGATGTTGGTTCACCATTGTAATTTAACTGGATTAATCCTTTGGAAACATCCCCTGTCAGTTGACATCCTGGAACACTTCATGGTTCCTCTTCCAACTTGTAGAACTTGAAACTGACGTCCTGGTTTTTTGAATACCACATATTAAAGGGAAAGTGTTTTTTCTCTTGAATTTTTGAGATTTTAAAATATGCTAAAACATTGATGTATTGGTTCAAAGAATATCCAGTACCTGCTTCCATTCTTTAACATCCTTAAATTCCTTCTGATGGGCTTTGCGAGAGATTTGAAACTAGGCTATCCGTTCTTTTCATCATTTGTTTAACTCCGTATTCTTAAATCTCCAGAATTGTCAAGGCTTTGTCTCATGTGGTTCCTACCATCAGGGAAACTTTTCCTCCATGGGGTCTTATTTTTTTTCCCCCTATCTCTTCAGCTCTGCTGATCTTGAGTCTTCTCTCAGCCTACAGCCATACAAGTCTGAAAGTGCCTGATCTCATCATTTCTCAGAAGCTATTCGGACTCGGGCCTGGTTAGTACTTGTATGGGAGACCAACTAGGAACCTCAGGTGCTGTAAGCTAAAGCAATTATCTAGGTCCAAAAAATTGGGAGAACTCCAAGCACTTTCACAAGTCTGAAAGTGCCTGAACTCCTCATTTCTCAGAAGCTATTCGGACTCGGGCCTGGTTAGTACTTGTATTGGAGACCAACTAGGAACCACAGGTGCTGTAAGCTAAAGCAATTATCTAGGCCCAAATAATTGGGAGAACTCCAAGCTCTAATTCATTTTTTTTCCATTTTTTCATCAGGACAAAGTGGTGTTAAAGTTGAATCCTTCTTTTATTCCCATGGTTGGTTCTTCGTCTACCATCTATCATTATTTTACCAACGTTGGACATCAGTCTTCTAAGTCTTTAGAATTCAATTTCCAATGCCTGTATGTTAAGAGTTCTCTTCTGCAGTACCTGAAGAGTACAAAGTCATTTAGGTAATCTAACCTACTTTGTCTTGTTTCATGGTCCTTGTTTAGGTTTTTTGGTTTCTACAGGCTCTGGCCAGTGGGTTGAAAGTCTGCATTTTTTTTTATTTTTTTTCTAACATTCCTTCACCTATCTCCATTGAAGCTCTTTCTATCAGAGCGATGTCCACATCTTGAGCCCTGCGGGCTTCAGCTATACCTTCTCATGAATTTTTCTACAGCCACTTGGTCTTCTCTTCACTCATTTGCTAAACATTACAATTAGGCATTCTGACCTCGGAAGACGCAACTTTTGGGCGCACTGTGTTACATGCAATTGTGAAATGAGTCCAGCCCTTAGGGGATTGCTTTGGTTATCCCTGTTGTAAAGCACTGCCTCTAATCTGAAGGGAAAAGCATAAATTTTTACTTAGCGTAAATTTCATTTTCGTGAAGATTTTCTAATCGAATAAGTTGTGCAGTTATCCGGATTTTGTATTTTCTGGGGTTGTCTTGGGTAAGAGGCAATTTATAGTGGGGGAGGTTCTTGAAATTTTGGGGGATTGCCTGCCTGTTTTTTTCCCTCCAGATTAGAAATCCCTGTTGTAAAGCACTGCCTCTAATCTTCAGGAAAAATAAATTTACAGTAAATAAAAAATGTATACTTTTTTTTACATTGAAATTCGCCAGATAGGTTACGTTGCTGTTGAGACCGTAGGGTAGCCCAGGAATGAGAATTACCCCCATAATGGCATACCATTTGCAAAAGAAGACACCCCAAGGTATTGCAAATGGGGTATGTCCAGTCTTTTTTAGGAGCCACTTGGTCACAAACACTAGCCAAAGTTAATGTTAATATTTGTTTGTGTGTGAAAAATGCAAAAAACTAATTTGAACGCCAATTTTGGCCAGTGTTTGTGACTAAGTGGCTACTAAAAAAGACTGAACATACCCCATTTGCAATACCTTGGGTTGTCTACGTTTGCAAATGGTATGCCATCATGGGGATAATTTTTATTCCTGGGCTACCATACGGTCTCAAAGGCAAAGTAACCAATCTGGCGAATTTCAAAGTGAAAAAACTGAAACGCAAGCCTTATATTTGACTCTGTAACTTTTGAAAATAACATAAAACCTGTACATTAAGGGGTACTGTTATACTTGGGAGACTTTGCTGAACACAAATATTTGTGTTTCAAAACAGTAAACAGTATTACAGCATTAATATCATCAGTGTAAGTGTGTGTGAAAACGGCAAAAAACGTCACTTTCACTGACGATATTATCGTAATACATTTTACGTCGTCCGAGTAAAACAGTATCCCCCATGTACAGGTTTTATGGTGTCTTGGAAAGTTATAGGGTTAAATATAGTCCTAGCAAATTAAATTCCCTATACTTTCGGCCTGGGTTGTCAGACAGGTCCCGCAAATTGTAATTAATAAAGTTACCTAATTATGTAAAATGATTACATAAATATATGTAAAATTATTTATTTATATATATATGTATATGTGTGTGTGTGTATAATTTTTTTGAAATTATTTTTATTTATATATAGGTATACATATGTATATACTTATGTATATAGATATATATATTATTTCGTTCTACGTGTATTTTGATATCAATATATTTATATATATATATATATATATATATATATATATATATATTTTATCAAAATACAGTTAGAACGAAATTACACGTATATATTATAAAAAAAATTCCAAAATATATACATTTATTTATATATATATATATATATATATATTAAAATACACACACACTTAGATCATATATATATGATCTAAGTATATTTTATTTTTAACTAATATTTTATTTTTAACCTTAAGGGGTTAAGGGGGGGGGGGGCTAGCAGAGCAGCACAGACTCCAAAAGCCAAGCAATAACAAGCATTAGACCCCCTACAGAGAGATGGGGGAAAAAAAACAAGAAAATCGCTCGCCTAGAAAGCTCACACCAACCTGACATTAGGCAATCTTTTGAAAAGCCACAGCAGGCTCCACAGGCCAAGATGGCGCCGAGTAGGCCCCGAAACGCCAGCGAGTCCGACTCCTCTATGGAGGAGGAGAACTTCCAGAACGCGACCCCGGCCACCGCATTATGCCGGTCGGAGACGTCGGACTCTGACGACTCGCCTTCAACAAAGGGCGACATCAAAAATCTCCTCCTGGACCTCCGGGAGATATGGAGGTCAGACCTGGCCGGCGTGAGGACAGAAGTGGCCAACATGAAGGGGCGCCTGGAGGCAGTGGAAACCCGAGAAGGCCAAAGAGACGCCTTACTGACCAACTACAGAAGGCAAACGGAAGCACTGACACTCCAACTCCAAAGACTCACCCGCACAGTCACGGAGATGGAGACGCGCCACCGCAGAAGAAATGTCCGCATACGTGGAGCCCCTGAAGACATAGGCCCAGAGGCCTTATTGGCCTACGCAAACAAAGTGGCAGTGGCGATGGGGGCAAAAAAGGGGGGAGAAACATGGCCGATTACGGCAGCCTTCAGGATTCGGAAAGCCCCGACCGCCCCAGCGGACGCACCGAGAGACATCCTAGCCGTTACCCAAGATGTCACGGTCAAAGCGGCACTGATGGCCTCCTCCAGGAAGACCCCAACCATCGCGGTGGACAACCACCACGTCAAAGTTTTCGCTGACATCCCATTCACAACCCTGCTGGAGCGGAGAAAATTTATGCCAATCACCCGCCAGCTGAGAGACAAAGGCATCAGATACCGATGGGGAGCAGCAGGCACACTAGTGGTCCCACAAAAGGACTCAATCCTCACACTGTCTGCGGACGAAAACCCGGCAGGATTCATCCAGGCCCTCCAGCTGCAAGTACCCACGGACGGGGCGGGCGAGACCGAGAACTGGGAGACTGAGTACCGAGAGAGCAACACCAGGGCGGAGAGGAAGAGGAGCAAACAGCACTCACACAATCCCCTACAGACCTGAACAAGCAAAAGGCTAACCCACGATACTTACCAGGTGACACTCACTACAAACCAACTACAAGGACAATACTGGCAGGCAAATAAACTGCCCAAGACTACAAGCTCTATATCCAGACTGATTTGCTATAACTATACTAAGAAGGTCACGTAAATAACCCCAAAGTATTTTTTCAAATTTTTTTTTTTTTGGGGGGGTTTATTTTGTAATTTTTAAATACGCACATAATGAGCTTATGGCTCTACACTGTTACACTCTAAAGACGGGGAAGAGGGAAGGGAGCAGAGAGAAGGGACCAATGCCACAAAAGTGCAGGAGGTACCACCCCAGAGACACAACAACTGCCCCTCTAGCCTATGGATATTGTAGTAACAGTTAGTACCGTGATAGTTATACCTTAGGCTCTTTTCAGTCACATGACCAGATGCCTCCCTCCCTGTATGCCAGTACTTCTGATTATTAATACTGATGGTCACTGTAATACTCACAGATTTGACTACAGCAATGCAGAGCTCAGCACCACAACCTACAATAATGTGCTGGAGTCTACACTGTTAATTTAACACCAGGTTAACATTCTATTCTGTTGACCTAGCATTAGAATACTCCCACACCACTGGAGGCACGAGCAGGGGATACCCAGGAGTATACACAAATGTTATAGGTGTCGTCGCCGCTGTTGCCAAAGGGTGTAATCTAACTATACCGGAGCGGTTTACAAATGACACCTGGAGCCATAGTAAGACCCCACGTAAGATCAGCACACTTAAGAACCACACCATAGGCTCTATAAGGGTCACCAATGGGATGAACCTCAGCCCTTTGTTTTCTTATTCCAGTTTTCACCCTGTCCTGCTCAAACCTACACGGAATGCCTAAGAGTTACAGGGCACTGCACACCATGAGCCACCGTAAACGGCGGGTGTGATATACAGATTTGTGTTAGTGCAGCTCCCTGTCACTGAGTGCACCAGAGAAACTAACATGTTCAACCAACAAAAACCCATGTTTATTATTATGTTTATTATTTATTATTAATAATGACTTATTAATGCAATGTTTAATTTGTATTCCTTTTATCTACATGTAACGAATGTATGTAAGTTACCATCAAAACCAGTGGGACTGTTCCCACCACAAAAATAAAGAATTATATAAAAGAAGGGAGAAGAGGGGCAGAGGCCGTGTCAGCCAGTGATTTCAGATCATTGGCTGACACACAGGAACAGGGATCACCTCCTGCAGATCTCGGTAATTGGCCACAGGGGGAGTGCCTGGGTGGCCTGGCATGCTCCCCACCGCGATCTGCAGGGGGATCCTGCCTGCAGTTACTATGTGTCAGCCACACATCTGCATCGCCAGCTCGTATCTGGACTATCCGGGAATAATCCCAAAAAGAAAACTATAAGTAGAGCTCTGAAAATACCTGAACGGATGAATATATCAGCAGCAATAGTTTGCAAAAATCTGCAAATACAATACGATCATAGTGCAGATGGTACTAATAACAAGAAATTAATAAAAGTATGTACATTTTCAACTCACAAGTGTAGAGCCACGCAATCATCTGGCTCTAGTGTGAAGCGTCTTGGGATCTTTCAGGGGAGATCCACTGCCCTCTTTAGTTTCCTTCTGGTCTCCTCCACATCCAATTAGGTATATAGGAATGGACAAGATGACTCCAATGGTGAAGGTAAATAAATTTATTGTATAAAACAGGAATCCAAAATAAAATGATCAATTGATCAAAGTAATCAGTTAAAAGTTTTGCATAAAGTCCAAAACGCGTTTCGCCATTAATTGGCTTCCTCAGTTGGTGTATGATCTGTGCTGCGTCCTTCCCTTCTCTTATACAGCCCTAATTGTAAGATTGCCGGCATCTGTAAACCCGGAAGTAGGCCCTATAGAAAGCACGCCGACTCACTTGGAACAGAAGTCCGTGCGTCAGTCATATAATCCTGCTACATCTTCCTTTCCCTATGGAACGCATGCAGACTTAGTTGGAGCGCACGTCTGTACGTCAGTCATGTGACTTGGCTGGAACATCCTTTCCCTCGTGGAACTCAACATATGCGTTTCACCTCCATAGTCCGTTTTAACACACTGTACTGGATGTCAAGTCCTTTGCTAAATCGACTCATTTATCCCTCATTAAAAACGAGGAAATAGATATAATTAAAATGACATCCTCCGATGTGAGACTTGACATATAATTTTAACATAAAACAGGCTCATATTTTCACATATAAAATATAATTGAAATGACATCCTTAAATGAGAGACTTAAGATATACCGTAAATGAACATAAAACCACAGGCTTATATTCTCATATTTAAATATATTAAACTTTTAAAAGCATACAAATTGTTTAACCCCTTAACGCCGTTACGGCGTTCTATGCCGTTGCGGCTTTAAAGCTATTGCGGCGGCATAGAACGCCGTAACGGCTTAAGCCCAATTTACTTACCTCCGCCACGATCCTCTTCTGGGGGGCTGCCTGACAGACCAGGCAGCCCTCCCACGGCGAATGAGGCCCCCGGGGGCCATGTCATCGCTTTAAAAGAGCAATCACATGGCCCCCTATAGCTGGCTGTAGATCTGCCAGCAGGGGGACTGTCTGAAATATCAAACAGTCCCCCTGCTGGTGGAAAGTGTAAAAAAAAAAAAAAATAATTAAAAGTGTGTGTGTGTGTGTGTGTGTATATGTATATATATATATATATACACACATCTTGATAAAGACCCTATAGGGTCGAAACGTTGATGCTGTGATTTACTAACACCGGATTATAAACACTATTTTGACAATCCTATGGAGTGCTCCTGATTGATTTGAGATATATATATATATATATATATATATATATATATATATATATATATTGTATTTTAATACTAATATTAGTATATATATTAGTATTAAAATACACTTATAATGACGTTACATATATATATATATATATATATATATATATGTATATATACGTATAATTACAATAATAAATAAAATTTTGAAACAAAATTTAATATAAATTCTATATTCATATGTAATTTCATTCTAACTGTATTTTGTTATTAATATATATATGTAACAAAATACACTTAGAATGACATTCTATATCTATATATAAAATACAAATAACCGCAAATATATATAGATAAATACATATAATTACATAAAAGATTACATTAGTATACACATAGAATTTAAATACCTATAAATGCATATATATTAAAATTCTACATGTATATTTAAGTAATCTTTTAACATAATTATGTGATTTGATTAATTAAAATTTGATTGACATGCCTGACAACACAGGGAGAAAGTGCAGAGAATTTAATTCGTAAGCACTATATTTGACCCTGTAACTCTCCAAGACACCATGAAACCTGTACATAGGGGGTACTGTTTTACTCAGGAGACTTCGCTGAACTCAAATATTAGTGTTTCAAACTGGTAAATTGTATTACAACGATGATATTTTAAGTAAAAGTGACGTTTTTTGCATTTTTTACAAACTGCACTTTTATGGACTATATTGTTGTTGTAATATGTTTTACTGTTTTAAAACAACACTAATATTTGTGTTTAGTGAAGTCTCCCGAGAATAACAATACCCCCCATGTACAGGTTTTATGGTGTTTTGGAAAGTTAGAGAGTCACATATAAGGCTTGTATTTCATTTTTTTGACATTGAAATTTGCCAGATTGGTTATGTTGCTTTTGAGACCGTATGGTAGCCCAGAAATAAGAATTACCCCCATGATGGCACATGGCCACAAACACTGGCCAAATATTAGTTTTATTTTGCTTTTTTCACACAAAAACAAATATGAACGCTAACTTTGGCCAGTGTTTGTGACTAAGTGGCTACTAAAAAGGACTAAACATACCCCACGTTCAATACCTTGGGTTGTCTACTTTTTCAAATGGTATGCCATTATGGGGGAAATTCTCATTCCTGGGCTACCACACCGTCTCAAAGGTAACATTACAAATCTGGCAAATTTCAATTTGAAAATAGAATGTTCTATATTTTACCCTGTAACTTTCCAAAACACCATAAAACCTGTTAATGGGGGGGTACTGTTGTACTCGTGAGACATCACTGATTACAAATATGTGCATTTTTCTGCAGTAATATCTAACAGTATTATGACATTTACAGCTAAAATGTGAGGCGGAACTACAAATTTTTTTTAAAAATTTAAAATTTTTCAGTTTTTTAAATTTATATGATATATAATAAGTGTGGGTGCATTTAATATGAAAGCGGTGAATTACGGTTTAACAGACATATAGCGCAAATTCCAGTTTTTGTTTACGTTTTGTTTTGATCAGAAAGTGTACTATTGACTCCGTCCTGAAGGGGTTAAAGAGCTCTGAGTGCATTTCATGGATAATTTTACCAATCTCATCCTTATTAGTGCAAATGTGGAATTTTCCACTTCCCCAAAAAGTGCTTCTAAAATATTGGAGGGAAAAAGATACACTAATCGAAAAAAAGTATACATTTAAATTGCTATAAAGGTATATCCTTAATCAAGAACCTGTCTTCAAAAAATATATGATGTTTCAAAATAATGATACAAAATAACGTCAACTTTAAAATTTTGATGTGAAAAAAAATGCAATATAAGTATAAAATGTAAAATTAAGATTAAAAAATGGCATAATTCAAAATCTAAATTTAATCCGTGAGGTGCTAAAGTATCAAAATTGAAGATAAACATCATCTCCTCAATTCCAATTTTTATCGTGAAATCTCCGCCTCTCCCATTTTTTTCTACACAATTTTAGTGAACAAAACGTGAGATCTTGTGGATTTTGATTCTGGCAGCGTTTAAAATGGTGGGAGACACTGTGTTTCTACGCCTTTTTTGATATTCCTAACATGTTTGGAGATTCTAACAGTAAACATCTAATTGTTCTCCCTATGTACATCATATTGCATGGGCATTTTAACAAGTAAATTACATTTTTGGAGAAACATGTAAGCTGATCTCTTATTAAGAAATCTTTCTTTGTGATTTCATTGGTATTCTTTATGTTGATTTTTTTACTATTTGTTTTCCTACATGCTAAGCATGTGCCACACCCATAAAAGCCTTTACTTCCGGTGAGAAAATTACTATTTGAGGAATTTTTTAGGTTACTATTTACATTTGAGGAATTTTTTAGGTTACTATTTACTAGGATGTTTTTAATAATCTTGCATCCCCTGTGCACGATTTTGGGTTTAGATGGTAATGTATTTTTTAAAATTGGGTCATCTTGTAATAAATGCCAATATTTATTAATGGCATAGCGTACTTTTTTGTTTTTATCAGAGAAATTGCAAATAAATGGGGCATTGAATCTGTTTTCTTCTATATTTAGTTTTTTCCTATAAGTAATACTTTTCTTTCAAACCCTTTAATTTCTTCTATACTTTTTTGAAGATCTTCTTTATAGCCTTTCGCCAAGAACTGTTTTTTGATTATCTGCGTTTGTCTTAGGGAGTCTTTCACTTGTGTACAAATTTTTTTTAGCCTCTTGAACTGGCTTTTGGGTGCATTCGTGAGCCATGGGGTATGATGGCAGTTTGTAAGATCTATATACCCATTACAATCCACTTCTTTAAAATAATTTCTTGTATGAATTTCGCCATCTTCTATAAAAATAGTTAAGTCTAAAAAATTAATTTCTTTCTTGGTCTGGGTGGATGTGAGGTTTATCCCCCAATTGTTACAGTTTAAAAAACTTAAAAAATCTATAAAACTCGATTTGTCTCCTTTCCAAATAAAAAGAAAAAAAATCAATGAAACGGCGATAGGTGACCAAGCCCGCATATAGATGGCTGTGCAGAATAAACTTCTCTTCCCAGTACGCCATAAATAAGTTGGTGTAACTGGGTGCGAACTTGGTTCCCATCGCCATTCCATTGATTTGCCTTTAAAAACTGTCCTTAAACCAAAAAAAGTTGTTGGTGAGGATTAAAAGTATACCTTTTTTAATAAAATCTATCTCTTCCTGTTTAAAATTTGATTTCTCTAAAAAATATTGCATTGCCTCTATCGCCTTGTTGTGTGGGATAATATTATAAAGGGAGCTTACATCACAAGTAACCAATATATAATTTTCTTCCCATTTTATATGACCAAGGATTAGTAAGATGTGTATGGTATCCTTAAGTTGTATTCGGGGCCATCTCAGTAAAGTATGAAATAGCTAGTGAGTATACTTATCATAATAATTAAAAGTCGGTAGAGGTGTGCCAAAACGGACGTGTGTGATAGGCCTGTAAATAAGAGGGCCCACCTTAAATAGTATTTAAATAGAGGGAAAGGAGGGTGGGCCAAATGAGCATCTGAACCAGAAGGTAAATGAGGTAGAAGGGGGAGTCCCTTTTAAAGGGATATAGCCCCTCCCACAACTTCAGGCCCTGCTTTCCAATTTGTATTCGGGGCCACCTCAGTATAGTATGAAATAGCAAGTGAGTATACTTATAATTAAAAGTCGGTAGAGATGTGCCGAAACAGACGTGTGTGGTAGGCTTGTAAATAAGAGGACAAAAAAGGAATACCCATATAGTGTTATCAAAGATATTTATTAACGAAAACACAAGACATGGAGTTAGCATATAGAAACATGCATGCCTTAATTCTTGTGTTGACTGTGGTATGTAAACAGCGTAAGCGGATGACTTCCAGCGGCCCAAGGTTTTTATGATGTAAACTGGGATGTCCAGGCCCGAGCTGTGGAGGCTGCCCCTATCCGGAATAAATGCCCAGAATAGTTTCCGACGTTTAAGACGAGTCTGGTGAATAGTAAGCTAATATACATCACAAATTTGGCAGTAGTGAGTGCTGTGCCATGCAGTGAAAGGAGAGGGAGTGAGGTTTGTGTAGGTGATGACTGTAGATAGTTGTTAAAAACTTCCACCGTGCGTTGTTGATGGGGTAGTATTGAATAAGAACCTCGTGCCCCATCTGGTTGGTCTTAGTTGAAGGTAAGCTTAATATGTAGTGGTCCTGCTTTTTGTACAAGTTAGAATACCGGAGGCAATGCTTGAATTCGTGTTGCCTAGTAATGGTAAATATATATGTCTATGGTATTTACCTGTTCGATATTTCACCGGAGGAAGACAAAGTTTGATTGGTCGAAACGCGAAATTTTTAATAATTGTTCCTGAGCCTCACTAGGATCTTTAGTGGAGATAATCTGTGGAATACCAGCTCTCCGCTACACTGTGGTTGTGGAATCTGAGCGCTGTTCGGATATAGTGAGCGCTCAGATCCAATCCACCTGGGGATAGGTTGAATGTGGGGGTTCTGTACAGTATGATAGGAGTTATGTATTTTTGCTGCTGTTGTGAATAGGGATATTTTCTGTACCTGGAGATAGTTGTCTTACCACACCCAGTTAAGCCACTTATCTCACACAGCCTAACTCTGTGGAACTGGTTTGGGCTGGAAAGCCATGCTTGCAGTGATCACAAAGGACTTCAACCTAACTTTTTATCTACTGGAAGGATTGGTATGATTTTTGAGAGTGTTTATATTTAAAGTGTGCTGATTCTGAAAATGTATAGAAGATTGGATGTATATTTTTAAAGTTACAGTGTATGTATAAAAAGTGTATTTTTCCTGCCTGTGATAATTACCCATTGTGTTCAGTAATTATATCACAGGCAGAGGGGAGGATTTGTGTGTTATTGATGGGTGTGTTTTTACTGTGTTACATGTTTATTGGTTATTCTGCAAAACCCTGTGGGCGGTCCTGTATGTGTAAGACCTCCATAAAAGACGACCCTTTGGTGCCAATTAAACAGACCTACTTGCACCTTTTTGAAGCCTTGGCTCATGCTTGGGGGAAGGGATACCTACACTCTGGGGATTGCTATAATCACTTACTCCCCAGAGTAAGCTCTTGTAAGAGCTTGATTTGTTCCTGCTACGCTCTCTGGATTTAGGAGAGGTTCACCCACTGGGAGCTGGATCCTGGTCGTGGATCCAGGGTGGGTGAGAGGCGGCGAGAACCCGGCGCAGCTGCATCGCTGGAAGTGGGGTCCGCAGTGCTGATGGTGTCGGTTGGAGTGCTCAGAGTCCTCAGCAAGCGCTAGGAGCATCGATTGGCGGAGATACTCAGTCGGAGTGCAAGTGGTCCGTCACATATATTTAGCAGTATTTGGTCTCCATATGGTTATTTAGAAAACTGTGGATGGAAGGAGGTTACTGCCTTGTACGAGCTGTTAGGCGGGAGTATTTAAATTTGTATACACTGCTCAAAAAAATAAAGGGAACACAAAAATAACACACCCTAGATCTGAATTAATTAAACATTCTTCTGATACTTTGTTCTTTACATAGTTGAATGTACTGACAACAAAATCACACAAAAATGGAAATCACATTTTTCAACCCATGGAGGTCTGGATTTGGAGTCACACTCAAAATTAAAGTGGAAAAACACTACAGGCTGATCCAACTTTGATGTATTGTCCTTATAACAAGTCAAAATGACACTCCGTAGTGTGTGTGGCCCCCACGTGCCTCTATGACCTCCCTACAACGTCTGTGCATGCTCCTAATGAGGTGGCGGATGGTCTCCTGAGGGATCTCCTCCCAGACCTGGACTAAAGCATCTCCCAACTCCTTGATATTCTGCGGTGCAACATGACATTGGTGGATGGAGCGAGACATGATGTCCCAGATGTGATCAATTGGATTCAGGTCTGGGGAACAGGCAGGCCAGTCCATAGCATCAATGCCTTCGTCTTGCAGGAACTGCTCACCCACTCCAGTCACATGAGGTCTAGCATTGTCTTGCATTAGGAGGAACCCAGGGCCAACCACACCAGCATATGGTCTCCCAAGGGGTCTGAGGATCTCATCACGGTACCTAATGGCAGTCAGGCTACCTCTGGCAAGCACATGGAGGGCTGTGCAGCCCCCAAAGAAATGCCACATTACTAACCCACTGCCAAACCGGTCATGCTGAAGGATGGTTGCAGGCAGCAGAACGTTCTCCACGGCGTCTCCAGACTCTCACGTCTGTCACATGTGCTCAGTGTGAACCTGCTTTCATCTGTGAAGAGCACAGGGTGCCAGTGGCTAATTTGCCAATCTTGGTGTTCTCTGGCAAATGCCAAACGTCCTGCACGGTGTTGGGCTGTAAGCACAACCCCCACCTGTGGACGTCGGGCCCTCATGGAGTCTGTTTCTCACCGTATGAGCAGACACATGCACATTTGTGGCCTGCTCGAGGTAATTTTGCAGGGCTCTGGCAGTACTCCTCCTGTTCAGACACAGCAAACCTTCTTGCCACAGCTCGCAGACACAGCAAACCTTCTTGCCACAGCTCGCATTGATGTGCCATCCTGGATGAGCTGCACTACCTGAGCCACTTGTATGGGTTGTAGACTCTGTCTCATGCTACCACTAGAGTGAAAGCACCGCCAGCATTCAGAAGTGACCAGAACATCAGCCAGGAAGCATAGGAACTGAGAAGTGGTCTGTGGTTACCACCTACAGAACCACTCCTTTATTGGGGGTGTCTTGCTAATTGCCTATAATGTCCACCTGTTGTCTATCCCATTTGCACAACAGCATGTGAAATTGATTGTCACTCAGTGTTGCTTCCTAAGTGGACAGTTTGATTTCACAGAAGTGTGATTTACTTAGAGTTACATTGTGTTGTTTAACCCCTTAAGGACGCAGCTTCAAAAACTGGACTTACCCTTAAGGACACAATCATTTTTTGCTGTTTGTGTTCAACCTCCGTTTGCATTTTTCGTATTTATTGCACCAACCCATGTTATATATCGTTTTTGAAAGGACAAAGAGGTCTTTAATCGGATGTGACACATACATATATACATTCTTTTTTTTTTTTTTTTTTTGTTGTGCAAAGAAGTTTGACAGAAATGTCTGCAGTGCCACAGTAGCAGTAGCAGGCAAGATTAGACATCCATTCATTGAGAAGTTGCACATTTTGCTAAAATAACATATTAATACAAATTGTGTGGTTAGGTGATTAAAATTCAGAAACAGAGTAAAGTCATAAACGGTTTTATAACCTAGCGTCTTCGTGGTGCATAACAATAGAGCTACCCGTGGAAATAATAAGTCAGAATACGGCAATATGATGGTAATAATCAGTCGAGGGCGTAGAGGTCAGTATAGTATGGGCTCGGACTGTGTCGCTTGTAGTTTAGTGTAGTTTTGTGGCCACTCTAGGGTGTAGGGGAGCAGGGACGCATTCTGGCTTTTCATGGTTAGCGTTTGTCGTCCTCTGGGTGTATGTTGGGTCAGTACGTCGTCGGTAGTCGGGACTCCTCTCAGTGTAAACCGAGGCGGTTCCATGTCTCTGAGTGTAAATATGGGAAAGGCATGGAAGGGCTTTAGTGTTTATAAGGGGGCTGTACGCCTGGTGTGTGGTCCTGTCTGTGTCTCAGCAACCGCTGAAATGTACCCTCTTGTCTGCCGGCTCGGATTACATGGTTGTCACTGGGGACCCCCTATGGGTGCGGCTGTTGCTCTGGGTGGTATCGTAACTGGGAATCCAGTGGGGTAAGGAGGACAGCTCCCGGGAGGTTGCCTGGCCCATGTAAGAATCTGGGTTTAGTGTCCCGTGTGTCCCCGTTTCCATGTCCCCCTATTCCCCGTGCCCCACTGTCATACGACCTTTGTGGTCAGTATCGTCCCTAGGGTTTCTTGTGTCTATGTTCAGGGCTTCCAAAGCACACACTTAAATCAAATAACTAAACATAAAGTGGCATAAAATGTGTAAACTCAAACATTTTAACTCAGACGGAGGTCAAAAATTTTTTTTTAAGTTGAAACTCTTGGTAGGTATGGACAGTCATTATGGGAGTAGCTTCATGGCCGTCAGGCCTCCGGTATGGGTAGTCTCATGGAGGGTTTAGCAGCTTGGGGGTTTCCCCCTCTCTCCAAGTGTGTGTGTCTTCGCCTTCACGGCTGCTGGGCGACCGGTCCCTTGTAGTGTCTGGGGAGTTGCAGGTAGGGGGGGCAGCTGGAGTTTCTGCAAGAAGTCTGTCGGGTCCTCTGTGGCAGACAGGACATGGATTTCCTCCCCCCTGGATACCACTAGTATCCCCCCATCGGTACCTGATGTCGTTTGCTCTCAGCAACTTGGTGATGGGCAGGAGTCTGCGCCTGGCCAGCAGGACTGAAAATGGTAAGTCCGCATACACTGATATGGAGCAGGCATCTACCTGCACGCTGGGGCTTTTCCTGGAACAGGCCATTATGGCAGACTTCACTGCTGTGTCCCTTGTCACCGCAATTATGTCCCTGGGTGAGTCAGCTGGAGCCGTCGGTGCCTTCCTTATTCGAAAGGCTGCCACCAAAAGCGGTGAGTCACCATTCTCTCTGACCCCCATCGCCTTTAGTACTTTGTGTGCAAAGTCCAGGAGGGCCTCCCGTTGTACGGTTTCTGGAGCTCCGCGGATCCGAATATTCCTCCTGCGGTGTCTGGCTTCTAGTGATGCCACTGTGCGGGTAAGGCTGTGAACTTGTTGTGTGAGGGTTTCCACCTGGGAGTGGGTGTCTGTCAGGCGCTGCTCACGGGCTTCCTCTCTGGATTCCGCCGCTGCGAGTCGTTGTTGCAGTCCGCCGACTTCCACCTGCACCCCCGCCAGGTCCGCCTTCCATACCGCCCTCAGATCTTGAAGGAGTTTTTTGATGTCCCCCTTCGTGGAGGGAGGCATCGGAGTCAGAGTCCGCTCTCAGGTACACTCTGTTGGTGGTCTGCCGTGGACCCTCTTCGTCTATAGAGTCGCTGGAGTCACTAGAGCCATGCGGTCTGTCCGGCGCCATCTTGTTGCGTGCCTGCGGCTGTTCTAAAGAAAGTCTGATGTCTGAGTGGGTTACACTCTACGGACGGGCATTTTTTTTGTTTTTGCGTCCCATAGTATTCTGTGGGGCTGTAGGATCTCCAAGGTCGTTTTTTTGGGGTTAAGTTTCTGGTGCAAACGGCTTTTTCTCAATGTTTAGAGCAGGAGCAGCACCCATGCACGTCTGTTCAGTATCTTGGTTGGCCACACCCCCCATATATACATTCTTATTTATTAAGAATTTTTTTTTTACCAGTATAGGCAATAATGTGTGTATAATAAGTGCAGCTTAAGGAAAGTAATTAAAAACAAAATATTCAATTAGTTGTTCTGATTTTCAGAGTACATAATATGTCTAGGATTTCAGCTTATTTTGAAAGTTACAGGTCACAAAATACAAGGAATAAAATTTTAATGTGGAGCTATTTTAGAATTTGCTATGTTTGTCTTGTAAGCTTAATAGCCATCACAGAAAGCAAAATTGCACACATCACAGGCTATTTACCAAAGGGTATTCTGGTTTTTACGTAACCATTTCACCGCCAATCTCTGCTAAATAGTGTAGTAAAATTGTGGTTTTTTTTCAGATTTCTAACATACACACATAAAACAAGGATTTTTGATGTGTATTTTATAAAGCTGATATATATACTACTGCTGTAGAAAACCCCATATTGTTTTCAGCCATATCAACTGAGTAAAACGATACCCCCAATCTATGCCTTTACCACTATCCTGTGAAGTTACAGTGTCATAAGATACATTTCAGTATTCACAGTGATAATTTTGATAGATGAATTTAATGGGGGCAAGTCTCATTCTGGGGCATTGTAGCAGTTTAACTGTTGAATTTATCCCTCAGGGACCAACTATTGGTGAAAGTACACACTACAGTGTATCACATATGGTGTATATTGTGCCTTAACGTGATGCCATCGTTTCACCAGTTTATGTCAAACTTTATGGTAAAATATTTTTTACATAAACGTTACCTTTTTTGCGGTCATTTTTCAAGTCTGGTATGTGCCACTGTGATCAAAACCCCATAATTATGCTCGGCAAACTCTTCTGAATAAAACAATACCCCCAATGTATGTCTTTTCCACTATCCTGTGAAGCTACAGTGCCTTAAGAGTCCTGACCATTACAGTTTTTACAATTCGAATTTTGATAAATGGATTTGATGTGTCTATATCACATTTTAGGGCATTGTAGCAGTTAAAAATGACCCCATAAATGCTTACCATTTGTGAAAGTAGACACCACGGGCTATGTCATATGGTATATTTTGAGCTTTATTATACAGTTATGTCAGCACCAATTTCTTTCAAATTTTATCATATTGTTTTAGTTTTGCATTTTTAGACACACATATAAAGTTTCATTTTGGAAACTTGATATATGCTACTGTAACTTAAATCACTAAATTATTCTCAGCTATATTTCCTGAGTTGTATATCTTAGCCAGGTTTTTGTGAAAAAATACAGGGGTAAAATCATACCCGGCCCAGTACAGTTTGTTTTAAATGACAAATTGACAATGGGTCTTTGTTTCATTTTGGGGCATTTTAGTCGCTCATATATTTATTGAAGCTTTATTGAAGTGACATTTTGTTTCAAAGTTTGTGGTATTTATTTTTATTTTAAAATTTTTACATACGCATAGTATTTTTGATGTTAATTTTTTAAATCTAGTGTGTCCCACGGTCATAAAATTATCTTAGCTGTACTCAGCAACATCTTCTCAGTACAGTTATACCCCAAAAGTATATTTTTGGAAAGTAGCGATCTTAATCCCAATCTATATCCTTAATCCTAAACCAAGCCCTAATTCTAAACCAAATCCTAATCCCAAATCTAACCCTCAATCTAATCATAAACCCTTACTACAATCCTAACCCATAACGTAATCCCAGGTGTAACCCTAATTATACCTTAATCCTAATCTCAATCCTACCTTTAGCAATAGTGTTAAAATGATTCGCCCTGCTGGTGTCAGCAGAGGAATTCACTTGCTATATTCAGCAAGGGATGCCCGTGCTGACCCTAATTCTAATCTGAACCATAATCTGAATCTTAATCTGAAACATAATCCCAATACTACAATTAATTATAAACCTCATTTTAAACATAAATTTAACAATAAACCCAATAATAAACCTGATAATAAATCTAGTATTTATTCTAAACCGAATAATAATCCTTAATTGTAATCCAACTTGTGGGTTGTGCAGGCTGTGTCAGTCACAGCCAGCAGAGGTGTGACTAGGGCTGCATGGACAGAAACAAGTGATTTAACTCCTAAATGGCAGAGATTTGAGCAGTGAGACTTCAGAGGCATGATCTATACACAAAATTGTTTCATTATGCTAATGTTGTGTCGGTGATAATGTTTCTTTATTTTTTCTTAGTGTGTTCAGTTTAGTGTGTATTGTGCAATTACTGTGCAGTGTAGTGTTTTTTTGGGTTTTTTTGCTGTTGTTTTTTTAAGTCAAACACAACAATGTTACAAGTAGTAGCAAATTCAGCTGCAAAAAAAATATTTTGGCTTCATAAAATTGTGTTAATGTGGAACAATATTCACTTTTCACAGGAGCGTGTTAACTTGGCACGACAAATAGAAAAAATTGAATATTTCAGCAGCAAAGCCAAACAACAGAATTCCTGGATTCAGCAGGCAGCAGAAGCACTTGAATTAGATTTGGATGATGAGAATTTGGTTGGTAAGTATATCACAATGTCATAGTAGTTTGTCATGTTGGATATATCATGTTGTTCATTTATGCACATGACTTAATAGGTATATGATTTAGTTCCTTTTAAAGCTAAAAAATAGTAATGAAAATACAATTGAAGTGATTACTGGAAGAGTATCAGAGCCCAGGGATTTCCAGCAAATATTGGACTGAACTAGAGATGGACCTACTTCCTTTTTTCTTTTCTTTTTTTTTTTTTGTTGGGGGGGAGGACATTAATGGCCACTGTAAAACTTAAAACAAAATGGCAGAGAGGGAAAACAAAAAAACACTAGATTTAAATTTTTTTTTTTTTTTTTATGTACTTCATAAGCACCTTGCTGCCATTGCATACATTAATAAAAACACTCAAACACTTTTTTAAATGTATTTATTTTGTTTTTATTTTAACATTTAAATATTTTTTTACTATAAGGCAAATTAATTCTGCATTAATTTCCAGGGGGGAAGCAGAGTGAACAAGAAGAGAAGGAAAAACAGAAGATGCTGAAGCTGATAAAGAAACAGTTAAATCAACTTTTATCTCAACCGATCTTTAAGAATGTTATGAAAACAAAATATCCCACACAGAGTGGGAAACTCTATCTCCCAGCTCTCCATCCAAAGTCGGAGAGTGCCCTCCAAACTATCTCCAAACAGAATGTAAAGAAGTATCCCAAAAAGAGGAAAGCCAGTTCTCTTTTATGACTGTAAAGAATTCCAGATATGAACTAATAAAGTTCTGATTTGTTATATTGTGCATTTATAGTTTCCCCTGACATGGCATGAAGCCAGACTGTATTTCTGGAGTAATTAGAGCAGGCCAAAAGTTAAAAGCAACTATCCCTGAAACTAGTTCTGTAAAGGCTGAACATATTAACAATTCTGTGAGTTAAAACTTTTTGTTTCCTGGGTACTCCTTAAGAGTACTTTATACTCAAATGCCATTTGGTCCTCACTAATCATCTCATATTTAAATAAATGCTTTCTTTTTATTACTTAGGAAAGAATCAGTGTAGCAGCCACCTCCATATAGTGCATCCTTCCAATGGTGTATTTTGGATTTGTGCTGCCCTAGGCATGACTAAACTCTGGAACCCACCTAACCCAAATTTGCTACACCTCTTCCTATTGAAGACCAACACACACTTTTTTTAACTGGCAGACACACAACCTCACGAATACATACACTGGCATACACTCTGACAGATACACACACGACATATACTCACTCACAGACACACCATCACGGACAGTCACACATTCATAGACACACATTTGCTTGTACACTCACTAATTATTATTTTGTTTTTAAGTTTAAGTCCACCCAGCCTTCCTACCTTTGGGAGAGCTGGTGTGGATCCTGTCCCTGGGCTCCTGTTGCTGATGGTGTCCTGAAGGCTACTGTGTGTGCTGGGGAGCTGCTGTGGGCTCCTGGTGTCGTGGTCAATGGTAAGCAGCGAGGGAGCTGTAAATTTGCCAGAGTGATGTCCTGTTCAGGCTCCAGGCATCACAGGAGGGTGCATGCCAGGTTAGAGCAGAACGCCCCCATGACAAGAGGCTAGCAAGGCATCTGCCAGGGTGATGGGGGCTGCATTTTTTCTGCAACCCCCTGGATGGTGTAGCCTAAGGCAAATGCCTTGTTAGCCTCGTGATAAATACAGCCCTGCATCCTTCACTGCGGTTAATTCACCAGCTTTCAATATAATAAATATGAAAATGTCATATCACTAAACTATTCCAAGTAAAATTATTTTAAAGTGTTGAGAAGATACAAAACTTGGTAACCTGGAATTCAAGCTATAGGTTGTTCAACCATAATTTACCTTATCATAGCATACCATTTGTAAAAGTAGACAACCCAAAATGTTGTATATCCAGCGTTTTAAGAAGCCACTTAGTCGCAAAACTTGTCAACTGCCTTTTCACCAGAGATATAATCAGCATTATACATTTTACTGCTCTCTCAAGAGTACAATGGTACACCCCATGTATAGGGTTATGGGGTTTTGGAAAGTTACAGGGTCAATTATAGGGCTTGTCCATTTACGTTTTTAGACGTTCAAATTTATCTGATAGGTTTGCTGGGTTTAATAACATTCCACTTTTATGGTATACCATTTTCAAAAGGAGGCAACTGAGAGCATTCCAAAGGGCGTATTTTCAGATGCTTGGTGTAGCCATTTTAACAGAAATGCAGGGCCCTCGTAGCGGTTATACTTTTTTTTTTTTTTTTTTTTTTTACTTTTTCACACACATGAACTCCATTTTCACAGGACATTTCATATTCCTGATATAACTTAGTGCAATACAGCCTAAGTATTTTGATTTAACATTGTCTCACAAATAAAACTTACTTTAAAAAAAAAAATTAATTGTTAGTTAAAAAATTCCTATTTAAAGTTGTAAATGGCAGCCAGGGGAATAACATTTCCACTATTATGGCATACCATTTTCAAAAGTAGGCAACCCAGAGTATTCCAAATGGTGTATGTGACTGGACCGCTGCCCCTCCGTGAATTGTCTTTATAGGATTGCCTGTATTCCCCCATGTAATTGTGAATATTTGTATGTTTTACCTTCTCCCCGCTTGGGAGAGATCATACAAATGGATTCCGTTAGTCTCCCGAACGGGGATCACCTCAATACCCCATTTAGAATGTTTATTTAGAACATTCGCACCTCACTAACGAGGTGTCAAAACCACAAACTGCAAGGGAAGTCTCGGCACGTGGCGGCACGTTCTTTAGACAAACACCACCTAGGGGAGAGCATTTGAACCGAACAAGGACCCCCCAGTGCCCCTTGGAGTGTTCACACCAATTAAAACGTTGGCAACTTGCAACATAAGTGTGAAACCGCAAGGGGAGTAATTGAGTGCTTCCCTGGGCGGTTGCCGTTCGTATAGACAAAAGGCGGCCGGGGGGAGCATTCGTCTACCGAAAGGAGATCCTTCCCTTGCCTGGTTTCACCGGTTACAGTTCTGGGGATCCCTGAGATTGGTGGGGACAATGGCTGTTTGGCTTTCTGTGGCTGGTAGTTAGAGGCGGGAAACTTTCCCGTGCTGGGACTCCCATGTACAGAGGCTCAAGGGATAAAGATCCCCTGGTCCCCGTAGGTGGGAAACTATGAGGATGGGTGGCGAGAACTGGGGACAAAGGGACTGGAGTTCCTGTCACACACACAGGACCCTGGGAGGGGGGCATGGAGTGGCAGGAACATGGGACAAAGGGATTGGGGTTCCGGTTCCGCTATGCAGCCCCTGTAAGGAGACATTGTCGTTTTTTATGATCCACCTCATGCATGGGGAAAGTATAAAGCTGAGTTTGGCGAATAGAATTGTTGTTGTACCCCTGGAACTGTGTTGTCCAGTTACTGGGGGAAGATGGGACTCTTCCTTCTGTATTAGCTGAGGTAACCAGTTGGGTTACCCTTGGCCCGCTACAACTGGTGGCAAGCAGCGGGATCCCACGTCCCTGCCAGCAGACCTATGGACTATTCTTCTCTAAAAGGCACACACTACAAGACTTGTTAGAAGCAAAAGGAAAAACGTCAGGCAACCGTAAAAAAGCGGACTTGATTGCAGAGCTGAGAAAGAAAACTGTGTATAAAAGGCGCTTGTAAATTATAAAGTATAGTGTAAAAGAATGCTACAACACTCTCGTGGGGGTCCCTCACACCCACCTCAAATTGAAAAAACTGCAGAAAAGGTAGAAAAGCCACAGGCCGTTCACCTATATGAGTGGAGCATATAGTGATAATAACGGACACCTACCCAATAACAAGGGGCATCTGGTCCTAACGTTGTAATGAAATCGCTTCCAATTCAGCATATATACAAAGAAAGAAACACATACAGAAGAAATAATAGTCTTAATCTGTATAACAATATATTATATTGCAGTGGTGATGAGAAGTGCCAACTCACATATCCCAGAGCCCAAATAAGGATAGGATCACTTGCGCCTTAGTACCGTCTGGTGGTACTGTCCCCTCTTCTTTTGGACCCGTAGACAAAATCCCTCAAAAGTGGAATAGCAGAGAGAAACGTAATATAGTGCAGTAACTTTGAAAAAAGGTGAACATATATATTGTAAAAAATAAATGCTCACCTTTTGTGGAGCCTCTATATTTGGCTCTATATAATCAGCATAAGTGTCAGGATAAGGGAGACACAAACCCTTCTTTGAGCAGCTTCAAATAGAGGTCAAAAGGAACTTGAATAAAAATAAATTTTATTTTGCCAACAGGCAAGAAAGTATAATGCTTAAAATTCAAATTAAAAAATGTCCTCCTTCTCCGAGACGCGTTTCGCCCTGCTCGAGGGCTTTTTCAATCGGATATTCACTGCTCTTGTTTCCATCCCGGTTTAAATATCCCGGTCTATCTTCTCATTGGTGGGCTTTTCCGGTGATTAACCAATCCCCTTCTCCTAGGGGAGTGTATTGTGGCTTACTTTTTTCCTTCTATTTTTTCCTTGATTTCAGAGCTAATGGTGGACGACCAGTTAAGGGACGAGACTGCTGCACCGAAGGCAAGGGATGACGAAGAAGCCTTCAACAAGGCAATCAAGCAGCGGTTGGCTCTATTCCAAGAGCTTCCATTGGCAGAGCTTCTGACAAAACTCATAGCTGAGACTCAAGCTTTCATCTTGGCTCAGAAGCAAGGGGCGACCCCCAATCAACATGAGGACCAGAGAAGAGAGGGGCCGGCCACTCCTACACATAAAGTGGTGGAGGCGGCCTGCCCTGAACTGGGTGGACTCACAGTAAGCGAAGTCCCCCGAGGAGGTGTTTCAGCTGTTCCTGCTGGAGCACTTTTATAACAGACTCTCCAATGAAGCACAGGAATGGGTGAGGGATAGACAGCCCAAGAACCTCGCTGAAGCCGCCAAAAGGGCAGATGAGTATGCTGACACCCGGTGGCCCCAACGCCCGACTGCTCCTGTGACCTACAGGCTCCACTTGCGTCCCCCACAGCCCTGACCCCCCCCTCCCTCCCAAGAAGCCCAAGGGTACCCCCATAGACTGGCCCCAGATTAGTTACATAGCTGAAAAGAGACTTGCGTCCATCAAGTTCAGCCTACCTCACATTTGTTTTTTGCTGTTGATCCAAAAGAAGGCAAAAAAAAACCAGTTTGAAGCACAATTTTGCAACAAGCTAGGAAAAAAATTCCTTCTTAACCCCAGAATGGCAGTCAGATTTATCCTTGGATCAAGCAGTTATTACTGCTCTTATATCCTTGAATATTCTGTTTTTGCAAGTATGCATCTAGTAGCTGTTTGAACGTCTGTATGGACTCTGATAAAACCACTTCTTCAGGCAGAGAATTCCACATCCTGATTGTTCTTACAGTAAAAAAACCTTTCCTTTGCCTTAGACGAAATCTTCTTTCTTCCAGTCTAAACGCGTGGCCTCGTGTCCTATGTAAAGTCCGATTTGTGAATAGATTTCCACACAATGGTTTGTATTGGCCCCTAATATATTTGTATAATGTTATCATATCCCCTCTCAGGCGACGTTTTTCTAAACTAAATAGGTTTAAATTTGTTAACCTTTCTTCATAGCCGATATGTTCCATTCCTTTTATTAATTTTGTAGCCCACCTCTGCACCTTTTCTAGTGCCATAATATCCTTCTTTAGAACAGGTGCCCAAAATTGCACAGCATATTCAATATGGGGTCTTACCAGTGATTTATAAAGAGGCAAAATTATATTCTTGTCCCGAGAATGAATGCCCTTTTTTCATGCATGACAATACCTTACTGGCCTTGGCCACTGCTGATTGACATTGCACATTGTTGCATAGTTTGTTGTCTATAACAATTCCCAAGTCCTTTTCGTGTGTTGTTATCCCTAATTCGCTTCCATTAAGGGTATACGTTGCTTGTGTATTCTTTACGCGAAGTGCATAACTTTGCATTTTTCAAAATTAAATTTAATTTGCCATTTTAGTGCCCAGTCTATCTAAATCCCTCTGCAGCAAAGTAATTTCTTGTTCACATTGTATTATTTTACAAAGTTTTGTGTCATCTGCAAACACTGAAACATGACTTTCAATGCTGTCTTCAAGATCATTTATAAACATGTTAAACAGAAGGGGTCCCAGAACAGACCCCTGAGGGACACCACTTGCCACCTCTGTCCAGCTTGAAAATTTACCATTAATGACAACTTTGTACTGTTTTTAAGCCAATGTTCTACCCAAATGTTTCTACCCAAATGAGGCCATCAAAAAAGGACTGCCCTCAGATCCGACCCCAGTGGGTTCACCCTGTGGTCGCTCAGCCCCCACTACTACCAAGCGGTGAACCCCCCTGACAGCGCCTGGATTCCCCTGCACTCAGCTAGTCCCTACCAAGCTGCCCACGACAACCGTACCCATCATCCGCAGCCAGTCCGGCTGAATGGGCAAACCGTCCAGGGGCTAAGGGACTCTGGGGCCACTGGGACCCTGGCGCAAAGTCAGTTAGATCTACCACCTACCCACAGTATATGTTTGTCTGGATCTGGGGCACCGGCGATCAGAGCGTGGAAGTCGGGCTCATGGAGAAACTCCCAGTGGATGTGCTGCTCGGCAATGACTTGGGCTACCTCATCTCTACCTATGTGCCCGTGACAAACACAGAGGAGAGCCACCCTGTGACCACCAGGCAACAAGCCTGCACCACCCAAGACGACTCTCACTCTGCGGCTCAGGAAGGTACCCATACCAGCTACCTTGTCCCAGAGGCCCGGGACCCTACCCCTGCCCTGGGATACCCCTGAGGTGGATGGAAGGAGGTGGCATCCGACCCTATGCTCCAAACATATAGGGACAGGGCGGCCACGGTGGTGGTAGGCCTCCTCTGGGAGGAGGGTTTGTTATACCGCCTAGTAGAGAAAAAAGAACCAGCTTCAGCGCCTACTACCACCAAGCAGTTGGTGGCACCCAATAAATAATGGCATGAGCTGCTGAGAAAATTCCTTGGGCAGGGAATTTGGGAATGGGTTGTACAGCATTTCGGCTCACCCAAAGCCTTTTCTGGTCAGGCATCTCCAAGGATCTGAGGCAGTACTGCCAGACCTGCGATGTCTGCCAGAGAGTAAGGAAGAGGGGCAACCGACACAAGGCCCCCGCTCCTCCCCTACCCATTATTGACGATCCATTCGACAGAGTAGCTGTCGATATCATAGATCCCCTAGCCAAACCTAGTCCCACGGGGAAGTAGATTCTGACCATTGTGTACTACGTGACTCTGTAAGCCGAGGCAGTTCGGGCAGAGATTGTGGCAGAAGCCCTGAAGCGAGTGTTCTCCCGAATGAGTTTTCCTCGGAAGATCATCTCGGATCGGGGTACCCAGTTACTGCCGAAATGACCCAACAGCTATGAAAGTTATGCGGCATTAAACAGATTCTGAGTTCCCCTTACCACCCCCAGACTAATGGCCTGTGCAAGCGCTTCAATGGGACATTGGAGCAATGCTCCGTACGTTTGCAGCGACTCGCAAGGACTCTGAGAGATTCCTGCTGCACCTCCTGTTAGCTTACCGGGAAGTGCCCCAGGAATCTAATGACTTTTCCCTGTTCGAGCTAATATTTGGGCGGAAAGTAAGGGGAGTGGTGGGAGGGGGCAGGAAAACCAGAAGGAACCCCACCCCCATTGTCCCGTATATGCTGGAGTTTCGTGACCGGTTGGCGAAAATTACACACCTGGTGTGGGAGAACCTCCAGGCGACCCAGAAGCGCAGGCGCACTTGGTATGATCGGGGCGCCAGGAGCCGTAGCTTTCAAGTCGGTCAGAAGGTTTTGGTGTTGAAACCCGTCCGACATGACAGACTGCAGGAGGCCTGGCAGGGTCTATGCCGGGTAATGGAGCAGAAATGTGACACTTCCTATGTGATCGGTCCGTGCTCGGGTATTGGAGTCCGACGCCTGTTGCATGTCAACATGCTGAAGCCTTACCATGAATGGACAGAGGATGTGGCTGCTATATTAACAAAGGAAAGGCCAGAGAAACCTATTTTGATAACAGAAAACTTTCCATTGGGTTGGGGAAGGATGAGAAGCCTAGAAAGAGTAAGGATAGATTCCCAGTAGGTCTTTCACGTGTTTTGCTAAATGTTTAACCCATAAAAGGCATGAGAAACCAGATTTGATAGCAGAAAACTGCCCTTCAGATAGGGTTACCCACTGTTAATGGATGGAGAGGGTGTGAAACCTGGAAACAGCGATTATAAAGTAGTCGGCAATGGATTAATGCCCAAGAGTTATTGCAAGTGCCTAGCTAAATGTTTAATCCATGAAAGGCCAGAGACACTTGTTCTAATAGCAGAAAACTGCCCATAAGATAGGGTTACCTGGGGGGCGGAGCCTGACCACCTAGCTTTGAATACGTGGGTGACATGAACTCCTGCTTGGCGGGCAGAACTTGGCGTACAATCGGGGGCTACATAGCCCAAGGACTTACCAGGGTGCACCAGCCACGTTACAATACAAGATTCCATATTATCGCAACATAGGAGTAGGTCATCGATATACTGCAATAAAATTGTTATTTGGCCTTTTCCACTCTTCAAGAATCTGGGCCATAGCCATGCTGTACATAGTGGGTGAGTTTTGTGCGCCCTGTGGCAATACTGTCCAAGTGTGCTGCTTGTGTTTATGTGTAAATGCAAATAAAAACGGACTGTCAGGAGCCACGGGGACACTGAAAAACGCATTTGCCAAGTCAATAACAGTAAATACCTTAGAGGAAGGTGGTACTTGTGCCAACAAGGTGTGTGGGTTGGGAACATTAGGGGCAATGAGTTCAGTTACAGCATTAATTGCCTTCAAATCATGTACCATACGGTAGACCACAGGTTTCCCTTTCTCTTGCTTTTTCTTAATTGGGTACAATGGTGTGTTATAAGGGGAGGTGGTCTGCACTACTACCCCTGCCTGCAGAAACTCTTGCACAGATTGCGAAATAGCATCTTCCTGTGCTGGGCTTAGGGGGTATTGTTTTTGATAGGGAGGTTTGGCTCCAGGCAGGAGATTCACTTTGACTGGGGGCACAGAGAGTCTGCCTGTATCTGTCTTCCCTGTAGCCCATAAGGAATCAGGGACTGAGGACAAGTCAATGGTAGGTTCTGGCACATGGCTGGGCATAGTGAGAGTTGCCAGAACATTTGAAAGAGATATCATTTGTTTGTCCTCTAAAGGCACAGACAATGTTACTTTTCCAGTGGGGTTATACTGGATATTTGCACTAAGAGCAGACAGTATATCACTGCCCAGTAGATTAGCAGGGGCATGAGGGCTGACAAGTAGCCTTGTTACAAGGGCAGTAGAGTCGTGTAGCTTAAATTTTAGCTTGTGGGTAAGGGGAATGTCATTTTCGATACCATCTACCCCTACACATGATAATACATCATTAGATTTCTCATACGGGAACACAAATTTTTCCTGTAACATTGATTTAGCAGTGCCAGTGTCCAACAGGAAAGGGACTATTCGGTCCCCAGGCAGTGTAACATTGATAATGGGTGAGGGTCCTGCCGAGTCAGGGATATTTATGATATGTAGGGACACTGGTTTGCCAATTTCCTATTGGGGGGGGGGAGGTGGTGGTGGTAGTTGGCTGTCATGGGAGTTATCATTAGAATCTTGGGGTTTTCTATTTTTAGGAGGACACTTGCAGTTACATTTAATGTGTTCTTTCCTGCCACAATTCCAGCAGTCTACCTGCCTTCTGTCCCCACCAGCTCTAGGGACAGTTACAGCCATAAGAGGTGTGCTCCTCTTTCTAGTATTTAGATTAGCTTCCACTCCCCTAGCCACCTTCACCAGATCACCATAGGTTAAACTTCTCCACTCAGGTCTAGCATTATGGAGACCAGTCCTTATGGGTATGTGGATACCGTCCATGAAGCAGTTAATAAGCAGTCTGGTGGAAGTGGTTACTGTCATGAACGCACCCTACTCCAAGAGTGTGCGTGACGTAGTTGTGGTGGTGAAAGGGTTAAAGTACACTATTTGTCTGCACTAGACCGGAAATAATGACAAAATACCCCTTTAACACCACCCACACTTAAACATAATAATATAACTATTACTACTTTAACGCTGCCACCACCAAGACAATTTATAAATGGGGTGCCTTGGTCCCCCCGGTAAATCAATAATAAAACCCACCAAATATTACTTAGTACAATATTTAAGGAATTATAAAAATACTAACTAGTCTCTTCAGGTAACGTGATTCTTAACCAGACAAAGGCAAAACTTAATAAATGAATGTTTATTATGAGCAAAAGATAGTCACAGTGCATATAAAAATATATGATAAATTATTTACACCAACAACAGATAAAAACAAAAAGGATAAAATACAGAAGTCCTAATTTTCAAAGTACAACTTCTGTCCAGTGGGTCTCTGGCAAGGAAAGATGGTGACTCACCCAAAATTAGATTTTGGCCCCAAGCAAGTACACCAACACCCTTCAGGATCATTAGATATATACCCTGTGGTTTATCAAGTCTTGCCCAGGGGTGGAGTTAAGGCGTACCTACAGAAATAATAACTGACCACCTCCTTTGTTCCAGACCACTGTCAATCCAAATGGAAACATTTGACTCTATCTTCTTTTTTGTACCTGCCACAGAAATAATAATTGCATCTACAAATTTGTTATTATTTTCCCATTCCATAGACATGTTGCACGTCCCACCCACGATCCAATAGGACGGACATCACAATTCCTTTCCCTAGGGTCAAGTTAGGCCACTCATGTTTGGACTTGGTTAGAAGATGGCGCTTGTCACATTCCAAATATAACAAAAATGAGGCTTAATTATTATTCTGTGGGGTAAATATGAATGTTTTTGTCCTTCCTTTGGATATGATACTAGAACAAAGCTAATGGCATTTACATATCAAAGAGATTTACTCATCACTTACAAGGTACAGGCCAAATGGATGAAGAGACATTCAGACTTTTTCCAAGTGTAGAACCTCACACCTTGCAGACTTCACATCCATACAGTAAAATCCTTTTCACGTTCCTATGCCATTCACACTACCCCTTCTGTCATCTGCCCTCTGTGGGGGTCCCAGCTTCAAAAGATGTAACCCCTGTTGACCTCAGCAATAGCATCTCTGTAATTTGTGCCATTTACTACAAGAAATCACATTAAAAGATGATATTCCATAGTGTCATAATAAATTATACACCCTTGCCGTGACAGTTACAACATGTCAGGTATACTCTAGCATTCATGCTGCCGCCGGAACCCACTTCCGGGTTCACGGCGCTTAGCCCTGCCACTTTTTCTGACGCGGTCCTTCCACGATACTTAGGAAGACCGCGCCAGATTCAAAGGGCTGGATTATTCACTCAGGTGCTGAATTGAGATCAGCTGCTCTACTTGATGCTACCGTCTCCAATTCTCGACCTCGGCTTGTAAACGGATTTCTACCTTCTCCACTTCTCGACCTCGGTTTGTAAAACGGAATTCTACCTTCTCCTCTCCCAGACCTCAGCTTGTAAAAATGGACTTCCTCACTCTCCACTCCTAATTTTCAGCTTGTTAATAGAGACTCCTAATTTCTCCTCCATTGGGTGAATTAACCCTTCCAGTGCCAGAACTGCCTCTAAGTTTAGTAAATCTTTTGCCAAGGAAACCAATTCATATTAATTAATTTATACAGTATTTAAATGTCGCTAAACTCTCTCTTGTCAATAAGGGTTGCTACTAAGGCTAATTCTTCCTGCAAATGTCAATTTATTCAAACTGCAAGCCTGTCCAGCTTCATTAATAAATTTCTCATAAATTATTCCATCTTAATCAAGTTGGAACTAGCATTGCATTTTTCCCTGCATGTGTATTTAAAGATACAGTCACCATTGTTTCACTTCAATATAAAAGGAGGTGAAACTTATTGTTAAGGGGGCCTTTTCAACATCTGCCAGATGCTGTATTATTGCCAGTTCTTCACTGGGTGTCCAGGGCTTATATTCTTCCCAGTATTGGATACCTGAGCTCGGCTGTCTGTGCTCATGGTATACACTCTCAACTTTGGGTATCATGGTAGTAGAAAATTGTGGAGCTAATGACCTCACTGGGGTGTCTGTGGAGGCAACTAGGGGTTCCTTTAAGTCTTTTGGTATTCAAAATAAGCCTCTACCGTTTTATTCATCAGCTGGGTTTTATACATTAAAAAGTAAGTTCTTACGTGCAAATACTCTTAGAACAGTAATAGGAAGAGAGTACAGATAAGACATAGGGATGAGCGTCATGTACACATAAATAAGTTTCAAGGTAAGAGAGAACAAAATGATTAGAGCAGAGACATCTTAAGTGGGGGCTCTCTGCTCCCGGAACTTAGACATATAGGGTCTTAAGTGTTGTTTAAGCATTTCCTGAGTCCAAGTTAGCCAATTTTAATATAGGATATCATTATATGACACCTATAAGCTTGAGCCTTGGAATCAAGATAAATTCTATCACAGGGGTGCACTCCTGAATCGAGTGATACCTCTCTGAAGCCCGTCGTGACCGGGGGAGCAAGACACCAGATGCGGCTTACTGGAGTTGGAGCCAACGAGAGGCAGCCGCTCTCTGACACCGGACCCCCCCAGCGAATTTGCTGGTCTTGTCCGTCCGTCCCCCCCCCCCTTTTGCACCAGTGGGGGTTATCCCGGTCCCCACTGGATAAGCGGATCAAGACTGCTGACGGGCTCTCCAAATACAACGCCTACAGAGGTAACGACACATTCAAGATGGCCACTCAGCAAGGGCCAAAGATAAAGAGCACAGGCACCCAGCCACCCACTCATCCCCTGGACGCTTTCGACCGGCTCTGCATGAGCCTCTGGACAACTCTCTGTTACCATGGAGTGTCCTATCGCCGAGCGGCTAGAGTGATAGCTTCATGGATCCGCCCTGCAACCCGTCGACACCATTACAGGTACCCAATTCAAGCCTCCAAAGCGGCCATCCGGCCATGCAGGCACCAAAAACCGTCATGGCAGGAAACAGTTCCATACTAGTCGGGCGCACGCAGTCGCTCCCACACACACAGGAGCTGGACCACCAAGCAACCCCTACATACACGCAACTCACCTGATCAAAGAATCTCGTAACAGCGAGACACAACTCTACACTCCAAGGTTATAGCTGATTACCGCGTTGCTGTACAGGAGAAAGCTCTACAGAAAAATGCCAGAGATGGATCCATGCCCAGGGGCTCCATCGGAGGGGCCTACAGCGACAGAACTCGAGACATTCCTGTACGGGGCACAGGCTGAAGCGCCCATCATTCTGCTCCACAGCTGACATGCCTTACTTTGAACCGTATGAACAAGTTTTCGGCTGACGCTATGTATTCCCAGTTTACCACGATGCCTTGTTCGTAAATATCCTAAAGGGTTTTCTCTACTATTTAGCCTGGAATAACTGTAGACATCATAGCTTATCACTCAGTTCCCGCATAAACTGGCCCGGGAGTGGCATAGGCTAAAGGCAAATAGGCAGAATGCATGGTTATCTCTGCAACTAACTTTAGGCACTGCAGCAGTTCCTTTATTCTAATTTAATTGGTCCTTTATTTTAATATGATTAATCTTACTTTTTACAACATGTGTTCCCAGTGGTCTTATACCTTGATAAATAAAGAGGGAGCATAATCACTCTTATGTCTAGATACTTCTGCGTTGATATTAGACACTAAAAGCAAGGTCTAGATATGTTCGCTTAGCTTGTAAACTGCATAGGTCACAGAATTAGCCAGTTACTATACGCTGAGACATACAGGCTTTTCATGTAACTATGTCTTACCTCAATAATATAAAATGTACACTGTTCCTCATGCCACACAACTGTTAAACTGTCCAATGATACGTATGCACCTGCTGTTGTGGCAGTGCATCCCTGCTTGTCTAATCTATGTACGAATAAAAAAAGAATATAAAAAAAAAAAAGATAGGGTTACCCATGTACTGTAAATGGAGAGGTTGAGAACCCAGAAAATGGTGAGGATGGAGCAGTTGGGAAGGGATTTATACACAGTATACACCTGACTAACCGTACAGACTAACGGTGGCTTTATGTAATGTATAGGCACAGTAGAATTCAAACATTATGGTTGATGCATTGATGTACAGCACTGTACTCACTGTATTAATACTGGATTAATGTTCAGCACTGTACTCAGTGTATTAATGCTGCTGGTCTACAGCACTGTACTCATTGTATTAATACTGGTGGTGTACAGATATTCTGGAGAGTTTTACAGAAGCTTCAACTGTCTAAGAGTTGTGCTAAGAGCTTTCTTTTCTACTGTTACAGGTAAGATTCATCTGTAGGAAAAGGTTACTGATTGCACAAGGTTTGAGAGAGGCACTGAGGCTAGTGGTGTTGTGGAGAGAGGCACTGAGGCTAGTGGTGTTGTGGAGAGAGGCACTGAGACTAGTGGTGTTGTGGAGACCGGCTTGGAGACTATGGTGAGGCCTAATAGAAAGCAGTTGTTGTTGGGTGATTCCATTATAAGAGGTGTGGAGATGGACAATGGGGGTCTTGTGAGGTGTCTTCCCGGAGCTACTGCTCACAGAGACAGGAGACGTATCTGTAATATTGTTAAGCAAGCAAAGCAGGAAGGGGAATTGGATGTACTTGTCCATGTAGTGTAATATTTATTTTGTAATATTTCTTTAATTGGAACTCAACTGCAGCATTTCCTGGTTGCAACAACAAAAAGTTTCACCTCCTTTTATATTGGTATGAAACAATGGTCACTGTACCTTTAAATACCCATGAAGGTAAAATTAGGCTTTGTAGCAATCCCTTATGAATAAGAGGAATAATTAGACAAAGTGACACTTTAGTGAGTTTTAGATATTGTGTAATAAAAATAATAGGAATTGACTTGGTTGGTAAAAGTAATACTTAACTTAAAGGCAGTTCTGGCACTGGAAGGGTTAATTCACCCAATGAAGGAGAAATTAGAAGTCCGTTTCAACAAGCTGAGAACTAGGAGTGGAGAGTGGGAAGTCCGTTTTAACAAGCCGAGGTCTGGGAGTGGAGAAGGTAGAATTCAGAGTTACAAGCCGAGGTCTAGGAGTGGAGAAGGTAGAAATCCGTTTACAAGCCGAGGTCGAGAAGTGGAGAAGGTAGAAATCCGTTTACTAGCCGAGGTATAGAAGTGGAGCAGGTAGGATCAAAAGTAGAGCAGCTGATCTTCATGCAGCACCTGTGCGAATAATCCAGCCCTTTGAATCTGGCGCGGTCCTCCTAAGTATCGTGGAGGGACCGCGTCAGAAAAAGGGGCGGGGCTGAGCGCCGTGAACCCGGAAGTGGGTTCCGGCGATGAATTACATGCCATGCTATACCTGACAGTACCCCCTTCTCATGGGGCATCCTCTGGGTGCACTATTTCGGTTTGGAGGGGTAGCGTTTGTGAAAGGCAGTAACTAACCTCCTAGCATGTACATTAGATGAATCTTCCCAAGTGTCTTCATCAACTCCATAACCTTTCCATCTGATAAGGTATTGTAAGGAGCCACGGTGGACACGAGAATCCAAAATTTTGTGAATTTCATATTCTTCTTCACCTTGGACAATGATAGGTTCAGGAGTTGTTACTATTTCTCTATAAAAAGGATCAGGGATGTGTGGTTTAAGTAAGGAGACATGGAATACTGGATGAAGTTTAAAACTTGGAGGAAGTTTTAGTTTAACAACGTTATCATTAATGATAGTAATTACTTGAAAGGGACCAAGAAAAAGAGAGCTCAATTTCTTTGAAGGACGGCTTGTGGTAATATTCCTTGAAGAGAGCCAGACAAGATCCCCTACCTTGTAAGGAGGGGGAATTCTTCTATTATTGTCAAAAAACTTTTTCTGGTTATTTTGGGCGAGTTGAAGATTCTCCCGTAATTTGAGAAATAGAGAAGACATAAATTCGTTTTTTGATGTAACAGTAGGATTGGATGAAGTAATGGTTTGGATGGGGAATGAAGACGGATGCAAACCATAGTTGGAGAAGAAAGGAGTCATTTTCGTACTAGAATGAATGGTATTATTGTAAGAAAATTCGGCCATAGGTAACCATGTGGTCCAGTCATCTTGGAGGTATGAACAATAACATCGAAGATATTGTTCCAAACATTGATTAACCCTTTCTGTTTGCCCATTAGTTTGGGGATGATAAGCGGAAGAGAGTTTGCGTTGAATTTGAAGGGAGAGACACATCTCTTTCCAGAATTTGGAGGTAAATTGTGTCCCCCTATCAGAAATAATTTCTTCAGGAAGACCATGAAGTTTCACAATATTGTCAATAAAGACCTTAGACAATTCTACAGAGGAGGGTAATTTTTTTAAAGAAATGAAATGGGACATTTTTGTGAAGCGATCCACAACGACAAGAATAGTGGTGAAATGTTGAGAAGGTGGAAGATCAACGATAAAATCCATAGAAATGGATTGCCAAGGTTTTTCTGGAATAGGTAAGTTAAGTAGTAATCCAAAAGGTTGATTATGTTCTGGTTTAGACCTTTGACAGATAGGACATGTTTTGACATATAATTCAATGGTTCTATCCTGGCGAGGCCACCAATAATATCGTGAAGTTAGTTCAAGTGTTTTCTTTATTCCAGGATGTCCAGCTAGGGGGGAATCATGAACCATCTTAAGTAATTTATTCCTAAGAATGGGAGGAATATAAATTCTATTTTAAAATAAAATATACCATCCTTTTTTGTTAGTATAGGTGTTTTGGGAAGTTCAAGATCCTTCTGATTCAAATTCTTTATGTCATCATGAAGAGAAGAGAGGATCCCTATTATTTTGGTAGGAGGATAATCATCAGTAGTAGTTTTAGAAGGAATTCGAGAAAGAGCGTCAGCCTTTTTATTTCTATTTCCAGGTCTGTATATTAATTGGAAGTTAAATCGGTTAAAAAATAGGTTCCATCTAACTTGTCTAGCTGTAAGGGTTTTGTTAGTATAGAGATATTCAAGATTTTTATGGTCAGTATAAACTATTATAGGTTGTTTTGTATCTTCCAGAAGATGACGCCAATTTTCGAAGGCAGCTTTAACACTTAATAATTCTTTTTCACCAATAGGATAATTTTTTTCAGCAGAGCTCAAGGATCTTGAAAAAAAGGCAACTGGATGAAGTGGATCTTGTGGAGTCTTTTGTTGAGAAAGAACTGCTCCGATGGCTGCATCTGATGCATCAACTTCAAGAACATATAGGAATGTTGGATTAGGTAGTTGTAGAATAGGTGCAGTTGTAAATCTTTTTTTTAATTCGTCGAAGGCTGTTTGTGCATCTTTATTCCAATTAAAAGGACGTTTACTACTGTTGAGGAGGTTAAGAGGATGTGATACATCCGAATAGTTTCTAATAAATTTTCTATAGAAGTTTGCAAATCCAAGAAAACGTTGTAATTCTTTTGTAGTAGTAGGAGCAGGCCAATCAATAATACATTTGATTTTGGAATTATCCATCTTCAAAGAATGAGGTGAAATAATGTATCCTAGAAAAGAGAATTCAGTAACCTCAAAAAGGCATTTTTCTGGTTTAGCGTATAATTTATGAGTTCTCAGTCTAGATAGAACCCATCTAACATGCTTCCTATGTTCATCCAAATTGTTAGAATATATTAAGATATCATCTAAGTAGATAATAACACATACATCCAGAAGATCTCTAAAGATATCATTTATAAAATGTTGAAATGTTGCAGGGGCATTACAGAGCCCGAAAGGCATCACTAGATATTCGTAGAGACCATATCTTGTCCGGAAGGCGGTTTTCCATTCATCATCCTGTTTTATTCTAATGAGGTTATATGCGCCTCGAAGGTCGAGTTTAGTGAATATAGTTGCAGTTCTTAACCTTTCAATTAATTCATTTATTAGTGGAAGAGGATAACGATTTTTAATAGTTATTTTATTTAAGGCTCTGTAATCTATAATAGGACGGATGGTTTGGTCTTTATTCTTCACAAAGAAAATACTAGAAGCAGCAGGAGAGGTCGAGGGTCTGATGAACCCTTTGCGTAAATTTTCATTAAGATATTCTTTTAAAATTTCTAACTCCTTTTCAGAGAGTGGATAAATATGACCATAAGGAATAGGAGCTCCGGGTATGAGATCTATTGGGCAATCATATAGCCGATGAGGAGGAAGTGTTTCCGCTTCTTTTTTACAAAAGACATCTGCAAAATCGGAGTAGAATGGAGGTATAACTGGTTCTACAGTAGTTTGGAGAATAGGAATGTGTTGTAAGCACGTTTTTTTACAGAAATCAGAAGCAAAGGAGATGGAGAAGGGAGACCACTTAATTAAAGGATCATGGTTTTTTAACCAATTAATTCCTAGAATGACGGGATAAAGTGGAGATTTGATAATATCAAATGTAATGAATTCGAAATGTACGTTGTTGGTAATCATTCTTAGAGGGATTGTTTCATCTTTGATGGGTCCTGAGGATATAAATGAACCGTCAATAACTCTGATTGGAATAAAGTTGGTTTTTTGAACACAAGGAATTTTATTTTTTGAAACAAAAGAAAAATCAAGAAAAGTTCCATTAGCACCAGAATCAATGATGGCCTCAGTCACGATTCTTTTTGTATCCCACTGTAATATGAGAGATATAGAAAAATAAGTAGATGCTTTTCTTTTTTGAAAAACGTTCAATATAGAGGTAGATGTATGAAGCTTACCACCTTTTGAATGTTTCAGTAGAGGACATTCGGAAATTAGATGTTCGTTCGAAGCACAATACATACATAAGTTTAGTTGTCTCCTTCTTATTCTTTCTTCAGAAGTAAGAGGACTTTTTATTATACCTACTTCCATAGGTTCAGTTTGTGGAGGAATTTTTTCAGGTAGTTTTAGAGTAGTGAAAGGTTTTCTCCAGGTAGAATTAGTAAGAACCCTTTCAGCTTTTCTTTCTCTTAGACGTCTATCAATACTGATAGACAGTTGAATCAATGCATTTAAGGTAGGAGGAAGTTCTGTACGAGAGAGTTCATCTTTCACAGCTTCAGATAATCCGAGACGGAATTGATTGCGTAAAGTAATGTCATTCCATTGGGTTTCTGTAGCCCATCTTTTGAATTCTGCAATATAATCTTCAACAGGTCTACTCTTTTGGTGTAATGTTCTGATGGTTAAATCAGCAGTAGTTTGTTTAAAAGGATCTTCATATAATAAAGACATAGCTTCAAAGAATTCATCCAATGAATCTAATATGGGATCATCATTTTCCAAAAAGGAATGGGCCCAGGCCATAGGTTCACCTCTTAAAAAAGAGATCACTGAACAGACTTTGGATCTTTCGGTGGGATATGATCTAGGTTTTAAAGCTATTAGTAGTTTGCAAGAATTCAAAAACTCTCTGTACTTTGTTCTATCTCCATAAAAAATTTCTGGATTACAGACAGCAGGATCACCAGCCAATAGAAGAGCGGCATGAGGAAGATGACCTTGAATGTCTCTAACATAGGTTAATATTCTCTCATTTGTAATTTGCAGTTCCTGTAACCCTTGAGCAATCGTATCCACTCTATTGGTTAGGGCAGAAACTTGAGAGTTAATATCTGCTGGTTCCATTGATTTAGGCTGGATTATTCTGTAATATTTATTTTGTAATATTTCTTTAATTGGAACTCAACTGCAGCATTTCCTGGTTGCAACAACAAAAAGTTTCACCTCCTTTTATATTGGTATGAAACAATGGTCACTGTACCTTTAAATACCCATGAAGGTAAAATTAGGCTTTGTATCTGGGTTTGAAACAATTCGCTTATCTAACACACATCTACACATCTTCTATGATTGATATTTGCACATGTTACGCAATTGTTACTGTATTTGTTACTGTATTACATACGCCAATGGATACCTGCGTGTATCACTGTATCCCATTTCCTTTATTTGCAAACCAAATAAAAATCATATTTACAAAAAAAAAAAAAAAAATTAGGCTTTGTAGCAATCCCTTATGAATAAGAGGAATAATTAGACAAAGTGACACTTTAGTGAGTTTTAGATATTGTGTAATAAAAATAATAGGAATTGACTTGGTTGGTAAAAGTAATACTTAACTTAAAGGCAGTTCTGGCACTGGAAGGGTTAATTCACCCAATGAAGGAGAAATTAGAAGTCCGTTTCAACAAGCTGAGAACTAGGAGTGGAGAGTGGGGAAGTCCGTTTTAACAAGCCGAGGTCTGGGAGTGGAGAAGGTAGAATTCAGAGTTACAAGCCGAGGTCTAGGAGTGGAGAAGGTAGAAATCCGTTTACAAGCCGAGGTCGAGAAGTGGAGAAGGTAGAAATCCGTTTACTAGCCGAGGTATAGAAGTGGAGCAGGTAGGATCAAAAGTAGAGCAGCTGATCTTCATGCAGCACCTGTGCGAATAATCCAGCCCTTTGAATCTGGCGCGGTCCTCCTAAGTATCGTGGAGGGACCGCGTCAGAAAAAAGGGGCGGGGCTGAGCGCCGTGAACCCGGAAGTGGGTTCCGGCGATGAATTACATGCCATGCTATACCTGACATGTAGGGACAAATGACTTGGCTTGCAATGAGGTTTCAGAGGTTAAGGAAGTTTTTAGTGTTTTTGCCAATGCTATACGGCAGGTTGCTTCCACACTGTCATTCTCTGAAGTTCTGCCTGTGCATAACAGAACGACAGGCGGATGCGTATTTGGGACTTTAATTTGTGGCTTGGTGAATGGTGTCGGGAGCAAGGATTTGGCTTTATTTCTCATGGTAACTCTGTTTGGAATGGAAATAAGCTGTACAAAAAAAGATGGTTTGCATCTTTCTCAAAAGGGAACAAATGTTCTCAGTTAGCAGTTCAGAGGTTTTGCTAGGATGTATTTAAACTAGGAGGGGGGGCAAAAGGGTGATAAAACATCAATCCAATTGTCCCCCAAAACAAGGACAGAAGGTGCCTGTAGCACGTGTGTTAAATGATAAGCTTAGAGTCGTGTCTACAAATGCTCACAGTTTAGGGGAAAAGATCCATGAATTTGTGGCAATAATGGCAACTGATAGTGTAGATTTAGTCGCTGTTACTGAGACATGGTATAATGAGAAAAATGACTGGGACATAGCAATACCAAGGTACTCTTTATATAGAAAAGATAGGGAAGGCAAGAAAGGGGGAGGGGTGGCCCTGTATGTGAAGGATAGCATAAAATCTAGCCTAATAAAAGTTAGTGAGGCAAGCATAGAGTCCGTTTGGGTTACGTTAGAATTTGGTAATCACACAGTAACTCGTGTAGTTGTGATTTATAGGCCCCCAGGACAAATTGAAGAGTTAGATAATCTACTAGTTGAGGAAATAGCTAAAATGACAATGAAGGGGGAAGTTATCATCATGGGTGACTTTAATCTTCCTGATGTAAATTGGAAAACAAAATTGGCTACTTGTGCCAGGAGCACACATATTCTAAACTCCCTACTGGGATTGTCTCTAAAACAAGTTGTTGAGGAGCCAACTCGTAAAGAGGCCATACTAGATTTAGTGTTAACAAATGGAGATTTGGTATCAGATATTACTGTAGGTGAAAGTTTAGGATCCAGTGATCATCAGTCAGTGTGGTTTAATATAAGAACAGTGACTGAGTCACACCACACAAAAACAAAAGTTTTAGACTTTAGAAAAACAGACTTTTCTAAAATTAGAATATGGGTAGAGGAGTCATTATGAGACTGGAGCAATTTAAATGGAGTACAAGAGAAATGGGATTATTTAAAAGTTGCACTATTGAAGGCAACAGAAAATTGCATTAGGCTTGACAGTAAAAGCAAAAAATTCAAGAAACCACTGTGGTACTCCGCAGATGTGGCCAAAATAGTTAAAAACAAAAAGTTAGCATTTAGGAATTATAAAAAAACCCAGAGTGAGGAAGACAAAATGATCTATAAGATTAGGCAGAAAGAGGCTAAGCAAGTTATAAGAGCTTCCAAATCACACACAGAAGAGAAAATAGCACAGTCAGTAAAAAAGGGGGATAAAACATTTTTTAGATACATAAATGAGAAAAGAAAAGTAAAACAAGGATTAGTTAGATTAAAAACAAAAGAAGGAAGGTATGTAGAAGAGGATAAAGGTCTAGCTGACTGCCTCAATGAATATTTTTGTTCTGTATTTACAGATGAAAATGAAGGAAAGGGACCTCAGTTGAGAAAAAGGATAAATGAGTCATTTATTACACGTGAGTTTACAGAGGAAGAGGTTCTATTTCAACTGTCAAAAGTAAAGACAAATAAGTCAATGGGACCTGATGGAATACACCCAAAGCTATTAAAAGAGCTTAGTGGTGTACTAGCAAAACCATTAACAGATTTATTTAACCAATCATTAACAGGAGTAGTCCCAAAAGATTGGAAGTTAGCGAATGTTGTGCCCATTTACAAGAAAGGTAATAGGGAGGAGTCGGGCAACTATAGGCCAGTAAGCCTTACTTCAGTAGTGGGGAAAGTGATGGAAACCATGTTAAAGGATAGGATTGTTGAACATCTAAAAACATATAGATTTCAAGATCAACATGGGTTTACTTCAGGGAGATCATGCCAGACTAATCTTATTGATTTTTTTGATTGGGTAACTAAAATTGTAGATCAGGATGGTGCAGTAGACATTGCTTAGCTAGATTTCAGTAAGGCTTTTGACACTGTTGTACATAGAAGGCTTATCAATAAACTGCAATCTTTAAGTTTGGATTCCAATATTGTTGAATGGGTAAGGCAGTGGCTGAGTGACAGGCAACAGAGGGTTGTAGTTAATGGAAGATATTCGAAGCTTGGACTTGTCACCAGTGGGGTACCTCAGGGATCTGTACTTGGACCCATTCTCTTTAATATTTTTATTAGTGATATTGCAGAAGGTCTTGATGGTAAGGTATGTCTTTTTGCTGATGATACTAAGATATGTAACAGGGTTGATGTTCCAGGAGGGATAAGCCAAATGACAAATGATTTAGGTAAACTAGAAAAATGGTCAGAATTGTGGCAACTGACATTTAATGTGGATAAGTGCAAGATAATGCATCTTGGACGTAAAAACCCAAGGGCAGAGTACAGAATATTTGATAGAGTCTAACCTCAACAATGAGGAAAGGGATTTAGGGGTGATTATTTCTGATGACTTAAAGGTAGGCAGACAATGTAATAGAGCAGCAGGAAATGCTAGCAGAATGCTTGGTTGTATAGGGAGAGGTATTAGCAGTAGAAAGAGGGAAGTGCTCATGCCATTGTACAGAACACTGGTGAGACCTCACTTGGAGTATTGTACACAGTACTGGAGACCGTATCTTCAGAAGGATATTGATACCTTAGAGAGGGTTCAGAGAAGGGCTACTAAACTGGTTCATGGACTGCGGGATAAAACTTACCAGGAAAGGTTGAAGGATCTTAACATCTATAGCTTGGAGGAAAGACGAGACAGGGGGGATATGATAGAAACCTTTAAATATATAAAGGGAATCAACACAGTAAAAGAGGAGACTATATTTAAAAGAAGAAAAACTACCACAACAAGAGGACATAGTCTTAAATTAGAGGGACAAAGGTTTAAAAATAGTATCAGGAAGTATTACTTTACTGAGAGGGTAGTGGATGCATGGAATAGCCTTCCAGCTGAAGTGGTAGAGGTTAACACAGTAAAGGAGTTTAAGCATGCGTGGGATAGGCATAAGGCTATCCTAACTATAAGATAAAGCTAGGGACTAATGAAAGTATTTAGAAAATTGGGCAGACTAGATGGGCCGAATGGTTCTTATCTGCCGTCACATTCTATGTTTCTATAACCAATTCGTTAAAGGTTTTCCTAAGTTCTTTCTCAGATTGTGGAATATACTTGCTGTAAACTGCTGATTTCCACCTACCTAACTTCTTGATTATATGTACCGGCACGTTTTTGCTGGAAGCGGCAGACGCGGCGCCGATCCTAAATGAGTGACCTGTCATAGCCTAATCTAGTAGCCAGGGTCCTCACATAGTACATGCATTTAGCGGTAGTGAGTGGTTTCTCATGTAATGTAAATAATGGTGTGTTGCTCTGTAAGACAGGCAAAAATTATCTAATACTACCACCAGACACCATTTATTGTGGGTCGGATAGTATTGGCTCTCTATCGGGGGCCCATCTGATTTGTCTTAGTTTTAGTACGTAATGGTCTACCTGCTTGTGTAGTTCAATTATTCTAAGGTAATAAGCCGTTCCGGATTGTCTTTCTATCGTGAATTTGTTAGGTCTTGGAAACATAGAATGTGATGGCAGATGAGAACCATTTGGCCCATCGAGTCTGGACAAAGACTATCCTCTTGTGGTAGTTTTTCTTCTTTTAAATATAGAACCCATAGAATGCTATGTACATGGCTGATTTGATTGTATTGGTTGTATGGGGTTTGAATGGGCTGGTGTCTTGTAAGTCTGATAGTCCTTGAATTTCTGTCTATGGGCTGTCTTCTAGCATTAGGTGGGGCCTTCGGCTCGCTGTATACTTTTAAGAATATTTTTCCGGGTGTAGGATGACATGAACGGTCTGTGATTGAGGAATAAGCTGAGCAAGTAGTGTTGTACTCCCGTCAGATATAATTGTGTGTGCCAGTTTCAGGCGTAAATGGCAGTGGGCAGTAAACGCTACAATTGTGTTAATGGAGAAAGTGTCATTAATGTGGTAATCTGTTGTGAACCTGTTGAAAATTGCCATTGCTCTGTCGTAAATTCTTCTGGTATTGTCTGACAAGGCAGTTTTTGCCAAAGATTGGGCATGCTGCATTAGTTTATTCAGTCCATTACAAGGTCTTGGAAAGCGGGGGTTATCTTGGATGTAGCAACTGCCATGCGGTGTTGCTTGAAAAATGCATGCAAGTTGGAACGAGCGAGAGAGTCAGCTGCTATATTTTCCAAGCCAGGTATGTGTTTACATACCAAATAGAAGTTATGTAATGCTGCCATCCAGATGAGTCTCCTTATTATTATCATTGAGGAAGACCTCCCTTTATTTATAATTTTGCAAGCGGCTTCATTATCAGAAAGGCATTTGACGGCTTTGACTTTCCATTAGGAACCCGAAGATTGAGCTGCTGCCACTATGGGATAAACTTCAAATAGTGTTGAAGTGGTGCTGAAGGATTGTAGTTTCAGGGGGCTATGAGTCACGGAACCACCGATCTTGGTAAATGGCCGCAAACCCTGTGTGGGCTGCAGCGTCGGTCCATATAACTGGAGATTCTTTATCTAGTAGGGGGATGAACATAGATTTCCAGTTCCAAGACGTAAGAAATCTACTCCACATTTGCAAGTGTGCTTTTTTGTGTGAGAGTCGAGGGAAACAGTGATAATGTCGTAAGGAGCGTCTGGTAAGAGGTATATGAATGAGCAGCCCTGTGGGATTATGCAAATTGCGAAGTTAAGAGAGCCAAGCAGTGATTGCAGATCCTTGCGGGAGCAATTACCATTGTGTAAATATCCTGTCACATAGTTAGTTACATAGCTGAAAAGAGACTTGCGTCCATCAAGTTCAGCCTTCCTCACAAATGTTGTTGCTGTTGATCCAAAAGAAGGCAAAAAACCTGGTCTGAAGCGCTTCTAATTTTGCCACAAACTAGGAAAAAATTCCTTCTTGACCCCAAAATAGCAGTCAGATGTCTCCTTGGATCAAGCAGCTATTACCCCACTAATTAGAAATGATATCCCTGTATGTTATGTTTTTGTAAGTATTTATCCAATTTCAGTTTAAACATCTGTATGGACTCTGACAAAACCACCTCTTCAGGCAGAGAATTCCATATCCTTATTGTTCTTACTGTAAAAAAACGTTTTCTTTGCCTTAGATTAAATCTCCTTTCTTACAGCCATAATGTGTGACCTCGTGTCCTATGTATAGCCCTGTTTATGAATAGATTTCCAGATAAAGGTTTGGACTGGCCCCGAATATATTTGTATAAAGTTATCATATCCCCTCTCAGGTGCCGTTTTTCCAAACTAAACAGATTTAATTTTTTTAACCTTTCTTCATAACTAAAATGCTCCATTCCTTTTATCAATTTTGTAGCTCGTCTCTGGACCCTCTCCAGTGCCATGATATCCTTCTTTAGAACAGGCGCCCAAAATTGCACAGCATATTCAAGGTGTGGTCTTACCAGCGATTTATAAAGAGGCAGAATTATATTTTCATCCCGAGAATTTATGCCCCTATTTATACATGACAAAATCTTACTGGCCTTAGCAACTGCAGATTGACATTGCATATTGCTGCCTAATTTGTTGTCTATAACAATTCCCAAATCCTTCTCGTGTGTGGTTATCCCTAATTCACTACCATTTAGTGTGTAAGTTGCTTGTGCATTCTTAACCCCCAAAGTGCATAACTTTGCATTTCTCTATGTTAAATTTCATCTGCCATTTTAGTGCCCAGTCCCCCAATCTATCCAAATCTCTCTGCAGCAAAGCAATATCCTGCTCACATTTTATTACTTTACAAAGTTTTGTGTCATCTGCAAACACTGATACATGGCTTTCAATGCCTATTTCAAGATCATTTATAAATATGTTAAATAGAAGTGGTCCCAAAACAGAACCCTGAGGGACACCACTTACCACTTTTGTCCAGCCTGAAAATTTACCATTAATTACAACTCGTTGTACTCTATCCTTAAGCCAATGTTCTACCCAAGAACAAGAATATTCATCTAGACCAATTTCTTTTAGTTTGAAGACTAACCTATTGTGAGGAACCGTATCAAATGCCTTGGCAAAATCCAAGTAGATCACATCCACTGCAACACCCTGATCTATACTTCTACTTACTTCTTCGTAGAATGCAATTAGGTTAGTTTGACATGACCGATGTTTCATAAAACCATGCTGATTATTGCTAATAACAAAGTTCTTCCCAATGAATTCCTGAATATAATCCCTTAATAGCCCTTCAAATAATTTCCCAGTTACAGAAGTTAAGCTCACAGGTCTATAATTTCCAGGCAAGGATTTTGAACCCTTTTTAAATATAGGAACAACATTTACCTTCCTCCAATCCTCCGGTACAACACCTGAAACAAAAGAATATTGAAAAATTAAATACAGAGGTTCACTTATTTCCCCACTTAGCTCCTTAAGTACTCATGGGTGAATACCGTCAGGCCCCAAAGCTTTATTTACATTAATTTTCTTTAATAGCTGTAGTACCTTGTCTCGAGTTATCCAATCACAAGTTATTTGCAAGTTTTTTGCAGCAATCATTTGCATATCTCTTGCCATAGGATCCTCATTAATATATACTGAAGAAAAAGTTATTTAAAATTTCTGCTTTTTCCTGGTCTTCATTAGCTAATAAACCCAACTCTGTTTCAAGTGTACCTACACTTTCATTTTCATGGTACACTGGACATCATCTCTGGTGCGTTGTAGTTTAGTAAACTGGATAGCATAGTAGCGGAGTCCAGATGGATACCTAAAAAGGTTAGTGTGGTGAAACCGACCACTGGGCACTGGAGAAGCCATGGTTGCTTGCCTGCTCCCTCTGGACTATGGCCTTGCATTAAAAACCTTTATTTCTCCCCTGCCTTTCTGCCCGGGTGTTTGGTAGATTGAATCTACCGAACCAACTCACGAATGAACGGACCACCTGGGTAAAGAGTGTGCCAGTGATTTACCTCCCAGAACGCTGGGTGGCCGTGGTGTTCAGCTCCAAAACTGTGGAACTCAAAACGGACAGTTAAACTCACAAACACCGCTGAGCTGCCGACCTCCCTTCTCCTGCAATCACACGAACGCCGGTGCATTCGGCACTTTCAATGTGTGAACAGTGCTACTCCAGATAGCTATACCATGGAGCCCATTCGTATAACGAAAGACTTTGGCTCCATGGCGATTGAACTGTATGTATGTGATCTGAGCGCCATTCGGTAATAATGTGCGCTCAGATCTAAGCTATCTGGGGATAAGTTGAATGTATATGTTTTATGCAGTAGTTATAACATTGTGTATTTTTATGTGTTTCTACTGCTATGTATTCAGTGGAGTTTTGCCTCTGTCCTTGGAGATAATTGGATTACTTCCCAATTATCTCCAGGATAGAGAGGAGGGATTACACTGTACTAGTGGGAGTGTTTCACTATGTATGTCTGTGATTCGTCACTGTACAATTTGTGTCCCAGTCTTCCACCAGGTCCCCTAGGGGAGTGTCCACGTGGTGGAAGACCTGCATAAATACCAGGCAGGTAGCCCATATTAAACAGACCACTGCTTAACCTTCAACACGGAGCCTTGTCTCGTTCTTGGGGGGGATTTATTCTATGCTGTTTCCAGTTTGACTGCTAGGAGTGTAAACCGTTCGTATGGTTTTTCCTATTCGGCTGTTTGAAGCATTCGTATGGTTCTGGTGGCGTGTGGCAAAATGGTACAGACCTTTCCATTTGATGCCATGTAAATGCCACAGTGACGGGTGTGTAGGTAGCATCTTGAAAGCATTTGAGATGTTTTTCCCAGCCAAGCTCCATGCCCTGCTTTCAAGATTGCTCCAAAGGCATTGTCCACTGTGTCCTATTGAAGTGAGAATTCTTCCGAAGGTATGAGAAAATTTAAGCTCGGTATAAAGGAGGAATGAGTTGCAGAAAGGTCAATGATTAAACACTTTTTTTATTATTGAATTTGCCTGTCGAAATGCCAATTGGGTTGGTTCTACAATTGGAATAGGGGGGTTGTTTGAAGGGACCTATCATGAAGCCATGGTTTAGTTCTGCTGTAATCAGTGTTTCTGTGGTGTCGGGATTTAAGATGGCTGATTGGAGGTTTTTACATTCTATGGTACCCCTTGGGAGTGCCACTAACCCTTAGTGTAATCCTTCTGTGAACCCCCGTGATGAGGAAATCGACCAAGTGCATAGAGGGGAGATTGGTTAGATAATGAGCTAAATTGTGAATGTTAATTTCTGTGAGTCATTGCTTGGGGAACAGCCGGTTGGGGCACATGGTCTTCGGATGGTATCTGAAGCATAGGGAACAGACATGCAACAACCTACATGCGCTGAAGCTGCAACCTCCAGCAGTTAACGTTGTTGCATATCTGTGCCTTGCCCAGAAATATGATCGGTCTACCTAGCTTTTCTTTAAGAATCCTTTCTGATTAGTTGGGAGTGGGTGCGACCTGACTGGTAGTAGGCAAGCTAGGTTCGTTGGGACACAAATAAGTAGAATGTGTGTTTGAAGCGCATAAGGCACAAGACGGAGGTTTGAGGCCAGCAAAGTGGCGGCAGAACAGCTCTGTATCAAGTTGGCTCCAGTTGGAGCGAATATTAAATTGGATCAGTGCTGTCGCCGCTTTGGCTGAAAATGATCTGTGATAGTCATACAAAGTATGGCCAACGTACTTGTTCTCCAATTTGTGGAGATATAGGTCTAGTTCTTGACAACGCTGGGGGAATGTAGAGCAAATAACATCTCTGTACAGGCCAAACATAGCACGAAATTAGGAATAGATCATTTTTTTAATTCAGCCTAGGGTCCCTCGCTTTGAGTACCACGGACAGATCTCCATAACAGTATACTTTGTTCTCCACCAAATCTTTTGACGCAATCAGAAGGGAGACTAGATTTATGTCTTTCCCTTCTAGTGTATCTTTTTTCATGGTCTGTGTAGCAGATCCCCATGTAATCTGACCAGTTACCTCCGCTAATTCCCTTCCTTCAACCGTTCAGGAACCCTTACAACAAGCAGGAATCAATTTTCCATTTTTAACTGGACAAGACCAGACATAGTTCTGGAGGTTACAACACTGACAATCCTTTATTGGTACACACAACTTTTTAAGCACAGACCCCCACAAGGGGTCTCCGTTCAGTACACTTTCCTTTGTCCCAGGCAGGAGGGCTTACAGATGACCAACGGGACACAGTAACACACATTAAAACATATTACAAACAGTAAAACACATTACATATATGGTGGAACATTTGAGGGCTCTGCACCCATGGAAGGGAATGGTGTACACCCATGAAACATACATCCCTGGATAGCCCCGGTGTTACGGTTGCCTCCTGGCTAGCTGAAAGTTGGACCACTTGTATATCCTGGTTCCCAATGTTGGAGAGGTAGAACGCCGCTCTGATCAGCATACACAAAATTCTCCTGAAAGTGTAGAACAATCCCACCAGCTATAGCACAGCTAGGATACACTATTCCCTACAATAGCGATTTGAGGGTAACACTAACTGGGTTTAATGGCACTCATGCATGGCAATTTATACAAGTTACCAGGCCAGAGGACAACCCCCTCTGGACCTGATAGTACACTGGACAATGCATTGTCCCAACCAATAAGGATAAAGTGCATTCTTTGAAATACTCCCCTCCAGCTTGGAGATAATTGATCCCAACGGTCGTACTAACCTAATTATCTCCAAGGACATGAAAATACCATGTTTTATTGTACAGGCGAAAACCTAAAAATATATCACTTTTGCATTTAAACATCAAAATATCTAATTCGACCATTCCCTGGATAGCTCAGCTCTGTCACACAAAACATGCGAATGGAGCTCATGTCTTACGAATGGAGTGGGAAAGAAGTTAGTTCGTATGGTTTTTCACAAAGGGGTAAAACAACCGATATCTTAGCGGGGTTTGTGTAAACCAGTAGCCGATTATTGTTCCAGGGTTTTATGCCCAAGTCCCGCTGAGTATTTGACGACATAAAGATGTCCGCCACCTCATGTTCGGTATACGGACTGCGACCACCTTGGGGAAAGTGTTTAGGCAGCGGTTAACCGCAGAAACCGCAGGTTAATTGGATACACACAACAGTTTGTAGGGGGTCATTCGACAGTTCTTTTGTCATTTTAGTATGGTCTCTATTCGTCTAGTTGGATACGAACGAGGCCACCTGGATTCCAATTAATTAGGCTGCAGTTAACCAGAAACCGCAGCTCCTGTGTGGTTAATTGTTGGCACACTGCGCCGTTAGGGTGGTCGATCATTCGTTAAGTCTTTCGGTGGTTTGAAAGGTGACTGGGGTTAAGTGGAAACAAATGACAAGGGCTAGGTGGTCTGCTGTTTATATGTATGAATGGGTAACAATGTTCATTCGTGTATCTGGGAATAGTAAAGTATCCAAACAGTAATAACAAAATATTATCCATAGTAGTGGCAATAGTAACCATAATGTAGAAAAGTATTGATCTTGTAGCAGACAGAAGGGCTTCCGTAACACCTGGGTCCCAGCTAGGCTCCCTGCAAATAATGGTGCTATCGGATGTACAGAACCCAAGAAACCAACATATAAAGTCTGGGGCTCGAGGCTCTGTACATCCCCAAAATCAGCTCCACAGCGCTGCTTGGTTTGGTGTGGTGAATTCAAACTTTGCGCCCAGACCAAGCAACAGCCAATCCGGAAAAAGGGCGTGAACCAAATCGCGCCAATCAGTGCTCAGGGAGGAGAGGGTTTTCGCCACCCAATCAGGAGAAAGGATGCGAAAACCCATTTGGATGGGCGCTCGTTCTCTGAATGGTCGCCTGCGACCAATCAGCGCTCACTCGTGCCGACCCATCAAGAAAACCTCCTTCTCCTGATTGGTCGGCACAGACTTCCAGGTGACCAACGGGTCTCTGCGGCTGCGAAGCGACTCGCAGCTCCAGGGTCTCTGCTGGGGCTCGCACCTCTCTCTGGTGGCTGCCTCCACTTAGGCAGCCCCGGGAAGAGCGCTCCATGGGCAGCTATGAGCCTGGCCTCGCAGCTCCTCGGGGGGAGGGGGCAGTGATTATAGCTCTGTTAGGAACAGGTAGGGTGATCCGATCCGCCAGTACCTCAAAGGACCCATTCGTGGAGTCCCGGTGTGAAGACCCCGCAAGGGAAGCGTATCCTTTCGGGATATGCATGCTCCCTCAAGGACCCATTCGTGGAGTCCCGGTGTGAAGACCCTGCAAGGGAAACGTATCCTCCCTGGATATGAATGCTCCCTCTGGGTGGCGTTCACCTATGCAAAATGCCGGCCACCCAGGGGAACACTCATTAATTACTGCCTTTGCATTTTCACACTTATGATGCAGGGGCGAACGTTCTGATTGATTGGTGTGAACATTCTACTGGGGTACCGGGGTGGTCCACGCGCGGGAGGCGGACGGGCTCCGTTCACATGAGCGCTTCCAAACCGTTAACAGGGCAAAATACACATACACGGGGAGACACAGAATACAAGGGGAAACCACTCAAGTAAGCAGTGGGCATGGTACTTAGATACTTTGTGACGGTGGTTTGCCACAGTCTGGGGAACTAAATGCGCAGGTGTAATTTATATGTGTGGTAGTTAGTTGTAACGGTTACCCAGCTGTAGAGGGGTATCTGCCGTTGGAGATGTCCTTTTCTGTGCAAGCTGCTGTGTAGTAATAGAGTCCTTGTTCCCATCCACGATATCCCAGGGTATAATCCGGCAGTACTGAAAAATGAGGCAGAGTAATGGCACCATAAATCCCCTCCAAGAACGAGACGAGGCTACGTTTTGAAGGGTCAAGTAGAACTGAGGTCTGGGAGAACCAGCCTGCTTTTTATTAGGAACAAGTACACACAGGACACTCCCAGGGGGAGGATGAAAATAACCAATTACACACAGGGTAACACCCCCACGTCTCCTCCCCTCAGATAAACACATAACATAATTATAACGTACATAAATTTACCCACATTCTGGATGTACCCCAAAAACAGGGGGTACACCTTTAAGTCCAGCACCGCTTAATAGCTACCACTCAGGGGAATAACATATTCAAATTTCAAGTCATTCGGTTGTGGGGTTCGGGAGTTATGGGTCTTTGAAGTTTTGACCGACCGCACAGGATTTTCAGCCGAAAAGAGTTCCACAAGTTTTGGCCTTGCGGTCGGTCCCCGTTCGTGAATAAAAACCCCACGAACCCCTTGCCCTCCACAGTAATCCTGCCGTTCGCCTGAATCCCCATGCATGCTTAAACAAAACTACCGAACGGCCGGTCGTTCGGTAGTTTCAGCACGAACTTACGAGCTCCTGGAGGTCTCAGCGGTGTTCGCCTGTTTGCGTATCCGTTTTTAGTTCCATGCGTTCACAGGCAAACACCGCCGTTCGTGCGTAAGATGGCCGCGAACACGTGTAAAGTCCCGAAATGGCGGCCACCTATTCTCAGACAAAGGGATTCGTCTGAACCATGCGAACGGCTCCACAATCGCTGGGAGGTAAAATAGTAATTAACTGTTCCCCTGGGTGGTCTGATGTTCGGTATTTTGGGTAGCAATAGTTATACGAACACCAGTCATTCGGTTCTGTTTAAACTCCCCAGCAGCACTGTAGATTAAGTTCAGGCAAAACAGTACAGGGTTCTGTTACATTAGTGCAGGGGTAGATGTAGAGCAATTACCCTGGGATGTGGGGGTGACCACTGGGGTGGTCACAGCAATGTGGGCTTCCAACTTCTCCACCCTGTGTCAGGGACCGTCCTACCTTCTCTGAAAGGAGCTGTAATCACTTGTCCCCTGCCGGCTCGTGGCTGCAGATGCCTGAGTGTGGGTATCCACCAGAGAGGGGCGCGCGCCAGCCGGGAATCCCTGGGGCTGTGAGTCTGTCTCACTGCCGCAGGGTTCCCGCTGGCCGCATGGAAGTCTGTGCCAATCAATGGGAGAAGGAGCGCCCATTCAAACTGTGTTTGCGCCATTCTCCTGGCTGGTTGGCACAAGTAAAGCGCCTATTGGTCGCCGCAGGAAGCGGGCGACCAATCAGAGAAGGAGCGCTTGTTCAAACAGGGTTTCTCTCTTTCCCCTGATTGGGCAACGAAAACCCCCCTCCTCCCCGAGCACCATTTGGTGCAGCCGAGTTTCGCACCCTTCCTTCAGATTGGGCAGCGAAACTCCTTCCTCCCCTTAAAGCTGATTGGTGCGATTTAGTTTGCGCCCTTTCAGCTGATTGGCTGTTGCTTGGTTTAGGCGCAAAGTTTGAATTCACCGTACTAAACTAAGCAACGCCGTGAAACTAATTTCGGGGATGTACAGAGCCTTGAGACCCAGACTTTTGATGCAGATATCTCCGGCTCTGTACATCCGATTGCCCTGCTTTTTGCCGGGATCCCAGAAGGGACCCAGGGCTATCTAGCAATGTAAGTTCTAACCCTGTAACCCCTTCCCTTCCAGGGGCGCCAAGCCCCAAAGTGCCCCCTGAATGTGATGTGTACTGCTTGGTATCTCCTAAGGCAGGAGATGGCTATTTGTAACCCAGCCCCCTCCTGCCTGGGAAAAAGGGAATACCCTGCGGGGGTCTGTGCATAAAAGAAAACATGTATTCAATAAAGAGTGTGACTGGTGAGATCCAAGTGTTTAAAGCTCTAAACTGTGTGTCGTCCTTTTACTGGAGGGAAGGTTAAGATTTAACCCCTGTGTCTGCTGTTCCAGCTTGCAGGGGATGAAAATAGGAGAAAAGTCCTGGTAAGGACTAAGAGCTCCCAGGGCTGAGTGTCGTCTCTGCCTGGGAACAAGATACTAGGAAGTCGTCCCGCTACAGTGGGCAGATCTTCCCTGTGAAAGGAAGTGAGATGTGGGGTGACGGGAGACCACCTTAGTATTACCATAATATGGGGTGAGAAGGCCTTTACCTAAGGGAAGTCATTGGAGGGAACTTTGTGTGGGGAAGGAAGACTGGTATATTTGCTGTGAATTTTCTTTTAGACTTAGTGGATCTTGTGCCGGATGATCTGTCTAATGAGGTGTCTGAAAAGGGGGGTGTAATTGTGAGGCACAAAGGAATTACTTTCCTTGTAGTGAGAGCATTTGTATCCTGTATACCTATTAGTGCGATAGAATTGAACTTGTTGGATCGGGATTATAATTGTAGCAGACCAAGGGTAATCCTACTTGTTACTTCCGCTAATTCCTTCCTTCAGCCACTCTGGAACCATTAACACCAACAGACATCCATTCCCCCAGTAACCAGACGGAAAATAGTTCTGGGAGTCAACTGATTTTATTCAAGACACACAGCTTTTATGCCCAGTCCCCTACAAGGGGTTTCAGTTCCAAGATCCTCTATGCCTGAGAGAAAATTGCGTGAGAAAAAAACTCTCACTGAGGTACAGAAAATCCAACAAAATATACTGTAAACCAAAAGTGTCCCCATCGTACTCAGGAACCCCACAAAAAGTACATTCTCCGATCGCCACGAATCACACATATCAGTTCGGGAAAACGAGAATGCCATTGAGGTAAAGTTTTGACCAGCCAGACGCGAGGCGCTAGCCCAAAACAGTTCCAGGAAAATAGTTGTCCTGGCTGATCTCCGTTCTTGAGGTTCCTGTGCGAACACCATGCAAGGGAATCTCCTTTTATTTAATTTTTTTATCATTTCATTATTTATTGTTTTTCAAAACTTTATCACAATAGACAATAAAAGACTTGCATTTAAAAATATAAACAGAAGACAATAGGACAATATTACATTCAGACAGTTCTAGCACTCTAAGATACCAAATTTTTAATTTATTACCCTTAATTATCACCTTATTTATAAATTAGATGACATACCAAATTTAGTGTCTTCACTTCGACTTAAAAGAGCCTTATATAGCTATTCACTGTCTATGACAAACCATATAAACATAAAAACAAACAAACATAGTCATACTGTGCCAAGATCTATAAATCCTGACATAGTGCCTAACTATAGGGCTTGATATTTTCCCCTTTTATTTTCCTTTTTCTGCTACTTTCTCTTTTCTTCTCCCTTTTTTACTCTTTTCTTTTTAATAAGGTTTACGCTATAAATAGCAAAAAAACGGCTTTATATAGAGATGCAAAATATAGAAACATTACAACCTTATGAACATATCAACAGTGTTAGCTCTCTAAGATGTAAAATTATTAAGACATTTTTCTAATCTGTCTCTGTTCATTAGTTATTTGTCATACTGAGTTTATCTTCTTTAGTTATTCTCAAAAAAAAAATCCTTTCTTTTTTTCCTTCTTCTCCTTCTTCTCCTCTTCCCTTTTCTCTCCTGCCCTTTCCCCTTTCTTTTTCTTTTCTTTTTTCCCTTTTTCACTACTTGTATTTAACAGTAATGTCCGATATACATACTGTGCTAAGATCAAATCATAGATACTATTATTTTCCTTATGTAGGGCTTAATTTTTTTTACCCATTCCTCCCATTGTTCTATTTTAGAGTTAGTATAGTTATCTTGTCTCAGGATTCCAATCTCCATTTTGCAATGGTTCAGGACCTGATATTTTATCATATCCCAAGAGGGGGAATCTGATCATTTCCAATATCTCTCTAATGTTGCTTTAGTCTCCGTTAAGATGTGAATCACTATAGCTTTTTTACTTCTTGAAATTCTAGGCCAACCCAGATGTAGTACAAAAGACCTACAGGTAAAGTCAAGATCTACTTTTAGCACCTCTTGACAACATTTTGCTACTTTATTCCATAGTTGACTTAGATTTGGGCAAGACCACCAGATGTGGACATAGTCTGCTCTATATGAGCCGCATCTCCAACACTTATATTGAGAGGATGGGTACATTTTTGCCAATTTAGTGGGAACATAATGCCATCTATTAATGATCTTATAATGACTTTCAATTGAATTTAAACAATGAATAGCCTTAGTTACGGCATTATTTGCATTTATCCACTCATTTCTTGTAATAGTAACCTGTAGGTCTTTTTCCCAAGATACAAGGGCTGGAAATATTGGGCTTGATTTATATAATTTATATAATTTAGCACAATGTGATACTAAATTTGTATTACTTTTAGAATTAATTAGATTCATGAATAGATGTAATCCTTCAGATGACTCTATCACCCTATGTTTGTGTAAAAAATGCTTTAACCTTAAATATGTAAAATTCTCTCTATAAGGAAGAGAAAATAACTGCCTAATGTCCTCAAAAGACATAATTTGATTCTGTTGCATTATTTGATCTATATTATTAATACCATTATATGTCCAGGTTTTTATATTTAAATCTTCTATATTGACTGTCAAAATGTTGAGAGGTATATCCATAATTATTTTATCCAGTATCTTATGTCTCTTTTTCCAGTTTTTCCACTGCAATAATAAATTATCCATAATTAGGCTTATATTTATGTTATTTCTCTTTTGTAAACTCCAAAATATAGCTAATAAGTCTGTGGATCCCAGTCTTGTAGCTTCTATTTTTTCCCAGGCTTCCTCTGCGGAGCTCTCCTTTAACGATATAATTAAATAAGCCAATGCGCATGTCTCATATGTCTCTAGAATATCTGGGACCCCCAACCCACCCTTTTTGGAATTCATATTTAGTAATTTTTTTATTCACCCTCGTTTTTTTTTTTTTTCAGCCATATAAACTTCTCAAAAGCTGTCTGTATCATTGTAAGCCATGGTTTTGGAATTTTAAGAGGTATCATGTGGAATATATAGCTCCATTTGGGCATTACGTATGATTTTATAACATTTATTCTCCCAATCCATGATATCTCTGCAGTTCTTAAAGGACCACTCTAGGCACCCAGACCACTTCCGCTTAATGAAGTGGTCTGGGTGCCAGGTCCAGCTAGGGTTAACCCATTTTTCATAAACATAGCAGTTTCAGAGAAACTGCTATGTTTATCAATGGGTTAAGCCTTCCCCTATTTCCTCTAGTGGCTGTCTCATTGACAGCCACTAGAGGCGCTTGCGTGCTTCTCACTGTGATTTTCACAGTGAGAGCACGCCAGCGTCCATAGGAAAGCATTAAGAAAGCTTTCCTATGTGACCGTCTGAATGCGCCCGCAGCTCTTGCCGCGCGTGCGCATTCAGCCGACGGGGAGGAGAAGAGGAGGATCGGAGGAGGAGAGCTCTCCGCCCAGCGCTGGAAAAAGGTAAGTTTAACCCCTTTTCCCCTTTCCAGAGCCGGGTGGGAGGGGGTCCCTGAGGGTGGGGGCACCCTCGGGGCACTATAGTGCCAGGAAAACAAGCATGTTTTCCTGGCACTATAGTGGTCCTTTAAGTCTTTAAGTTGTTTATTCATTTGTTTCATCATAGGGAGAATATTGTTCTCTATGATTTTATTTGGGTTACTTGTTATTTTAATACCTAGATATTGCAAATGTTTCTTAGCTCAAGCAAAGTCATATTTATTCCCAATCTTCCCTCTATCTTCCTTACTTAGATTTTTTGCTAATATAGTTGTTTTATCTACATTTAACTTGAGATTGGAGTAATTTCCAAATTCAGTTATAACCTTCATCAATTCATCCAATGATGGTACAGGGTCTGTAATGGAGATTAGGACATCATCCGCATATAGTGATAATTTGTAATCTTCTTGACCTATTCAGACTCCTTTAATCTTTAGGTTTTCCCTAATTTCACAGGCTAGAGGTTCAATATATAACAAATAAAGCAGCAGCGAGAGAGGGCATCCCTGTCTCGTCCCGTTGCTTATTTTAAACCAGTCAGATATTATACCTCTCCCTATAGTTCTAGCCCTTGGGTAGGATTGTAAAGCCATTACAGCATCCATTACCCATCCGCCAAAACCAAAAGCCTTCATAGATGCTATCAGGAAGTCCCACCTGACCCTATCAAAGGCCTTCTCTGCGTCCAATGACAGGGCCAGAAATGGGACTCCTGAATCGTTAGTGCGGTCTAGAATATCGATTATTTTTCTCACACTATTGCTGGAGAGTCTACCTTTTATGAAACCGACCTGGTCTTTATGAATTAAGTAAGGTAAGACAGTTTGCATCGTGTTAGCTAGGATGCTAGCATATATCTTTATATCCGAATTTAGCAGAGAAATAGGTCTATAACTTCTTACTTGATCTGGTGGTTTATCTGGCTTATGTATAGGGATAATATTTGCATATAGCATTTCCTCCGGGATGACCTTTTCTTCCACAATTTTATTAAATACACTTTTCAAACAGACCACCAATTCTTCCTTAAATTGCTTATAAAATATATTAGGATAGCCATCCGGGCCTGGAGTTTTATTCTTTTTTAACATATCTATTGCCTCCTTAATCTCTAATTCAGTAAAAGGTTTGTTGATACTATTAACCTGTTCTGCTGATAGCTGTTTCATCTTTTTATTTTTAAAATATGTTACTGGATTGTTGAGTTGGTTAGGCAAGTTATATAGCTCTTGATAAAGAGTTAAATGCTTTACCAACTTTTTCAGGGGTTAGTTGTGGCCCTTCCTCAGTTATAATTTTCTGTATCGTCGTGGCCATTCTATATCCTTTAACTTTATTTGTAAGCATTTTATTTGCCCGGTTACCTCTGTAATACCATTTTATTCTTAAAGGACCACTCTAGGCACCCAGACCACTTCAGCTTAATGAAGTGGTCTGGGTGCCAGGTCCTTCTAGGGTTAACCCATTTTTTTTAAACATAGCAGTTTCAGAGAAACCGCTATGTTTACAAATGGGTTAATCCTTCCTCCAATTCCTCTAGCGGCTGTCTCATTGACAGCCGCTAGAGGCTCTTGCGTGCTTCTCACTGTGAAAATCACAGTGAGAGCACGCAAGCGTCCATAGGAAAACATTATGAATGCTTTGCTATGCGACCGGCTGAATGCGTGCGCAGCTCTTGCCGCGGGTGCGCATTCAGCCGACGGGGCGGATCGGAAGAGGAGAGGAGGCAGAGAGCTCCCCGCCCAGCGCTGGAAAAAGGTAAGTTTTTACCCCTTTCCCCCTTCCAGAGCCGGGTGGGAGGGGGACCCTGAGGGTGGGGGCTTCCTCAGGGCACTATAGTGCCAGGAAAAAGAGTATGTTTTCCTGGCACTATAGTGGTCCTTTAAGCGTTCCAATTTTTTGGAGGATTGCTGCCATAGAATTTCATTAATATTATCTTTAATTTTATCTTTTTTCTCACTCATTTGTTTGGAGGGATTATCTTTATTAAGCCTTGTTAAAGCATTTAAAGAAATATATAGGTCTGTCAAGGAGGAACTTCTACTGTTATTTCTTATTGAACCCATTTTGATAAAGTGCCCTCTCAGAACTGCCTTATAGGTGCACCATACTATTACATCTGATGTACCTTTATTTTGGTTATCTTCAAAGAAACATTTTGTTAATTCTTTTACTTTCTCTATCTCTTGAGGATTTTTTAATAAGAGATCATTTAGCCTCCAACTGTTCCTTATTTTAAAATCTGGACTTATATTAAGGTCTAATATAACCGGGTTATGGTCTGACCAAGTGACTTCCTGAATTAGAACCTTCTTTATCTTAAGTGATATCTCTACTGTACCCAAGAATAGATCTAACCTTGAATATGTATAAGTCCTTTTCTTGGGGGTGGTAAATTCTCCATATATCTAACAAACCATGTCTACCTAGTAAACGTTTAAGCTGGTTTGATGTTTTTTTACTTTTTTTATTTTGGATAACCCCTCCAAGTGAATTTCTATCTAGCATTTCATCCATAATGCAATTAAAGTCTCCCCCTATAAGGACCTTTCCCTTTTTAATATTATCTATTTTGTTTAGTACCATTTGTATAAAACCAATAGGTTTATCATTAGGTGCATATAAATTCGCTATTGTATATACTTCATTTTGTATTTTACATATTACTATAGTGTATCTTCCATTTTTATCTATGTCCTGATACATAATCTGTGTGAATCTCTTCATTTCAGGATACGAATGCTCCCCCTGTTTGGTAGTTCATGTCTCCCGATCGTCGTTCATACAAGTGGTCGGGAAACAGAACTGGCAGCGGTCTTCGTTTTACCGGCATTCGCATGAGTGCCTAGACAAAAAGAGTTACAGGCACTTGACGACCAAGTACCGCTGCCCACGTTCGGGAGACATGATGGCCGCCACTCTTCTGTCAGTTATATGAAATGGCAGCCACCCATAGAAGCATTCATTAATTACTTATCTTGCGGTTTCGCACCTAGGTGGTCGGTGTCAACGTTCTAATGGGGTACAGGGTTGGTCCTCGTTCGGGAGACAAAAGAATTCTGTTCTCCCGAATCTAAAAATTAGGAAACATGCAAAATAAAAGTGGAAAGTATATGAATAGGTGTAGGTTTCGCCACAAAAGTATTTGGAGTTCTCCATTCTGCTACACTGCTCCCCATTAACCACAAGTCGGCATACACAGTTTGATCCTTAAGCTCAGTAAGGGGCTTGGCCAGGGCACTATAATTGGACACAAACTTCCTATAATACTCTGCCGTCCCAAGCACCTCGGCCATGCCTATGTTGCATTTGCTAGGCTTAAGCATTAAACCTGCCTCTCTAAACCTTTCTAGAACCGCTCCTATATGGGCCAAGTGCTCCTGTCAGGTATCGTTGAAGATAGCAATATTATCCAGATATGCACAGGCATAGTCTTGGAACCCATCTAGGAGCCGGTCCACCATCCTCTGGAAAGTAGCCGGGGCGTTTTTCATCCCAAACGGCATGACCATAAATTGGTACAGACCAAATGGGGATCACAAAGGCTGACTTAGGGGTGGCTTCGGAGGCTAGGGTGATTGTAACGGGCCTGCTAGCAACCCGGCTTGTTGTCCCTGCTCAGCCATTTCCTTCCCTAGAAGGCAGTCAGTTATAATATAGAAAGACCCATTTCCCACCCAGTAACCAGCCGACACACAATTCTGGGGGTAGAACCACAATTTTATTGGCCACACTCTGCTTTATACTTTTCCCCATGCAAGGGGTGGATCACACAGAATGACAATGTCCCCTCCCAGGGGTCATATAATGGATCTGAGACTCCAGTCCCGTTGTCCTCTGTTCCCGCCACCCATCCTCAGGGTTTCCCACCTCCTCCTTTATCCCATGAGCCTCTGTACCTGGGAGCCCCAGCGCAGGAAAGCTTCCTGCCTCCTGGATTCCCAGTCACAGAAAGCCCGCCAAACCACCATTGTCCCCATAGAGTGTCCCCACCAATCTCGGGGACCCCCAGAACGGTAACTGCCTCTGTTCATGGGGTCCCTGGGTGAAACCAAGCAAGGGAAGAGTCTTCTTTCGGGACACAAATGCTCCCCCTGGCCGCCGTCCATCTATACAAATGGCCGCCACCCAGGGGAGCACTCATTAATTACTTTTCTTGCGGTTTTACACTTATGTTGCAAATTGCCAAATTTCTAATTGATTTTTTGCAAACATTCCAAGGGGCACTGGGGAGGTTCTTGTTTGGGAAGCAATCGACGAATGCTCCCCCTAGACGGTGTTCAGATCACGAACGGGCCACCACACAGGTGAGGCACGCGCCAAGGCTCTACTTGCGGTTTGTGGTTTTGACACCTCATTATGAGGTGCAAACGTTCTAAACCAACGTTCTATATGAGTTATCGGGGTGGGCACATTCATACAAAAATTATAGGGAAATACACTGAATATAATCCAGCAATTCACAAACAGGCAGCGGTCCCGCCACACAGCTCCCCCTTAACCACAAGCCAGCATACACGGTCTGATCCTTAACAGATCGGCTAGGGGATGTCCAGGGTGCTCATGGATTACTTCTCAAGTTCTGTCTGTCTGGATAACCCGTCAGCATTTCTGTTTTGCTTCCCGGTGCGGTAGTGGATAGTGAAGTCAAAAGGCTGCAGCGCCATTGTCCCCCGCCACTCTGTTCAGCCAGACCAACGGGTTGTGATCCATGAGCAAGGAGAATGGCTGTCCATATAGATAGGGCTGCAACTTTTTTGTTTTAACTGCTGGAATGCCTGCTCACACTACGGGGCCCAATGCTCCACTTGCGGTTTGTGGTTTTGACACCTCATTACGAGGTACGAACGTTCTAAACCAACATTCTAAATGAATTTTCAGGGTGGTCCCCACTCGGGAGGTGAATACAATGAATATAATACAGCAATTCACGAACAGGCAGCGGTCCTGCCACACAGCTCCCCCTTAACCACAAGCCAGGATACACAGTCTGATCCTAATGGATCGGCTCGTGGATGTCCGGGAGAGTGCTCACAGATCACTTCTCCAGGGCTGTCTGTCTCGATAATCCGTCGGCATTGCCGTTTTGCTTACCCGGTCTGTAATGGATGGTAAAGTCATCCATTACAGACCAGGTAAGCAAAACGCCAAACTCCATAGCAACAGCCTGATATTGTCCCCCAATCACCCAGTTGTGATCCATGAGCAGGGAGAATTGCTGTCCGTAAAGGTAGGGTTGTAGTTTTTTGAATGCCCACACCACCGCCAGGCACTCCTTCTCAATGGCGGCGTAGCTTACCTCCCTAGGTAGTATCTTCCTGCTGAAGTAAGCCACAGGGTTTTCGCCACCATCGTTGCTGACCTCACTTAGTACCGCTCCTAACCCAAACATGAGAAAACGTTTTCTGGGATTAGGGGCAGCCAGGACAGGCGTTCTTGAGGGCTTTGAATGCCTGCTCACACTCTTGTGCCCAGTTTACCTGTCGGGGGAATGTCTTTCAGGTCATCCAGGTATGCTCAGGCATACTCCTGGAGGCCATCCTTTAGAAAGTAGCTGGGCCATTCTTCAACCCAAATGGCATCACCTTAAATTGATACAAGCCAAATAGGGTGACGAATGCCGACTTGGGGACAGCATCTGCCGCCATCTATAGTGTTGAGGTACCAGCCCCGAGCCATCCTATCTAGCAGTTCGTCTATACGGCACATGGGCTAAGCATCGGAGACTGTATTGTCGTTGAGCCTCCTGTAGTCCACACAGAGCTGGTAGTCCCATCTCTTTTCGAGACCAGCACGGCTGGGGAGGCCCAAGGACTCTGAGACGGTTCGATTACCCCTAGCCGGAGCATCTCCTGGATCTCCTGTAACATGTAACCCCGCACAGCCTCTGGGGCTGTTTGGTTGTGTCTACCTGGTGGGTGGCTAGTGGGGTATACCCGGGTAGGTTGGAGAATGCCTACTTGCTTGCTGACAGTGTTTCCTGTGCCTGTCTGTGTTCTCCTTCTGTTAACCGGTCCCGTAAGTGGACCTCGTTTATGGACCCTGCATCAGCCCCTTTCTCCAGGAGGTCAGGCAAGGGAAGATTATCAAAATCTTCCAAGGCTGGAGCACATACGGCGGCTACATCCTCAGTCCTCTCGTGGTAGGGCTTAAGGATGTCGACATGCAAAAGGCATTGGACTCCGGTACCCGAACATGGGCCGATCACATGGGTAGTGTCACGTTTCTGTTCCACCACCTGGTATGTGCCCTGCCAAGCAGCCTGTAGCCTATCAGGTCGGATGGGTTTCAGAATCAAGAACTTCTGCCCGACCTGAAAGCTACAGTTTCTGGCGCACCGACCGTACCATATGCTCTGGCGCCCCTGGGCCGCCTGGAGGTTCTCTCACACCAGATGAGTTCCTCCAGATGGTCCCTAAACTCCAGTACATATGGGATAATGATTCCCAGCACTCTACCAGTGTTCTCGTACAAGGTCTAGAGGGCCTCTCACTCTCTGTCGAAAATCAGCTTGAACGGGGAGAATTCTGTAGATTCCTGGGGCACCTCCCTATATGCGAACTGGAGATGCAGCAGGAACCTTTCCCAATCCTTGTGAGTCTGTACAAAGGTATTGAGCATTTGCTTCAACGTGCCATAGAAACGCTCGCACAGTAGTGATGCACCGAACGGTTCGCTGGCGAATAGTTCCTGGCGAACATAGCATGTTCGCGTTTGCCACGGCGGGCGAACATATGCGCGGTTCGATCCGCCCCCTATTCGTCATCATTGAGTAAACTTTGACCCTGTACCTCACAGTCAGCAGACACATTCCAGCCAATTAGCAGCACACCCTCCCTAGCAGACCGTCCCACCTACTGGAAGGCATCCATTTTACATTCATTCTCAAGCTGCATGCTTAGTGAGAGGAGGGAAAGTGTAGCTGCTGTTGATTAGATAGGGAAATGCATAGATAGGTTAGGGTATACAGTGTCCACTACAGTCCTGAAGGACTCATCTGATCTCTGCTGTAAGGACAGCACCCCAAAAAGCCCTTTTTAGGGCTAGAACATCAGTCTGCTTTTTTTTTTTCTGTGTAATGTAATTGCAGTTGCCTGCCTGCCAGCTTCTGTGTCAGGCTCACAGTGGATACTGTGCCCAGTGCCACCACTCACTCACCGGTGTCACAATAGCGTGGATTTAAAAATCCAAAAACTTTTTTCACTGTTATAGATTGAATAGCAGTTAGTTGTCTCAAAGCGGGTGTGTCAGGCTCACAGTGGATACTGTGCCCAGTGCCACCACTCACTCACTGGTGTCACAATAGCTTGCATTTAAACCAAAAAACTTTTTTCACTGTTATAGATTGAATAGCAGTTAGTTGTCTCAAAGCGGGTGTGTCAGGCTCACAGTGGATATTGTGCCCAGTGCCACCACTCACTCACTGGTGTCACAATAGCTTGGATTTAAAAACAAAAAACTTTTTTCACTGTTATAGATTGAATAGCAGTTAGTTATCTTCAAGCAGGTGTGTCAGCCCTACAGCGTGTACTCTGCCGGTACGCTGCCACCTCCTCTACTCCTCCTACTCCATCCTCTTCCATAACCTCCTCGGCTTAGTCCTCTTCTGCTGCTGCGTCTTTGTAGCGGAGAGGCAGTATGATCCACGATATCTCCGCTGGGTAACAGGAACAACAAAGGATAATCCAGGGAATCAGCATATAATAATCCAAACAGCACTGCAGTAACCCTTCCTTCCCAAGAACTAGACGACACATAGGCTGGGAGTCAACTGAGGTTTTTAATCACAGGTCACAGTATTTATGCAATTCCCCATGCAAGGGGTTTCCAAACAGACATTACAGGGGTTGTACAGGAGGGGACTACATGGGGGACTTACTGTACTACATATTTCTCCCATCAGGCACCGCTGCACGAGAGGGATCATCCTCCCAGAATGCAACGTTAAGGGGATTATCCCCTCGTGCAGCAGAACCGGCAATTCACACAAAAATCCACAGTTGGTACAATATACGGTGGATTTACACGAATGGACGTTCGGTAGATAGCTGGGGTCTGGGCGCATCATTCGTGAGATTGCCGCTCAGATCCCAGCTAAAATAACCGAACGCCGCACAGAAAACAACTTTCTTTCAAAACACATGAAAAGAACCGATTGTCTTTAATGAACCTGGTCCTGAAACTCCCGAACATCCTGGAGGCTTAACGGTGTTCGTGCCGTCGAATAACTGTGGGGCATGCTATGCGTTCGACGACACGAACCCGCTGATGAACCAGGGATCCAAGATGGCCGCCCGCCGCATGGTCGGTAGTCGAACGACGGCCACCCAGGAGAGCCTCTAATAACCGATTGCAACAATGTTGCAATCGGTTAACTAGCGCCACACGCCTCTAAGTGTGTGGGCTATTAGGGGGTATCGCATTCGTTTCACGAACGGCCCTCCAAAGTGCCGTTCGCGAAACGAACGGGAATCCCCATACAAACCGCCATTTGCATTCAGCGGAACAGATAGGTACAGGCAATGCAGGGAATACATGAAGCAGGCACATACAGGTACAATGCATCTCTCTCCAGACCTATAGGCAACCCTTAAAGGCATAGTGTCCAGTTATAGTCCGAGTGGCTAGGTTTGCCACAATGCTCCCCCAGAACCAAGCCGGCATACACAGTCTGATCCCAACGGATCGCTTGGGGATGTCCGGAGGAGTACTCACGAATCACGGCTCCAAGTCGGTTTGTCTAGACAACCCGTCGGCGTTGCCATTCTGCTTCCCAGGGCGGTAGTGGATAGTAAAGTCAAAAGGCTGCAGCGCCAAACTCCAGCGCAGCAGCCTGGCATTGTCTCCGGACACCCTGTTCAGCCAGACCAACGGGTTGTGATCCGTGAGTAAAGTGAAGGGTTGCCCGTATAAGTAGGGTTGCAACTTCTTGAGGGCCCACACCACAGCCAGGCACTCTTTTTCAATGGCGGCGTAGCTTACTTCCCTGGGTAAAAGTTTTCGGCTTAGGTAAGCTACGGGTTGCTCGCCGCCATCGGGTCCAACTTGGCTCAGTACTGCTCCCAATCCAAACATAGAAGCGTCTGTGTGGACGAGAAAGCGTTTAGTTGGATCAGGAGCAGAAAGTACAGGAGAATTAACCAGCGCCGTCTTGAGCTGTTGGAACGCCTGCTCACACTCTGGGGCCCAGACTACTAACTTAGGGAGGTTCTTGCGGGTCAGGTCTGTGAGGGGTTTGGCGAGTGCGCTATAGTTGGCCACAAACTTCCGGTAATACCCGGCGGTCCCTAAAAAGGCGAGCACTTGGGTCTTGGTGCGAGGGGTAGGCCATTGGGCGACTGCCTCTATTTTAGCAGGTTCGGGTTTCTGTTGCCCACTCCCTACCCGGTGTCCCAGATACTGGACTTCCGCCATACCGATATGGTATTTGCTGGGTTTTAGGGTCAGTCCGGCCTCTCGGATTCGGTCTAGAATGGCTCCTATGTGAACCAGATGTTCGTGCCAGGAGTGGCTGAATATGGCGATATCATCTAGATACGCGCAGGCATACTCCTGGAACCCATCTAACAGTCTGTCCACCATCCTCTGGAAGGTAGCTGGAGCGTTTTTCATCCCGAATGGCATGACCTTAAACTGATACAGGCCAAACGGGGTGACAAAAGCCGACTTAGGGATGGCGTCGTCCGCTAAGGGAATCTGCCAGTACCCCTTGCATAAGTCTATAGTGGTTAGGTACTGACCCCTGGCCATTTTGTCGAGGAGTTCGTCTATTCGGGGCATGGGATATGCGTCAGAGGTCGTTTTATCGTTGAGCCGTCGGTAGTCTACGCAGAAACGGGTCGTCCCGTCCCGTTTCGGCACCAGTACTACCGGGGAGGCCCAGGGGCTGTCCGAGTGCTCTATTACTCCTAGCTGGATCATCTCCTCAATTTCCTTGCGCATATTCTCCTTGACTGCTTCTGGAGTGCGGTAGGGGGGTTGGCGCAAGGGGGTCGAATCTAACGTTTCTACCTTATGGGTAGCCAATGGGGTATAGCCGGGTAAATTGGAAAACGTGGCCTTCTTTTCTCGAAGCAACTTTTGTACCTGGGCCCGTTCTTGGGTATTTAATCTTTCTCCTAACTGTACCTCTCCCAGATCTCCGCTCTGGCCCTCTTGGTCTAGGAGATCGGGTAGGGGTAGGTTATCAAAATCTTCCGTGGCAGGGGCACAGATTGCGGTGACTTCCTCCATCCGTTCGTGGTATGGCTTGAGCATGTTCACATGGAGCATGCGCTTGCCTCCCACGCCGGTAACCGGGCCGATCACATAGGTGGTGTCACAGATCTGTTCCACCACCTTGTATGGGCCCTGCCAGGAAGCCTGCAGCTTATCTTTGTGGACGGGTCGCAGGATTAGGACTTTCTGCCCCACTTGAAAGCTGCGGTCCCTGGCTCCCTTATCATACCATCGGCGCTGTCGTTGTTGCGCTACCTGGAGATTGTCTCGGACGGTCTGGGTTAGCCTCTCCAGGCGTTCCCGGAACTCGAGCACATATGGTAAGATAGGGGTGCCATTAACGGTTTCGTCTCCCTCCCAGTGTTCCCGTATCAAGTCAAGAGGTCCCCTCACTCTCCTCCCGAATAATAATTCGAACGGAGAGAATCCGGTGGATTCTTGTGGCACTTCTCGATACGCGAACAGTAGGTGGGGTAAGAACCGCTCCCAGTCCTTTTGGGTGTCCATGAACGTGCGGATCATTTGTTTCAGGGTTCCGTTAAATCGTTCACAGAGCCCATTGATATGGGGAGTTGAGGATTTGTTGTATCCCACATATTTTCCAGAGCTGATGGGTCACGTCCGCAGTAAACTGGGTGCCTCTATCGGAGATAATCTCCCGGGGAAATCCTACCCGGGTGAATATCCTCATCAGGGCCTCGGCTACCGTTTCTGCGTGTACGTTCGTTAGGGCCACTGCCTCGGGGTACCGGGTGGCGTAGTCCACCACAGTTAGGACATACTTCTTGCCGGAGGGGCTGGGTTTTGCGAGGGGACCTATAATGTCTACTGCCACCCTACTGAATGGTTCTTCAATGATGGGCAGAGACCGTAGTCGGGCTTTGTATCTGTCCCCCCTCTTGCCTACCCTTTGGCAGGTATCGC